CCACCAATTTCAATTTTTTGTTTGGATGTTATGAATACTAAAACTATTGATTTGTTAAGATTGATCTGTCTTCTGAATGGAATGTCTTAGTCTCTTTAGACTGCTAAAAAAAAAAAAAGCACATCTGAATGGCTCAGAAACAATTTATTTCTCACAGTTTTGGATATTTGGAAGAATAGGATGGTGTGGTGATAGAAGATTTGGTATCTAGTGAGCAGCATCTCCTGGATGTTATGATCATATGGCAGAAAAGGTTAATGAGCTTCCTTGGGCCTATTTTATAAGGATACTCATTTCTTTCACTCAGTCACTTCCCTCAAACACCCCATCACCTTGGAAGTTAAGATTTCAATGAATGAAATACAACGAAGTATAAACATTCAAATCATAGCACGAAATTAAAGCTTCTTCACCTCACTTTACAAAATCATAACAATCTTGTCTCAAAAGACACCAAAATTCTCAAAGGCATTTTGAGTCAAATTCTAACTATAATTTTTTCCCAGTAAGCAAAGATCACAGTCTAGTTCAATATCTTTCACACAGTTTATATCAGAAAGAAATGTTTAAACTATGGTTCAAGCATTTTTGGAGGAACCAGTATAAAAAATAAATCATATCCTTGTTCTTTAGGTATCTAGTTGAAGGTAAAAAATAATTTTACTATCATCTGGATAATTATATGCATCTCATAATGTTTTGCCATCTGACTCCTAAAAGTTACTGAAATAATAACTCCTATTGAAAAAAATTGCTTACAAAGGAATAATATTAATTATCTTAGAACTGTAAGTAGTATATAGTTTTGCTAACATCTTTCTAGAAATTCTATTCCTCTGAATAGTTTTAGACCTATTGTTTGTCCACTACTTCAGTTCATATTCTCTTCCATCTTCCTGCAGGTTCTGCTCACCTCTTTTCTTCCTTTCTGTCTAGAATCAGGCCAACATTAGAAGAAACTGAGGTAAATACTAATCTACCAATTAATAATTTATCACATTTACTAAATTTAAAGATTGTAATATTAAATAGTAATAAGTAGCAACTTTACCAAAAGGTGTATCAATATTAAAGTCATTGTCTATGACATTTTTGAATATATATTTTACTCATTAATAAAACAAACTTAAATATGGGAATTTTTGCGTAGTGTTGTTTGGCTAATCTGATTTATTTATGATCCTTTAATATTAATTTAGTGGGCTGGGAAGGTGGCTCAGTAGTAGAGTGCTTGCCTTGCATGCATGAGGTCCTAGGTTCCATTCCTCAGCACCACATAAGCAGAAAAAGCCGGAAGTGGTGCTGTGGCTCAAGTGGTAGAGCATTAGCCTTGAGCTGAAAAGCTCAGGGACAGTGCCAAGACCCAGAGTTCAGGGCCCATGACTGACAAAAAAAAAAAGAATAAATAAAATAAAATTAGTATATATTAAACTTTGGATAAGTTTATAGAAATGTAATTTGTGATTTAAGCAAAACTTCTGTGTCCTCTTATGTGAGTATATATATGTATGTATGTATGTATGTATGTGTTTTGTTTCCAGGAAACCCAGGGCTTTGCTTATACTAGTCAAGTGCTCCACTACTGACCTATGTTCAGATGCTTCTGATTTTATAAATGAGAAGAGATGTAAGGAGTAGGATGAAATATTCTGAAAAGATACTAAATTGTCTGTAGTATTCCAAAATTTAAATGCTACATTGTACTAATCTTCTATTTTGTCTCCTCTCTTCTTTCTAAACCAAAGTCATCACATTTACTAAATAAAAATGTGGAAAGCTGAGCTAGACTTGAGTCTCAGATAAAACCATGGAAGTTTTTCATATAAGCATGTCCTAAACATCGTAGAGAACATATGAGTCCTGGGTAGGTTGCCATTTCTCTTCAATTCAACTTTTTGAAGGTGTCTTCTTCACTGAATGGACAATGTTATCATCTATCAACTCTGCTCCTCACCTATCCCCTCTCCATCCCCCCACTCTCACTTTCCCCTTGCTACAAAGTAAATAAGAATGAATTGGATCACGAATAGCCTCTTAAGAGTGGATGAATAAGGTGGATAGTGACCTTGAACAGGATTTTTCTAAAATAGGAAACTCTTTAAGAAAGCATAAAACACCTGGGCAGCTGTGGTTCATGTCTATAATCCTAGCTAAACCCCTGATTGAGATCTTAGAAACATAGTTCACACTAGCCCCCAATGGAAAAGTCCATGATACTCTTTTATCTTCAATTAACCAGCATAAAATTGGAAGTGGAGATGTGTCTCAAGTGGTACAGCACTAGCCTTGAGCAGAAAAGCTCCGGGACAGCACCCAGACCCTGAAATCATGCCCCTAGACAGCCATACACACACAACAGTAACAATAAATTTGGGACTTTGCCATAATTTTAAAAGTAAAGCATTTTTTTGTTCTTAGTCTTTACTTTCTGAATATTGCATTTCTTTACAAGAAAAGCCAAGAAGGGAGATTAATTAGAGTTGAGGTAAGCAACATTGGGAAAACAGTAACTTGGAAAGCAAACAGTTTTTAAAAAGCACAAAGGAAACTGGCTATTAGAGGAAATAAAGTATTTCTTCCTAAAAATGTCATCAAAAGAAAAATTAAAAAGGTGAAAAAAAATAAAAATTTTCTATATATACACAAAATTCCAAAAGTACAGAAAAGTGGAATCATACCTACACCTAAGGTCTAACATTATTTAATTTTCCAGATTTTTTCAAGTCAATTAAAACAAATTCCAGATATCATGACACACCAACTGCAAATACCTCAGCATTTGATTCCATAATGTGAATATTTTCTTACATGAGAATGATACAAATTTTCTAACAAAATGAACCCTTCCACAATATATTAATATTTTCCCCACATTCAGTTTCCTTATCTATCTTATAAGAACACCATATCCCAGTCAGAAAGGTAATTTCACAAGAAACTGAAAGTTGAAGTGGAGAGTTTCTGGTTGCTTTCATTTTGTTTTTTTGTTTGTTTGTTTGTCTGTTTCTTTGTTTTTCCCAATATGGAGATTTGATCTCAAGGCCTCATTGCTTGCTAGGCAGGTGCTCTACCACTGAACCACACCTCCATCAAAGCTATAGGAGTTTTGTAACTTTTAACAGGAAGAAAATACATGGAGGATGGGATGTTAAGAAGAGTGAAATGACATTGCCCCATTTGTTAGGAAAAAATTATATTAAGTGAAGTAAGTAAATGAAGTAAGCCAAGCCCAAAGAAACATAGGTCCCATGGTTTCCCTTATTTGCAATATCTAGTATATGTCTGAGTCAAGCAGAAAAGGTCAGATAAGGTGATGTTAGGAAAATGAACCCTAAGATATGTATTTAAATGTTTTTTTTCTTTCATGCAATTGTTTCTAACACATTTATAAGATTATCTCTTTGTTGCTTTGTATGTCCTTCCCCCACAGTATAACCCCTGCTTTCACGGTATTTGATGTTGGTATAATTTGTGGAGGGGAAGGGGAAAAACAAGTCATTTAAATAAGGATACAGGTGGACCCGTTGCAACAATGAGATGTACAAGTTGTCATGTTGAAAACGAACTTTACAACTTTGGTGGGGGGGAGGGGTAGGATTGGGTGGGGGGATGGGAGGAGGCTGGGAAGGGATGGGAAGGGGAAACAAAGGAGGAGGCTACAATGCTTGATAAGAAATGTACTCATTATCTTGCCCATCTAATTGTAACCCCTCTGTACAGTATTTTCACAATAAAAAATAAATAAAAATTAAAAAAAAAAATGTACTCATTACCTTGCTCATGTAAGTGTAACCCCTCTGTACGGTGTTTTCACAATTAAAAAAACCGAGAAAGATACAAAAAAAAAAAAAAGAACAGTGAAGAGAAATTGAAATAGACTTGGAGAACATTCAGTAAGGAACAAGTGCATACTGCGTGGGGTCAGCATCCCTGGTTCCCACACCTGTGCTCCCTGCCACCCTCAGGTTTAGGGCATCATTGGTACTTGGCCTATGTGCAGGCTTTCTCCAGATGCCTACTGCCCTGAGGCTGCGGTAGTGGAGTGGCAATTGTCAGAGCCACACACTGAGGTGTTCAGCAGCTATATTACCTTAGGGTGTGGTCCTGAGGAATTGCTTAACATTTCCATGCAGGTCCCTTGCTAAACACAGTAGGGGTATAGTAAAAGTCCTACCTACATCATTATGAGTGTTTGGGACAGTCTAAAAATACCTACTACTACTACCACTACTATTTTTTATTACTATTGTCAACTGAAGAGATAACAGTGTGTGTGTGTGTGTGTGTGTGTGTGTGTGTGTGTGATATGAAGGGGAGAATAAGTGAAAGTTTGTGTACTAGGTGATTTTAAATGTTAATCCATTTAAGGAGGATTAGTGACCAAGACAGACAAGTATGTAAACCCAGAATTTTATCAAGAAGGGGGGAACAACAGAATGGTGAGACAAAGGTCAAGGGGGAACCAATGCAACAGAGATACACACAAGACAACACGTTGGAAATGATCTGTACAACTTGGGGGGGGGGGAGGCTGGGGGGCAGGGAAAGTAGGAAAAAAGGGAAGCGTAAGAAAGATAACAAATGTACTCATTACCTTACTTATGTAACTGAAACCCCTCTGCACGCAGCTTGACAATAAAAATTTATAAAATAAACCAAAACCAAAACAAAGAAACAAAAAAACCACAAACAAACTGTAAACGGATTCCCAGAGAAATTAACCATTGATTCCTCCTACCAAGTAGAGCAAGGCATAGACAGCCATGGAATGAATGCATGTCATGACCTGGGATCTGGGAGTGGAAATTTGATGGTTAGAGACTGGTACGTTCAGGACAGGCTTGGTTTTCCAGTAAAGGCTGTAGCGTTGTGTGTGCGTGTGCGGGTCTGTGTGTGGGTGTGCGCGTGCAAATCCAAAGCACGGGGCGGGGCGGGGCGGGGCGGGGCGGGCCTCCGGTGCCAAGTTAGCCCGGGCTCCTGGGACGTGTGGCCCGCGCTGGAACCCAATGCTGGCGGCGGGGAGAGGTGCAGGCTGCAGCAACTGGCTCTGCGATGGGGCGCCTGTGGCTCCTGGAAACTTGGGGCCTCTGCGGGCTGCTTCTGTGCGCAGCGGATCTTCGCACAGGTTAGGGGGTGGGGCATTAGGGAAACGTTGGAGAAGTCAGAATAGACCGTGACCCTGCTTGGGGGGTGTGTGTGTGGGGGGGTGTCACTGAAGAGCCCAGGCCCCCTGGCACCTGCCCTGGGCAGAGAGAGAGAGAGAGAGAGAGAGAGAGAGAGAGAGAGAGAGAGAGAGAGGGACAGACAGACAGACAGACAGACAGACACTCAAAAAAAGGCTCAGAAGAGAACGTGAGAAATTATTTCAATTGTTATAAATTGAGCGAGGCTATTATTTAATCTGTGGAACTTCTTTCCTACCTACTTTTCAAAGTGACACAACCAAAAAGAGAACAATTTGCTGAGGAGTAAGGCAGGGATGAGCAGGCACATACGCATCCTGAAGGCTCGCTCTTTTCCCTAATTTTTTTTAATAAGTTTTTTATTGTGAAAATACTGTACCGAGGGGTTACAACCACATGAGCAAGGTAATGAGGACAGTTCTAGTGTCTGGCCCTGGCCGCTGAAGACAGAAGTTGTTGGGTCTTTAGGATGGGTGTCAGTCACTTCCAGGGAAAGTTGCCCTGAGTCTTCAAAGTAATACTCAGGAGAGGCCTGGGAGGAAAGTGATAAGATAAGAAATTGGAGTTGTCTGCCGAGATAAGAGCAGGATGAACTTGAGATAGACCAGGCAACACCAACTGAAAATAGGATCCAGCTCTCTTCCTGCAGTGCCCAACTCTTGGCTGTCTGGTGCCAGGGGTTAGTAGGTACCATAGGCAGGAACATTGTGGAATTCTTGGAACAGGCACACCCAAAGGCAGAGAGCTTTTCTATTGTGGGTCAAGATGCCAGGACACGATTTCAAAAAGGAATAAACATATTATCATTTTCTTAACCTTTGCTCAGACATCCACTTCACACAATATTTTTTGTGGTCGTTCTGTCTTCATTTAAGTTGTTCTACTTTGAGGATTGGTTTAACCTCTAACTCAAGGATGAGATCTAGTTTGTTTGAGCAGAAAATAAATGTGTCTACTCTCCATGTATTTTTGAGTTTTCTTGAAGAACTACTACCCAGGTGTGACAGTGCACTTATATAGCTCCCAGCACTTGGGAGGAGGAGGTAGGAGGGTCACAAGTTTGAAGCTAGCCTAGTCTATCTAGTGAGACTCAGTCTCAGTTTTGAAAATAATAATTAGTTGTAGTTTTCTAAAAATAATAATACTAAAAAAAATGTCATTTGCCCTGTGTTTCTCCAGACAGCTCTTCTATTTCCTGATGAGTAGGTTCAAGCTAATTCAAATTTGCCCTTAATTAACAGCAATGGATCCTTTGCCTTCTAGAGACTGATGTGGCCTCAGTAGCAAAAGAGAAATGCATCTTCTAAGTCACCTGTGACCCTCTGTGTACTAAGTTAACTGCCAGAAAGTTAAGACTGAGAAACATTTCTATATCCCCTGGAAACTAACCCAGTTTGTTAGTAACTTTCACTAATTCGCTCGACAAACTGGGTTACTCTCACATGAAGAGCTTATCATTAGAAAGCTTTCAGAAATTGCCCTTTGTGAAATCTCATCCTGCCACAGCTGTTCTCAAGGCACAATATTCCTTTTCTGCTCTTGAACACTTCTTTAAATCTGCCTTCTGTTGTCCCTTGCGCGTGTTTTTATGATTTATGTCTCTACGTTGTTGCTCTCTGATGCTGTGTGAAGGGTCTGCTAAGTGTGCTATCGTTCTGCAGTTCACAGAGCCCGTGTGACACTCCGAGTTCAATATGTAGCTTCTAATATGTATGAAAGGTCAGTCTGATGAAAATGGTTATCCTCTCTGTAACACCTAAAAGAGTGCTTTTCACAAAAACCAGTGATTATTAACCAAGTTTTAACTAAAGGATTATTTACTACTAAGTATTAACTAAGAAGTTGAAGTAAATTAATATTAACTTCAGTTAATATTTTTTAATCGTGTCTGAAATAGACCCTAGACATATTTTTCTTCAAATCCTATTATTTTTGCAATTTTCTTTACAAGTTTGTAATAGCTGGCTCAAACTGTGGTGCTTGAAATGGAGAACCTGGTTACCTTACCTGTACTGTTGTTCTTTTGTATCTTTCAGAGAGTTCTAAAACAATCCCCAGAGTTACAGAAGTAATGCCTAAATATGGAAGTATAAATGGAGCAACAAGGTTAACTATCAAAGGAGAAGGTAAAATTACTTTTCTTCTTCTCTTCCCGTCTCTATGTGAGCACTAAGGCTGATGTATTTTAAAGATTATTTCACATTGCTTTCTCAGAGGTAAGTCTAAATACTACTTTTGCTGTTTTATAGGAGCAGTATGTAAAATGAGTAAGTTGTATTGATCTGTTAGACACCATATACCTCGAGTTAGACGTATGGTAATATATACTTAAACTTTTGCTGAGATAGATGATCATAGGTCAAGTGTTATTGAAATGTGTGTGTGTGTGTGTGTGTGTGTGTGTGTGTGTGTGTGTGTGCACTAGTCCTGGGTATGAACTCAGTGCTGTGCCTGACTTTCTTTGGCTTAAGACTAGTGCTTTACCACCTGAGCCATAGCTCTATTTATGCTTTTTTTAGTAGTTCATTGGAGATAAGAGTCTTACAGACTTTCCTGCCTGTGCTGGCTTTGAACCATGATTCTCAGATCTCATCAGCTTCCTGAATAGCTAGGATTACAAGTGTGAGCCAGTGGTACCCAGTGTATACGGTTTTTTATTTTTTAATAAAGAAAAGATCAAGGCAACACTTGGAGATGGTAGATACATTTATGGATTTGCTTTCAGTAATTCTTTACAGGTATATAATTATATCAAAGTTATATACACTATAGCTTTTTATATGCCAATCATACTTTAATAACAAAGACAAATACATAAAGTTTTAATATAGGTGTTTGGTGCCCATTATATATATATTCCATATATATGGAATATGTTCAATACAATGATAAATCTACAAAACACCTAAGATCTCTTATCACTATGTGAATTAACTTGAAAAAAAAAGACGCACACAATTCATCCGTGCTACCTCTGATCACTAAGTATTTTCATTTTTACAATTGCATCAATTTATCAATCTAAAACACTTTACAACTGTAATTATTACCTAAATGTTGGCCCCCCCCATACCTATTTAAATTGTGTTACTTTCATAAAGTCATTTTAAAATATTACAGAAAATATTATTTAGGAGAAACTCCAGCTGCTAGAAAATCTAGTACTAACACTTTGTGTACACCCAAATGATTTTTGTCTACTTCTATACATGATGCTCACTTTTAAAGGCAAAACTTTGCTATTGGATTACTCTGTTCAAATGGCAGTGTTTATGGTGCAAGTTAAGCTCAGTGGTAGAACATTTTAAACTCAGTTTAAAAAAATTAACAACAAAGCAAAAAAAGCCTGTACTTAAGGAGACAAAGTTATGATTTTACTGTTATGATACCAAAATAGAAGTGTTTTGAGCAACAGCACAATCATAGAAATAATTGTATTTCCTTCTAATATGATGATATTGATGAAGTGGATTATCATTTTGGTCAGTTCTGGCATGTCTGTAAACTATATTGTTTTTTTTCTTTGCTTTATACCCATAGTTCATATTCCTCCATTATGTTTTGTACTAGCTATCCTATCTCTCTTTATGTAAAAAAATATGATAATAGTCATGATGGTCATAGGAGTGTCACAGACTTTGATCCAGTCTCTTGGCTTTCAATGCCATCTCTGCCACTGCAATTTACGTGGCTGGTATAAGTTACTTCTCTGAGCCCTGGCTTCCTCAGTAGAAACATGACCTATTAATTTCTACATCTTAGACTCATGAATATTGGAAAGAATAATGTAGCTAAAGTACCCCCTATGAGTATTTGCTACTTTATTCTTTTTATTCTTCAGTACTCATGTTACAGGCTTGGTTTCATTCTTTACAATGTATCTTCCACCAATCAAGCTGTAGTTTTCCTTACCCTACTGTTTTGAATGTTACAACTTTTAAATACATTTCCAAGACCTGCGTTACCTTGCCCATGTAATTGTAACCCCTCTGTATGGTATTTTCACAATTAAAAAAAAAGAACAACAACCAAAAAACCCAACCAGACAAAAAGCTTAGAGAAAACAAATCACTCTGAGTCTTATATGACAATTACTGACTGAAACAACACTAACATTTTCCATGATAGCAGCTTGGGCGGTACTTTTTGGATGAGTGCTATCAGGAGACTCAGGTTTGTGTGCCTGACAATTCTTGTCTCCAGTTTTACTTCTACAAAGGAAAACATATCAACATGTCAGGAATTTCCATGTGAAGTTTCAGCCTTTTCTGTTTCCAGGTTACTCCCAGCCCTTCCTGTAATCTATGTTCTTTGGAGGACTTCCAGAAGTGTCCTCTTTGTTTCAAATGATATCTTTAAATAAAAACTTAAAAACTATAGCTCATTTGCATTTCTTTTTGCTTTGTTGTAATTAATTTAAAATTATAAATATTTGTATATTTGTATGCTTTTAGCAAAAGTATAGCTAAAGCATTTACAAATCTTGTTAATTTGGTTCACATTTTCCCATAGGCTTTACTCTAGACATTTTCTCTCTTTCTTCTCCCCCCCCTCCCCTCACATGCACACACATATACACACACACATTTGACATTATAGCCATTTGGAAACTTTTTTAAATGCCATATTTTTTAGTATTATTTTTCAGAATTGTAGTTGATTTGGGAATGCCAAAGAAGAGATTCATGTCACCCTGTCACCAAGGTATCATGTACCTAATAGAAAAATAAATTCCTCTATCACTTCCTGAACAAGTAAGACTTTCCATCCTTTAGTTAGTTGGCAGCAGCCCTTCTTGATTCCACACTCAATGTGAACTCCATAGATAAGCAAAAATTGGCAAAAGAAAAGGAGTGGATTTACAAGTGGTTTGCTTTCCTATGTTCATATGCTTTCTCACAATTCCATTTGAGCAACAGCTGGCTTTCTAGTTTCTAAACTGCCAGCTCAATGCAAATATTAGTCATATGTGAAATGTACATGTATATTTGTATTTGTATTGTTCAATGTCAAATGAATTCTTTGATAAAGGCCTAAGATGTGAGGCATAGAGAGCTTTTTGTTAAAATCCCTACCCTTGGTTTTAATGTTAAGGATAAGATAGAAATAAGAAGAAAGAGACTACTACATTGGGTCACAGGTAATCTACAATCTGAGCTCAGATCCTGGCCTCCCACTTACTGATATTGATTATCTATCTATCTATCTATCTATCTATCTATCTATCTATCTATCTATCTATCTATCTAATCTATCTATCTAGTACGCTGGTCTTGAGGCTTGAATTCAGGATTTGGGTGTTGCCACCAAGTTTTTGTGCTCACTTGAGTCACAGTTCCACATCCATAATCTCAGCTGAGTGAGAGGCATAAGATCTGGAGAATGTCAGTTCCAGGCTAGCCAAGGTTAAACAATGAAAAAAGAAGAAGCTGGGCACAGTGAACTTGTCATCCCAGCTACCAAAGGATACACAAATTATAGAACTGATATTGAGGCCAATCTGAGTAAAAGCTAGACCTAGCTCAAAAACATAACCAGCATTAAAAAGGGCTAGTGGCATGACTTCAGTGTATAGTTCCTACCTAACAAGTGTAAAGTTTTGCCCTTAAACCCTAATACCACTAAATATATATATATTCCCCTCAAGATTGAGCCACAGTTGTCCTCAGAGATCCTAGTATTTTTTCTCTCAAGTTTTATCTTCCATTTCTCTAAGGGTTACAGCCTAAATAAACTATCAACTTGCAAGTCTGTTTATAGGAGCTACAGGTGAAGACTTCATCACTTATAATATTTATCACTTCTCACTCCTCTACTTCTTCCAGTCCCTTTGACTTATTTTTAAATAGTACCTTTCCCCATCTTACTTAGTATTTGGTGCTCTCTCTCTCTATGTGTATGAATGTAGAGAGAGAGATGCACAAGTTTCACAAAACTTCCATGAATAAATCAATTCAAGGCCAATTTTTGTATTTCCACAGATTATAACTATAGGGTTAAAGATGAAATAAATGGACTGTTTGCTTCATGCTATTTGGCATTATTTATTACATGATCAATTACTGGGTGACAGTTGTTAGCTCTCCGAAAATTGAATTCCATTAATAGTAATTGAATCTTCTTACTTTTCCAGGTTTTTCTCAAGCAAACCAGTTTAGCTATGGAGTTGATAACACTGAGTTGGGAAACAGTGTGCAATTAGTTTCTTCTTTCCAGTCAATTACTTGTGATGTAGAAAAAGATTCAAGCCATTCAACTCAAATTACATGCTATACTAGGTCGGTTTCAAAGTGTCTTTAATAACATCATTTTCATCATCTCAGAATTCAGTTATGTGTATTGGTTTTGAATAGTTTTGTCAGTCTGCCTACTAAAAGCAATATTTTTCTGGTTTCCAGTCATTATTTTTGATTTCTTGATATCTTGACTATTATTTTTGATTTCTTGATATCGTGACTATTTTACACCTTTATTATGTTCAGCCGAAATGTTCTTTTCACATATTGGAATGATAAAAGGATACCCCATATCTATTCTCCTGTATTACAGCCATTATCTTATCATTATTAGACTTCTTTAGTAGATAAATGGCTACTATTAAAATGTAATGATGTTCCTCAAAATGGCAAAATTATGCTTTCCTGTTCAGTTTGGCTAATTTTGTTTAAAATATTTGCATAGTTATTAAGATTGAAGATGACCATTTTGTATAGTGACATTTTAAGTTCTTTACTATCAGCCCAAATTGATGTGTATTATTAGTAATTTAGGAAACATTTTAAATCATTTTAAATTGCAGCTTTTAATATTAACTTTAGAACTAGGTAGCACATATTTTAGAGGACTTATATTAGGTTTGCTGGCTGTCTTTCATCTGCAAATGTGTACTTAAGAGGAAACTTGATTAATAGCTTTTTAAAAGAATATCATGAACTAACTGAATCTGTCAGGTTAATGTTAGTATTTTATATGATTATCACTACTTGTTATTACTGTATATGTTGTCCTTCATGATGAAAATTAATATACATAGTCAGAATAGGTATTGGTCTAAGCTAACCTATGTTGGAATTTGTGATATATGGTACTTCTGGATGCAGCTTTTCTTTGTGTAATAGAAATTTGAATTTAGCTAGATGCAGTGAGTCATGCATTCCTGGCTTGGGAGGCAGAGATAGGGAGGGTTATTGGTAGAGGCCACCCTGGGCAAGAAGGTAGAGAGAAACCATTTTAATAAATAAACTGGGAATGTTGGTACATATTACTCAAATATGTGAGAGGCTTAGGTAAGAGGAACTTGGTCTGTGGAGACCCTTGGCCAAAAATATAGGAGATCCTATTTAAGGGGAAAAAAACTAGAGCAAAAAAAGGTATAGGTTTATGTGGCTCAAGTGGTAAGAGTGACTGCCTAGCAAGCCTGAGACCTTAAGTTCAAACTCCAGTATTGCCATCCTAATAGTAAATAAATAAATCGGTCGGAATTGAACTCTGATTCAAGTAGAAATTTAGATAAGTTTATTTTCAAGGTTGACATGTAGTCTATCTAAGACAATATTTTTTAATTATGAATGTCTACTAAAATAAAAATGATTCCATCTTCATGTGTTCCTCATTGACCTTGAAGAGCAATGCCAGAAGATTCCTACATTGTGAGAGTCAGTGTGGACGGGGTTCCTATCGCAGAGAATCGCACCTGCCGTGGTCACAGTGGCAGCTGGGCATGCAGCTTCAATGTACGTGTCTCTCCTTTGGAACTTATACCTTATCCACCTTGTCTTCTTTTTGACAGAACTGGGTTTTTATTGCTTAATTTTTCAAATTGTTATTCTTTCCACATTAGAAAAGATATTATCCAGGCTAAGTGGCTTAAGCCTGTAATCTTAGCTGCTTGAGAGGTAAAGATTGAGAGATCATACACAGTTCAAGTCCAGCCTGAGCATACACAGTTCAAGAGACTCCATCTCAACCAGCCGTGGGTGAATCTAGCAGAGCACAGCAACTATACTGTCATTCCCTATGATAAGAGGAAGCATAAGTAGGATTACAGTTAGGCTGTCCTGAGTATAAAGTGAGACCTTACCTTGAAAATCACCCAGGCAAAGGGGTTGGAGATGTGATTCAGTAGTACAGTGCTTTCCTAGGAGACCCTGAGTTTAATCCCCAGTATAGATGAGAATGTATATGTGCATATCCATACACACACACACATATATATATAAAATATATGCTACCTAGTTCTAACGTTGATATATACACATTTTCTTATGCTAATATATTACTTATATGCATATTACATATGCTAATATGTGTAGATTACATATATACATGTAACATGATATATATGTAATATATTTCTATATTTCTCTAATATATTACATATATTAACATAGTATACATACTTATACATATTTTATTATATAATATATACAAAGTGTATATTACATAATATGTAATGTATAATACATATTATATGCTATATAATGTATAATTGATGTATAGTATATACATATGTACACAATAAATACCTATATTAGCATATATGTGTATACATTCATATATTAGCATAAGATAATTTTCTTAGTTTTGATTCTTTTTAGCAGTTGAATCTCTTTTATTTCTGCTTCATTCTCCCATTTTCAGTGGGAATTTAGGTTTAAAAAATATCACTGCATACTTACACTGTTGAATTTTTTTGTTTAAACTGTTTTTCCTCTTTCTCCACCTCTGTTCTTTGTTTGATTCTTTTCCTACTTCATAAGATTCACTACTTCATTATAAATAGAACATCACAGCTCTTCTTTCTGTATAATTTTGAATGTAATGAGCCTGCATGTTGTGTAGGATCCATACAATTTTTATTTTGAGGTAGGTGAAGGATTAGCATTAAAATTTAAAAATCTTTGTATATCAATATATTAGAAAATGCAGTATGTCATATCAATGTTAAATAAGTATACATGTTCTGCAGTAGTGTACTCTTATTTTTTTGTACTTCTATTAACAACTGATAACAAATACCTTGTACATTTTGTCTATTGGTTTAAAACTATGACAGAAACTAATGTTATTTAACATGCAATCCTCTATTATTTTGCTACAAATACTATTTAAGTAAGAATACAATGACTTGTAGAGATTGATTTGTACACCTAGCTGGCAGTTCCTTTAGCCTTTCTACTAACTATTTTAAAACTAATATTTTACCAAACAAAGGTTTTATGGCTAGAGATTCATTTTCTATTATTTTATAGGAATTCTCCATTTAGAATTTGTTTTCTTTTATCATTCTAAATTGTGAAAGGATATATCTGAAGCCTTCTTATCCTCATATTTCAAAATTATTTTAACACTCAAAAAACAATGGTCTTTCACATTCATCTTAATGAGAATAAAGGGCCAATTGACTTCATTGAGAATCTACTTTGTTCTAAATTATTTTATTATTTTTCATAACACAGGTTCCATTAATTAATTCTTTAAAATGCTTAATTAATTAATATTAATTAATTCTTAAAAATGCTTCCCATGTCTGTTCTGTTTTCTGTGGAATGTAAATTCTTCTTGATCTGTTTCTGGACTACTAATTTTCTCCAGCATTCTTTCAAAATGTAGATGATTAATTCATCTTGGTTACTGATTTTCCTAAAGTGTGCTCTTTTCCTATTTAAATAAGTAATTTTCTTCACATTGGAGCAATGTATGGGGCAGTATGGGTGTGGGTATAGGTGTGGGTGGTTGTGGATGTATGTGTATGCTGGTATGGAGCTTGAACTCAGAGCCTCTTGCTTTTTCTTTTTTCTACTCTACCCTGCTCCTTGCTGGCTAGGTACCACTTGAGCCACACCTTTACATCACTTGAGCCATACCTCCACTTCACTGGAGCCACACACCATCACTTCTTACTTCCAGCTTTTTGCTCTGGTTAATTGCTATAAAAATCTTGAAGACTGAACCTTGATCCTCAGACCTCAGCTTCCTAACTAGCTAGGCTTGCATGCATGAGCCACCAATGTCCAGCCTTTTTTGTCTTTTAAAAATGAATTCAGCATGTGTTTATTTGCATAATAATGGCTCATATAGTATTTACTGTAGTATTTATTATAGGTCAGGTGATATTCTTAATAGGTATGTTTATTAACTCATAACTCTGATAGCAATCTTGTAGCTGAATATAAGTCTTATTTACCTCTGTTTTATAAATGATAAAATTGATGCACAGAGAAATTATGTTGCTTACCCGAAGTCACATAAAGAGGCAGTGATTAAGCTCAAATTTCAATTTGAAAAGAGCAGCTGCAAACTTGGGCTTTTAACTGTGATACCCTTCTTCCTCTTATATGTACTTGAAGACCTCTAAAAGCTAGACAACCCTTTCTTATTTAATGCAATGACAAATTATCACAAACTTAGTGGCTTACTGCAATGCAAATGTACCATCTTACATCTCTGCAGTTAAGTCTAGGCTGCAATCACGTGTCTGGATGGCTACATTCCTTCCAGAGACACTATGGGAGATTCTGTATTCTTGCCTTTTCTAGCTGCTATGACTACCCATATAATTTGGCTCCTGTTCTCCTACCATTGTCTCCAAAGCCAACAATGGGAGTTAAGTCTTTATCACACTGCGTCATGCTCACTCTGCTTCCAAGAAGCACCCTATTTTCTTCTCTTAATCTGTCTGCACTCTGTTTCCCAGTTGTACTTCCAGAATCTTTGTAAATACTTTGGGCCCATGGGGGCAATACAGGGTTATCTCCTTATTTAAAGCCAGCTATTTAGCAACTTTAATTCCATTTACAACCATTTACCATAGCCTGATATTTCCGTAGAGACTGGGGTGTGGACACTTTAGAAAGTCATTACTTTATGACAGATATTGAAGTCTTAATTACACTGGTGGCCTCTCTGGAATTTGCCTCTTTTTCAATTCTCCTTTGCTGTGACATTTCTTAAGAAAAGTGACTGCATTGCGCCAGGAATTTATCATTACCATGACAAATAAAACTTGCTTTACTGGTCTTTTATTATTTTGCGTCTGATTTTGAAGTGTTCCTTGTTACTTTCTTTCCTCAAGGACTTAACCAAACATAATTTCTTTAATTTTATCCTGTCAAATTCTTGAGAGTCTTCTGAATGACTGATTGGCTTCTAGTTTTAACTAAAGGATGATGGAGTTTTCAAATTCTAGGCTGATAAGTCAGAATCTGGGGAATCCAATCTGGCACATGGGAGGTGTGGGTACAAGTGCTCAGCCATGTGGAATCTCAGAAGCCTGTCTCCCCCACGTTTCCCCTTAAGATTCCAGTAAAGCAAAGCAGAGATGATCATGGGTAGAAACTCCCTGAACTCCACCCTCCCCTACCCCCTGGCACCTCCCCGCCCCCCAAGCTCACAGCTCAACAAAAAAATAAAGTAGTTCCACAAAAACAACCAACCAACCAAGTAGACAAAAATTCCAGGCTGACAATATTGTGAAGCGGAAGAATTTTTAAAGAATAAGGAAATAATCTTGAATAACCAGAACATGATCAAAATTTTTATTATATGTAAGAATATTTTGATAGTTCTATTATGGATTATTATTGAAATAGAAGTAGAAATAGATCTATTCCATAAAATTAGAATCAATATAGAGAAAAGACTGCTTATCCATATTATTATTTTACAGACAAAAAGTTTCAGAACCCCAACAATAAGGAACATCACACCTTTATCTGGAACTCCAGGTTGGTTCTTGTAATTGCTGAAATTTTTTTTGGTGTGTGGCAGTTAACTTTATTTACATATATTGTGTATGCAATCATTATAATACCTAAAAATTATACATTTCCTTTTTCTGCTTATGAAACGGGTTATCAATTAAAAGTATTTTCAAAAGTTGAATCATAATCTATGATAATGCACTTAATTTTCATTGTATTGGATGTTTACTTATCTTCTAGTGTTTATTTTGATGATACCATTAGGCCAGTTTATAATACCTACAGAAATACATACGAATGCCCTTTTCTACAGCTTACTCAATTGTAACTATGAACTGTTTTCAAATATTCTTCCCAGGGAGTAATGACACACAGTAACGGAATTGGTTATGGTAACTATAAATGGCATTCTCAGCATTTGGGAAATAGAGGCAGGAAGGTCGAGTTTGAGGACAGCCTGGGCTACTTAGTGAGATCCTGCCTTAAAATAAAATGGAATTTATAAAAAAGAAAAAGTAGTATGCTTTCAGTGTTTTCAGTTCTTTGGTTTACTCTTAAATTTGTTTCAGGTTTGTTGAATATATGCATTTCATTTCATAAGCCAATCATCTTTTTCCATATGAAATTGTAAGAATTCTTTGAAATCATCTTATAAATATGTTAGAAACAATCGCATGAAAGAAAAAACATTTGAATATTTATCTGGGGGGAGGGGTGGGAGATGGGAAAGGATGGGAAGGGGAAACAAAGGAGGAGGCAACAATGCTTGATAAGAAATGTACTCATTATCTTGCCCATGTAATTGTAAGCCCTCTGTATGGTATTTTCACAATTAAAAAAAAAAAGAATTCTTTGAAGGATGCCAAATATCTTATTTCATGTATGTGTGAAATATATTTTGAATTTATCTTGTTTTGGAAAACAAATGCTTTTTCTATCAGATATTTTTTTTTTTTGGCAGTACCAGAGCTTGAACTCAGGGTCTCATGCTCACTCAATTGGCGCTCTAACATTTGAATTATATTTCTAATCCAGCTTTTATTTTTGACATGGAGTCTCACAGACTTATCTACCCAGGTTAGTTTTAAACCATAATCTAGATCTCAGCCTCTTAAGTATTTATGATTAGAGGTACGATTCACCAGTGCATGGCTCTGTCAGATAACTTCATTTTTATTATTACATGTGTAGATTTAACCTGAAATCCTAATTACACAATCATCACATTCAATTTCACTTTCTTTTCATAATTTTCAAAATTTAATTATTTAATGTACTTTTTGAGACAGAGCCTTGTGATGTTTTAAATTTGCAATTCATTTCCTGCCTCAGCCTCTAGAATGCTAAGATTACAGATGTATACTTTTATGACTAGCTTTAATATTTCATGATTATTTCAATCAAGATTTGGGTTACTTTATGTATTATGTGGCAATCTTTTTCTTTTTAAATAAATTACCTGTTGCCCGAAGTAGTATTTAATTAAGTATTTTACTAGTTTTTTCTCTGAAATACTTCACTAATCTTTAAATACAAATACTCATTCAATGTACTTAATATACTCAATATACACAATATATTTTATTATATTTATTAGAAATTTCACGCCAATGCTGAACACTACAACGGAATATAAGAATTCTGTTTTTTTCAGAGCACCAGCACCTCATACCTGCAATCCTAGCTACTCAGGAGGCTGAGATCTGAGGATCATGGTTTGAAGCCAGCCCAAGTAGAAAAGTCCCCATGAGACTCTGATCTCTAATTAACCATTCAAAAACCAAAAGCAGCACTATAGCTCAAAGTGGCAGAGTGTTAGTAGCATTGCTAGCACTACCACCAGCAAAAGAGATCAGGAACAGTGCCCAGGCCTGAGTTCAAGCCTTGGATAGACAAAAATAAAAATAAAAAATAGAAAAAATCTGTTAATTTGTTTTTATTAGAGAACTTTCTAGTGTTTTGAGATAGAGATTAATATAGAGCCTACTTGAATCTTTTGCTTTGTTTTCAGGTACATTAATAACAATCCAAGGAAGAATCTTTACTGATGTCTATGGGAGCAATACTGCTGTAAGCTCAAATGGGAGAAATGTCAGGATTTTGAGGTAATTTTGGTGTGGAAGTATAATAATGGATCAAATAATAAAATTTTTTTAAAAAAATTAAAAACTTCAGTATAGCATCAATAGATGTTTGTTTAAGGCAGTCATGATGGATAGTAATTAGCAATGAGTGATTAAGAAAAACGTATGGTAGTTATTGTTTATGGGAGGTACATTTTACTAATATAACTTAACTTTTATCTGATAAAATATTTATGCAGAGTTTATATTGGAGGAATGCCCTGTGAGCTTCTTATACCACAATCTGATGATTTGTAAGTAATTAAGAAAATTTTTGTTAAAAATTTTTTAAAATTGTTTTGCTAAAAAAATAAATAGTAATGGTAAGAAATATCACATAGCTAAATGCCTTTATAGTACATGAGTAGTAATAGTTTATTTCATAAATTAATATTCATTTATGTAGTTAGCTGCTAACTTATTTTCTCCTTTGTCTTCAGTATAGTACAATATGAATTATTATTTAGGTCATTATGAAAAAGGTGTTTTGAGAAATATCACATAATTTCTTTACTTGATTGTATTTTCAGTGCTTAAGAGAAACAGGAATGTCAAATTTAATTACAAACATTTTTGCATCAAATGAAATTTTATCTATAACCCATCACTGACACCTGGGAATTATTTTCATCTCACGGAGATTTTAAGTGGAGAATGTTTCTAAACTGATATATATTCTGAAAGTAATAAAATATGTCCAATTAAAATGATATTTTGAAATGTAATATCAATATGAAATTTGATAAGCTCATAATTTTGATAGGTATGGACTCAAGCTAGATCATCCAAGTGGAGACATGGGTTCTATGATTTGTAAAATAACAGGAACTTACATTGGTAAGCGTTGATCACTCTTCTTCATAGTTGTCAGAGAAGCCCAGCTCAGCCTTGTTTTATGTTCTTCTAGATCTTCCCTGCATTTTTTTCTCACGGTCGCCATTTTTTTGTTGTTTTTGTTTTCCCTTTCTTAATTGCCTTCTTTTCACTTTTAAGCCAGGGTGTATGCTTTATTTATTTACATACTTATTTTCTTAAGACATATAGAAAGTAAACTTCAAGGTTATATTTTCTTTTTTGCCCTTCCCAATGATTCTATGATTTACTTAGTTCAGCTGTTTTACTTCTTACATGCTGCCTTAATTTCAGTTTTCCTCCTTCTCCTCCTCTTTTTCTTCTTCTTCTCCTCCTCCTTTTTGGTGTGTGTGTGTGTGTGTGTGTGTGTGTGTGTGTGTGTGTGTGTGTGTGTGTGTGTGTGTGTGTCTGTGTGTGTGTCTGTGTGTGCCTGGGTGTTTGTGTGTGTCTGTATCTGTGTTCTGCTCCTTGGATTGAACTCAGGGCCTGGGTGCTATCCCTAAGTTCTTTTTACTCAACACTAGAGTTCTACCACTTGAGCCAAAGCTTCTCTTCTGGCTTTTTTTTTCTTCTAGCGATTAATTAGAGATAAGAGGCTCATAAATTTTCCTGTCTTGGCTGGCTTTGAACTGCTATCCTAAGATTTCAGCCTTCTGAGTAGCTAGGATTTTAAGTGTGAGCCACTGGCATCTGGCTCTTTCAGTTCTTAAATCAGCTTCTCTCCTATCTCAGGCCCTGTGTAAGTATTACATCCTGAAATTTTCAGATGAAATATATGTCCTCAGAAAATGCTCTTTGATGTTGGGCGCCAGTGGCTCACGCCTATAATTCTAGCTACTCAGGAGGCTGAGATCTGAGGATCATGGTTCGAAGCAGCCCGAGAAGGAAAGTCCGTGAGACTCATCTCCAATAAAACACTAGAAAACTGAAAGTGGCGCTGTGGCTCAAGCAGTAGAGCGCTTGCCTTGAGCTGAAGAGCGCAGGGACAGAGAAATGCTCTTTGACCCATATTTTACATTCTCAAGATTTATTATTCCTGATATTCCATAACAAGTTTAAGCTCTCTGTTTGGGTCTTTGCTCTTGATAATGCATTCTGTTAGGATAAGGATCGGCAGAGTCTTCCTTCCACACCATGTCTCTCAACCCCCATCAGAGGCTCTGAACAGGGTATTAGTGATGCCTATCTATTCTTTATTTTTCTAAGTTCATAATTGTATTTTGTAATATTTTCCTAGTTATAACTTCAACTTTTAAAACCTTCCAGTTTTCTTTGATGATTTGTAAATGATTATATGTGTTTTATTATATATTTTATTATATATTTTTGTTATATATTTTGTTTTATTATATATTTTATTATATATTTTTGTTATATGTTTTGTTTTATTATATATTTTTATTATATATTTTGTCTGCATTTAAATCAGCTACATAGAATAGAGTTATTGTTCTCCTCTGATTGGAAATTTAATTGTGTATTCCAATTAATTCCAGGTCATCACAATGTCAGCTTCATCTTAGATAGTGATTATGGAAGGTAGGTCATTTTGTAAATAATGATTATCATAATTGATTCAACTGGGCGAATAAAATTAAGTATAAATATTTATTTTGCACTCTAAATGCAGAGATTAAGGAATCAATCACTTTCTTTCCACATATTAACATTTAAAGAATCCATAACTCCCTTTTATTTTTAATTTGTACCTTCCATATGACTTTTACTTGTTGTGAATCAACAGTAACTAAAATAACAAATAAAAACATTTAACTGTGATGGAAAACTATTATCTTTTATATAGTTCTCCTGATTGAATAGTAATTTTTTTTTTTTTTTGTCGGTCGTGGGGCTTGAACTCTGGGCTTGGGTGCTGTCCTTGTGCTCTTCAGCTCAAGGCGAGAGCTCTACTGCTTGAACCACAGCACCACTTCTGGTTTCCTAGTGGTTTATTGGAGATAAGGGTCTCATGAACTTTCCTGCCCGGGCTGGCTTTGAATCGTGATCCTCAGATCTCAGCCTCCTGAGTAGTTAGGATTACAGGCGTGAGCCACCGGCGTCCAGCTGAATTACAATTTTTGTTACTGTAAAACAAAAGCCTCATAATTAATATTACAGGATAAAGGTTTTCTTTTAAGATATCCTAATAAGTGACATATAATCCACCCCATCTTGCCTATTGGCAACATGAAAAGGAAGGAGGAAAGGGAGATAATTTGCCCAAGCAAATTCAGCCAATAGAAGCAGATTACAGCAGTAAGTGAATCATGTAGTCTAAGTCCTATCTCGCGGACCTGAACATTTCATTCATTCTACTTCTCTGCCATGGCTGATAGAAAGTTTCAGCCACCAGAACTAAATATCACCACAGCTTCACGTTTTGATGCTGTAGTATTTACAATGAAAACATTTACAATGAGTGTATTTTCTGACTATCACAGTAACTGGGTAAGTTAATGTCTTTAATAGGCAGGACATAGATGTGACAAACCTAAATAAATTGTTCTGCCCCAAATCTCATAGTGTCTATTGAGAAAATGAGTCAATTGTCAGGCAACCAAATAAATTTCTATTGGATACTGTAATTAAATAAATAAATTGGATTCTATTTAGTATCCAATTTTAATATTGTTAGTTAGATCTGTTGATTTATTTTTTTGTCTCTCAGGAGACACCCAATGATTGTAAGCTTGAAAAGAATGTCCATACTACAAAGTAATATGTGTTCACAGAGTGCCAGAGCAGCTCAGATTGGTTCTCTCCTCGCATAAAAATGTAATTCCAGATGGATTAAATTTTACTATCATCTTTAGAGGGCTATCAAATTCTAGACACAAGCAAGAACTTTATAACAAAGCAATACCTGAGATGGATACTTTATTACAAACTAAACCAAATCCTTGAATAGCAGTATAATTTAGCACCAAATCAAAGAGATACATAAGTGGCTATGAATCAGCTTTGTAACTGATACACAGCAAATGAATTAGAGCCCTATGATATAACAACTATTCTCTTCAAGAAGAGAACTTCTTATAAACAACTTTTTAAAATTTGTGAATAGAATTTTACGAAAAAGACTAAACCCTTTGTGAGAAGCAACCATCCTTGAGTTTTAAATGATTTCTATAACTATATATGGGTCTTTTATGTTCTTACTCTCATTCTCTAAGGTGAAAAATGAATTCTTAACTTCCAAGTCTGTGAAAATTGTTAATTGTCAAATCCATTATATGTCTCCCAGAGAAACAATTATCCCAAAATAGATGGTTTGAGTGATCAAGACTGAATATGATTGCTAAGAGTGCATAAATCAGTCTGCTGCATTAAAGGCTCTGGAAATTTCCATTTATAACTATCATCAAATTCACATATTCTATAACTAGGGGTACTACCTTAAATTGTTCATTCCATGATCTTGATTTATACTTTATTTTCTTTTTTTAAAGAAATGCATGGCTAACCTTTGATACTAATGTCCACTAATTGAAGAAATGATGTTTCTATATAAAATAGTCTTAGGAATTTAAGATAACTATTAAAACTATGACATTTACTACTTAGAAGCCTAGTTTTAAGATTCCATGTCATTTAAAAACTATTAAATCTTTTTTAATGATAAGATTCATATTTTACAATTTTAGGCACATTCCTGAATATCAAATGAAGTAATAATTAAAGTCCACTGTGGCACATAATCTGTATCTTTTTTAATAGCCAACCTTGTCTTCACTATTTCCCCAAGTTCAAATGACAGCTGTTCCAAACTGATAAGGTTCAGATGAGGCTGTCTTAATTGAGAAATGCCTACTCATTATCAATAAATTCGTGAAAATCACCCCAATGTCATCCCAAATAAATTACATTCAAATTTTATTTCAAAAGGCAATTTTCTCACTAGCTAAAGAAGCAGAGGATCTGTTGAGACACAATATTGTTGGTGCTGGCATGTTTTCAGATCTTTGGGGATCAACACAAAAATATACAATCTAATATGAACTTCTTAAATAACTAATTTAGCATAAAGTATTTCCCAAGACTCCTTAGTCTTGCAAATATGTATTGTAATGCATGAGTTAGCTTCACAGGAGAGTTCATTGTTTGTCCCTAACCTGAGGCTTATATTACCCTTTTTGAGTCTACTTTTGTATCTTAATATTTGTATTTGAATTCTTTAACTTTTCTAATTTCATTGAGGTAGTTAGAGAAACATTATTTAATTTTGACCCTAGATTATGGAAGTATATATATCAAAAATAACAAGTGTGCATTAAGGGCAGTGTAAACCTAGTGGACTGGATATTAGTTTCTTCTCACTCATCTGTACTGTCACAGAAATTAGTAGTTACTATACCTATTAGGACTTTGCATTTCTGTTTTATTTCTGCCACTTGGTTTTGTAATCTTGAGTAAATTATGAACATTCTTGAATTTTACGTACTTGATGTGATAAAGGTAAAAATTAGATGTCATAGTAAATTGAGAGCTCTTAGCTTGATCCTCATAAATCACAAGGAGGTTCTAAGAGACCATGAGATTGTCTGCAGGAAGTGCTCATATATCTGAAGGACAGCTTTCCTGTTCAGAGTCTTTCTTTCTTTCTTTTTTTCTTTCTTTCTTTCTTTCTTTCTTTCCTTCCTTCCTTCTTCCTTCCTTCCTTCCTTCCTTCCTTCCTTCCTTCCTTCCTTCCTTCCTTCCTTCCTTCCTTCCTTCCTTCCTTCCTTCCTTCCTTCCTTTCTTTCTTTCTTTCTTTCTTTCTTTCGAGTTTCTTTTGCTCAAGTCTAGTACTCTGCCACTTGAGCCACAGCACCATTTCTGGCTTCTTCTACATAGCTTATTGGAGATAAGTCTCACAGACTTTTTTGCCCTGAGCTGGCATCAAACCACACTCCTCAGATCTCAGCCTCCAGAGTAGCTAGGATTACAGATGTGAGCCACTAGCACCTGGCTCCTGTCCAAGTTTATTTTGTTTTCTGAACTTTTTTGTTGGTTAATGTAATTTCCTAAAACCAGCTCGATTCAGGAAAAATTTGCATTTAATAAAATACACATGCACATATGTAAAGTGTACATAAGTTCTGACAAATGTATAACCAACAACAAAATAAAAATACAAGATGTTATATCTTCCCCCTAAAAGTCCCATCCTACTATTTTGTAAGCTACAATACGATTTCTATCACTACAAAAATTACTAAAATAAAGGTCTTTTCTTAAAGTTCTTTTTATTTGATATTGCTATTTGGGCTTGAACTGAGGACTTCATGCTGTAAAGATCCTATTTTAAAACAGGAAAATTTACCTTTTTTTAAACAGGAGTTTCCCAGAGAAAATGACATATTTTGTTTCATCCCTCAATAAAATTTCCATGTTTCAAACATATGCAGGTATGTGATGTTTCTCTCACATCATTGTATACTCATATATGTCATCAAATGAAAGAAAATAGTGTTTTCTATACTGCTAGAAAAAGACAAATGCCTATAAGGAAGACTCTAATTGGATGACTGACATGAGCTAAGCTCCCCAGCTTTGCATTTTTTGTGTAAGATTTATTGAAAAAAACAATTCATCGACCAAACAGTGATAGCTGGGACACTTGCATGTCTCAATTTTAGTTGTTGGTGGAGGAAGAAATAAAAAGTTTTCCTGTCAATTTAATTCAGAAGCCAGTATCTCTATGCCATGAGTGTGGCCCAGAGGAATACTAAAATAGATTTTAATTTAGCCTAATTTAATTATTTTAAAAAGGTCTCAGGTTGAAATACACTTAGGAGGGTATCAGAAGCAAATATGCCTTTCTGGAAAAACTGTACTTGTCCTGGGATTGAAATGATGGAGACACACAGATTTCAAGGATGTCAAGGTGTGAAAAAAATCATCTTGGAAGCAATCACATGTGGTTGCTTTTCCTGGCAATTTATTTCATGCAAAATGCATCTGTAGTATTATTATAAAACTTTCACAGAATTAGAAAAAAAGTGTAAGAATCTGGACTAATTTACCAGTACACTTAGAACTTTATGTTTAAAGTCACACAAAGCTTACCATAGTTAAAGGCACTTGCTACCTGGAGAAATGCAAATATAAGATGCCAGTCCATAAATAAAAGAATGAGCAGATTCTTCAAGATCGTTCTGATTTAGGTAAATATGCATTGTATTTCATGTGCTCTCCCCACCCCCAGAAATCACTTCAATTTCACCCTCCAAAGGAAGCATTCAAGGTGGCGCTGTGCTAACTATAAATGGACAGTTCTTTGATCAGACGGATCTGCCAGTGAAAGTTCTAGTTGGAGGTATGATTTCTCAAGTCATACTTTGTAAGAATGAATCCTTCCTGTTCTTTAATAATTTGTAAGAAGAACAATAATCTTCACTATTATTTTCTTCCATTGAAAGCTAGGTATTTGCACATAGGAATTGGGTTCCGGGACCCCATGCTCTTCCCATTGCAATTTTCTAAAGAAGGCAACTCCTTCCAGCTTTATGTGACAGTAACCTAAGCTCTGCGGGTGACACCAAAAGGCACTGTGACATGGCACTGTAGCTACCACCCACAGTGAAGGACACACCGCTTTCTATATAATGAGCTCTTTTTATTTCTCTTTTTCATCTTTAGACAGTTGTAATTCTTTAAAAAATATTTATTGTAAAGATGTTGTATGGAGGGGTTACACTTACATGAGGAAGGCAATGAGTACAACTTTGGTGGGAGGGATGGGGGGGGAGTGTGGGAGGTGAGAGGCGGGAAGGGATAGTGGGACAACAACAAGGGAAGGGGGTAACACTGATCGACAAGTGATACAGAGGGGTTACAGTTACATGAGTAAGGCAAAGAGTACATAGGGGGAAGAAAATACAAAGGAAACAACAACAAGAACAAGTAAAATCCCATGGTACATTTAAAACAATAACCATAAAGACAGACCTCTTGTTTCCATATCTTGGAAAAATCATATTAAGTGAAGTAACCCAATCCCACAGAAATTTAGGTCTCATGGTTTTCTTTATTTGCTAAGAAATGAACCCCAAAATATAATGAGCTCTTACAAGCCCTTCTTGAGGAAATGATGAAATTTAGGTAGGATTTTCAGATTTCCCCTCATACTCTCATATACTGTGGCTGGTATGCATTAATAATTACTGATAATACTGGCCTTGGGAACAACAGCCTGAACTCTCCACCGGGGCACTGTCCCTGAGCTCTTCAGCTCAAGACTAGTGCTCTACCACTTGAGCCACAGCACCACTTCCCCAGTTTTATGTTTTAAATATTAAAACAAGGATGCAAAATTCTTTTAACTTGTACAATACATTTGTGATGATCTGATCTTGTGCCTGATTTGGTTATGATGTAGTCGATACGCTGTGAGGATGACAATTTTCTATCATATTTCATTGTTGAGAAGACGACAATTTTCTCTCATGCTTTTGTATTTATTAATGTGGCCACCAGACTGGAAGCTGGAGACCCCCCCCCTCCCATAATTTCTTTAAAAATAATAATCTGCTAATGTATTTCCTTTGCCTCTGATAAAATGATCTGGTGGTTTAATATACTATTCTAATGTATTGTTTTGCTAGTTCAATCCACAAAAGATTCAAAGTAGTAAAGGGTCGTATCAAAGCTAAACATGAAAGGCCACCAAACATGAGTTGGCAACCAGATCTGACTTCAGTTCCGTTGTCTTCACTTTTCATGGATGATGACTGTTGCTTCATTGAATGCTCAGCACGGACCGTTTATTTACATGAGGAACACACGCAGGTCTCAAACACAGACTCCTCTATCAGGCTTTAGACCCTTGTCAGTCTGGAATTCAGTCTGCTTGTGAACATAGCACTTTAACATTATCGTCCCATTTGCTTTTATTTAAAAAACTTGGGTTAATGAACCAAGTGTGCACCTACCTTTAATACTTGTGTCCATCATGAGGTCATTCAGCAATTCCTCCCTGAGGGGAAATTGAACTTCACCTAAGGCCCACCCATAAGTGGCATGTTTACAATGAAATCCTTTGATCCATTTTGTTCTGTATTCTCCTGAGAACCTGAAATTTTCTTTCTCAGATGTGTTATATTTTGCCAGGATATAATTTTCCTTGATGGAAGTATAGCCATTAATGAATAATGTGCCTATTTTTATTTGGAAATAGAGTCTCACTATATAATCTCACTAGCCTGGGCTGATGTTGAACTTGCCCCCCACCCCTCGGCCCCCAGACTGCTCAGAAAAATTTCAACCATCCCACCTCCAGGCACTAAGTGGTGAGATGATAGGCAGGGCCATCACAGCCAGCTTGAATGAAACATCATTTTCCATGGAATGTATCTATATCTATCTATATCTATATCTATATCTGAAATGAAGAACCTTGACTTTGACACTTCTATGCAATTTTGTTTTAATTGGAAAAAATATTTCAAGGGAGGCTACTGTAATTTGATTTCTGGAATTTTATTTTTAATAGTTGTTCATTTTGATCTGTACAGGTCAGTCCTGTGATGTTCTCAATGTTACAGAAAATAGAATATATTGCAAGACACCTCCCCTACCTCCAGTTCTCAAAAGTCTGTATCCAGGTAAGTTACCATAAAAAATCATAGAAAAAAATATATATGAGGTATATTTCCAGGAAAAGAATCATATGGGCATGTTTCATGTGTCATAAAATATTATTAGTTTGTTTTAAAATTTTTAGTGAGAATTGTCACTTCCCATGTTTTTAAATCTATTTATTCTAGATTAAATAGACTTATTCTAGATTAAAATACTCTATCAAAGTGACATCAGTGGAGATAAACCCAGCCTAAATCCTTCTGACACCCTACTGCCAATAGTAAGTCTCTGTTGATAAAACTGCAATATATCTTTAGTTTAAATTTAGTTATGATCATTAACTCTTGGTACATTATATATAGAATATTTTTTGTGGTGCTGGGGATTAAACTCAGGGACCTATGTGGGATGCAGTATCAAGACCTATCCAGTTCCCCTTACTTCCCACAGAAAATATGTCTATCTCCATTTGCTTTTCTTGAATTGTACAGAAGCCTGACTTGCATCACTGTCTTCTCCCACTGGGAACACCAGGCTGTTAATTGGACATCTTGCCTCTATGCCACTATTTTAGTAATCCCATTATCAGTAATTATTAAAAATAAAATACCGCTTTTTTGTTAAGTACCTGGGGATTGCTGGTGCTATGCCACTTGAGCCAAACCTCCAGCCCCTTCCTTTGTTGGTTATTACTTCATGCCCAGGATAGCTTGGCCTTTTAATTTTGCTACTTGTGCTTCCCTATGCCACTGAGACTGGCAAGGGTGTGCCACTGTACCCAGCCATTATGCTTTTCCTGTAGTTGGAGTAACAGGCACACATTACCACGCCCAGCCACTAAGATGACTAAGATAGAGTCTTATAAAATTTTATGCCCAAACTTGTTTTAAATGAACTAAAATTTTCCATCTCTGCCTCGTAAGTAGCTATAATTACATATTTGTAAAATGCTCACCTAATAATTAATTAATTAATTAATTTTTGTCAATTGTGGGACTTGGACTCAGGGTCTGGGCCTCTTTATGCTCAAGGCTAGTGCTCTACCTATTGAGCCACAGCTCCACTTTTGGTTTTTGGTTTTTTGTATTTTGAGTGGTTAATTGGAGATAAGAGTCTCACAGGAACTTTTCTGCCCTGGCTGGCTTCAAACTGTGATCTTCAGATCTCAGCCTCCTGAGTAGCTAGGATTACAGGCTTGAGCCACTGGTGTCAGACTCCTTATAAAATCTTTTAAAATATTTTTTTCTTGGGGAAAAATATAAATGGAGAGGTTACTTTCTTGTCTAGAATGACTTGGGTATGAAAACAGATGAAGGATGTATATATGACTCAAAATGCTTTCTAGATTTTTCCCTCTGTAGCCCAGTGAACTTGCAGGTAGGTAGCCTTCATATGTACACTAATTCCTTTTGAAATGTTGTACGTATGTTTGGACAGGGTATGGATCTTGTATCTTGTACACACAGTGAAATCTGTTTATAATTAAAAGTGCAATAAAACTCTTCACCCATTCTCTTAAATTTCCTTGTCTAAATATTAGAAAAAAGTTACCAGTTTTAGAAAATCATTTTCATGTTTATAATTGATGATTCTAAAGGAAGGTGAATTTATGACTGGCTACTTCTGCTGTGAAATACTGGCTCGGTCAAGGTAATTTGTCTTTTCTCCAACCAAATTTGGGTGAAGCGAAACAGCCATGATTTTCCTGATACAAACAAGATTGAGGCACTGAAGGAAGCCTTTATGGCTGCTGTATTTTGAGAAAAATAGAAAAGGAGTTGACAGTTCTGTTCAGGAAACACTTAATACTAGAATTTACACTGGCAAGTCAAGGAACATTTTATTGAGAGTGCTTTCCCTCTTATTCCATCCCAGAAAGAGGTGGAATCTTAGCACAGGAGTGATGCTTGAAAAGAACAAAAAATAAAGAAAAATAAAATTAAAAATAGAGAAAAAATACTGAGAGAAATCGTAAAGCCAGCAGTTTGTTCTTTGATCAATGGCTCTGTAAAGCCATTAATGAGTAACTTGTTTTGTTTTTTTTTTTGGGGGGGTCCACTCGTGGGGCCTGAACTCTGGGCCTGGGCGCTGTCCCTCAGCTCTTCAGCTCAAGGCTAGCGCTCTACCACTTGAGCCACAGTGCCACTTCCGGCTTTTTTCTTTTTGCCTATGTGGTGCTGAGGAATCGAACCCAGGGCCTCTGGCTTGCAAGGCAAGCACTCTACCACTGAGCTACCTTCCCAGCCCCTAAGTGAGTAACTTGTAAGAGTAAACCATTAAGACAAAAAGTTTATAATAAGATTGAATTGTGAATTTTTTACTTTATTATATAAAACAAAATCAGTCACAGGTAATAGAGTAATTTTTGTATTGTTATTCTTACATAAAATATAAATCATACCATATATGTTCTACATGTATAATATATATGTATATATACTTCAAATTTAGCATATATACATACATATTATGAAATGCATACATATATGCATATATGTCTGTGTATGCATAGAATACATGTATATATATACCATATATGTTACATATAGTATACTTAATCCACATAGAAACCATACAGATAGCATTATTACCTCCTTTAACATGTGTAGAAACTGAGGCTCAGAGAAATAAAGTAAGAATAAATACATTGCAGATGGCTGTATTGCCTTATGTCCTCTCAGAATGGATACATTTACAAGTATGTATAGGCAAAGGAGAGCTACAGGAATGGAGGGAGGAGGGGGAAGCAAATGCAGTTATGGTATTCAATATACACTATGTAAAAACCAAACTATATAACTCGTGGGTGGGGACAGGAAGGGGACAATGGGGGAAAGTGAAGGAAGGAGTGACATGGCCCAAGAAGCATTGTACTCATTACCTTTCTTATGAGAATGTAACTCCTTAAAAATAACACTAAAAAGGTGTAGGGAATTGTTTTATTAACATGCATGCCCTAAAGACCTGAATTGATATAGAACCCCTATAGGTACCACCAAGAAGAAGGCTGTTGAGATATTGGGTCACCATTCACATGTATGGCTTTCTTTATTTTATTCAGGAGGGAGAGGTCTAAAGCTTGAGGTGTGGAATAACAGTCGGCCAGTGCATCTTGAAGAAATATTTGAATACAATGAAGGCACTTTGGGATACATGGGAGCCACTTGGGTAGACTCTGCTTCCTATGTTTGGCCTCTGGAGCAAGACACATTTGTTGCACGTTTCAGTGGATTTTTGGTGCCCCCAGATTCTGACGTTTATAGATTCTACATCAAAGGTGATGACCGTTATGCTATTTATTTCAGCCAGACTGGACTTCCAGAAGATAAGGTAAGGGAGTCAAAGAACACTACTTGATACTATAAAAGAAGTGTGGTGATATTTATATTTATCTAAATTCTTATAAATCAAACTCAGTGAACATATGAATTTCTGAGAAGAAATTCCACGTGACAGGATTTTTTGCTATCTTACCACATGTGAAATGAGCAATACAATTATTATAGAAAACCCATAGACTAAAAGAAAATTATTTCCCTGATCTAAATTTTCTCTGCCAAGGGAAATGTCACATATCTTTATTTTTAAATTGAAGTTCTATGTTTTTTAATGAATGAATTCTAATATAACCTGAAATTTGGAAAAGAATGATGTATTTCACTCTTGTATATTTACTCAGTTAGGATATGAAAATCTGTCTTTTCCTTTTAATCTCTAAGTTTTTGTATAATTAAGGTCATGCATCCAAATTCACACTCATCTTTTATGTCATATATTAGTATTAAATATCAGGTATAATCAGAATTTCAAATTAATGACTGCAATGCTGTAACACATATTTACTAAGCTAACTATCTTCCTCCTAGTAAGTTTTTGGCTTCAGATTTTTTATGGCCACTAATAATACTATACTGGACATCTGTGTTTTTTAGTTTTATAATGTGTGTGTGTATGTGTGTGTGTGTGTGTGTGTGTGTGTGTGTGTGTGTGTGTGTGTGTTAATATTTCCTCAGGGTCGTTACACAAACTTGAAGCTAGCAGATCAACTATAAAATATCAGTTTTATGATTCAATTTATATAGCAAGATTGCTTCCTAAACTGGCTGTAAATTTAAATTGCTACTTCTAATTTATGAATTCTGATTTATAATAGTTGTCAGCATACCTACTCTAAAGATTCTCACTAGAAAAATCCATAGTCTCCCACTCTAGTATGTTAAACTATTTAGCAACCTTTAGCATCTCTCAGAGCGAAATCTAATGATCTACTTTAGATCAGGTCTCTAAAAGTTCTCTGCTGAGCAAAATAAATGTTTTTACAGTGCACACCTTTTTATTTTCCACTAGAGTTCTAGTTAAGGAAACACTGATCTACATAGTGCACTTGGTGGTGAAGATGGTGTTAATGAAGGGTGAAATGAATGAAGACAGCCTGATCATTTAAAAAATTCCATGTTACCACAGATAACTAACTTTAGAAGAAATATATGAAGGACTTTCATAATTTTTGTTCATAAAAGCACTAAGTATGATAATAATGAAAAATGATAATTAAATATTGAAAAGACTTTAAAATTATCTTTCTGTCTATCTGGAAAAGGTAAGGATTGCCTATCATTCTGCCAATTCCAACAGTTATTTTTCCAGTCCATCCCAAAGATCAGATGATATTCATCTTCACAAAGGAAAAGAGTAAGAATTTTTCTTGTCTTTAAGTTACTGAATATCTTTTAAATACAAGCTGATGTTTTAAATTTTTATTAGTGATTATGACAGTTTGTTGGCTTAATTTATCAGTTGACTAATAATTTTGTTAGTAAGAATCTCTATTTTCAAGATCACTGACATTCAGCTAATCAGGAAAATTTGAAATCCAAGTTAACCTGTTTCAGAATTATAATTTTATGAAATTTACTTAATCCTGATTCTTATTCTAAGATTTTTCGGTCAATACTTTATTAATTTCTTTGTTTCATCAGCTGATTGTTTCTATAAAACTACATGGGTTGGAGCCAGTGTCAATTAATATTTGTAATTCACTGACCTATCCCTAACCTTGGAAATTTAATGCAAATTATATGAAAATACCATTCAAGGAGCCCACTGAGCGGGATTGAATGGGATTGACCAGGATCGAGCTGGATTGAGCCAGTGTGAACAGGTGTGAACTGGATCAAGGCAGAATGAGCTAGATGGAACAGGATGGAACCAGATGGAGCCGGATAGAGAGGGATTGAGCCAGATTGAACTGGTTTGAACGGGATTGAGCTGGATTGAGCAGGTTTGAACCAAATCGAGCAGGTTTGAACTGGATCGAGCCAGATTGAGCCGATTTGAAACAGATCATGCTGGATTGAACTGGATAGAGCAGGATTGAACCTTATTGAACCAGTGTGAACCGGATTGAGTCGGGCTGAACCGGTTTGAACCAGATTGAGCCTGATTCAGCTGGATTGAGCAGGTTCGAACCGGATCAATCCATATTGAACCAGATTAAGCCAGATTGAACTGGATTGAATCGGATTTGAGCCAGATTCAACCAGATCGAGCTGGATTGAACTGGGTCAAGCCGGATTGAGTCGGATTGAGTTGATTTGAAACGGATAGAGCCGGATTGAACTGGTTTGAACCGGATTGAGCCAGATTGAACTGATTTGAAACGGTGTGAGCCTGATCGAGCCGGATTGATCCGGATGGAACTGGTCGAGCCGGATTGAACCAGATCGATCCAGATCGAGCCGTGAATGAACTACTCTTCATTTTACATTGCATGGAATTTGCATGCACCGATTCTGATCCCTCCTGGAGGAAATGCGCGGACGAGTCAGGCGCGCGCTCCTGGGTTTCTGCTTTGGACGCGAGGAAGGCGTCTGAGTGAGTCAACGACTCCTCCTCAGTGGCTTGGACAGCCGATGGAGGAGGAGAAGACGCTTCAGCCTCCATGCTTGGTGCCATAAGGCCAAAGTCTCTCTCTCTCTTTTTAAACTACTTTTTCTTGCTGGTTTTTGACAGAAACTAAAGGGTAAGATCTCAAGGAAGACAAAGCCTGGGCTCAGGAAGATAAGAGTCATTTGTCCTGGTTGGAATTTAGACATGCTTTCTTATCTTCCAGGAGCTAGACTGAGCTGGTCAGGTTAATGGATGTATTTGTAGCAGTAAAGACAGCGAATTGTAGTATTCTCTTCCTATTGGCCAATGCAAATGGTGAAACCTAGACTCAGGGGACAGGGATAAATTTCACTTTTGGGGGGCAGATAATAATGGGGTTTTGGACTTAGGACCTGTGATTGCTAGGTAGGAACTCGTCACTTGAGCCCCTTCCCTTAACCCTTTTCAGTTTTTATTTTTTTTTTTAATAGAATAACATGTTTATTCCCTGTCTGGCTTGGACTTCAGTCCTCCTAATAACATTTTCTGCATAGTGGGATGGCAGGAATGCACCGCCATGCTCAGTATTTTTTTTATAGCTATGACCTCACAATATTTTTGGTGGGGAATAAACTTGAATTTCAGTTTTCTCAAACTTTCTACCTGGGATAACTTTGCACTTCAGTCCTTCCAATCTCTGCCTCCCAAGTTCCTTGGATTATAGCTACAGACTTCACTTTTTGATAGGGGGAATATCTTGTCGTTCATTTTCCCATATCATCCACCCAGGTATTATCATGATTATGTTCAAAGTTAGCACAGTGAAAATCTGAGAGAATTGACAAGTGGTTTTCAATCAGTGGAACCGGGGAACAATCACACTTAATGCTTTACTGAGATTTTAGTGAGCTGGGAAAAGAATATTGGCCACCACGTTTTTTCTGCTTTTTCTTCTTTATAAGCATAAACACTATTATTTTTAACAAAAAATCATTAATGGACCAATTGATGAAGTATCTGATTAATATCTACTGAAAATAAGTGTCCATACATCTTCAGACATTGAGTTGGTCTTACAAAATGCATTTAGCTTATTTGCTTGGCAGGAGCACAGAGCTTGAATCAATGCCATTTCCAGTACATCTGTTGCCTGCTGTCTTTGTTCTTGTAAAAACAACTGCACTTGACAATGATAACTATGTAGTCTACACTTGATAATAACAACTATGAATTCTGTAAATAAGATTCCTAGCTTCATTATTTTACAATGGTTTTAAAAGCCTTATGAAAATACTTCCCATTGTTCATTTTGCTCAAATAGAGTGACTTCATGTTCTACTGCATATTTGTTTTGATCACCTTGTTCTGCTTTGAATTTTACATCCGTTTCTAATTTTAAAAAAATCATTAAATTTTAACTGGGCACTAGTGGCTCATGCCTGTAATCCTAGCTACTCAGAAGGCTGAGATTCGAGGCTCATGGTTCAAAGCCAGCCCAGGGAGCAAAGTCTGTGAGACTCTTATCTCCAATGAACCACCAGAAAATTGGAATTGGTACTGTGGCTCAATGTGGCAGAGTGCTAGCCTTGAGTAAAAGGGACAGTGTTCAAGCCCTGAGTTTAAGCCCCATTACTCACACACACACACACACACACACACACACACACACACACACACACAATCTTAAATTTAAAAAATTCGATTAGTCTCTGTTATTCTTTCAAAGAAAGATATACTAGTTTGGTGTCTAGTAAATATAAAGTGTCTAATATTTTAAACTTCAAATAGGGAAGCAAAATCTCATGGTTTTTTCTTTGTCTCCATATCCTTATTTAGTCTTGGCTACCTCCATTCAGGATAAGTAGCCAACAGGTTCATGTGGCAGCTTAGAGCCCTACTGTAACCTCCAGGCTCATTTTTATCAAGGAGACTATCCAGAGTCTCCTTATCACAAACAAATAAGAAATGTTGCTCATTTGGAGTATTCTATGAATTTATTCTTATATAACAGACAATTCAGAGGAATTCACATGTGGATTTACTTATTAGTTGGTTGTGGGGCTTGAACTTACTCAGGGTCTGGGTCTCTTTGTGCTCAAGGCTAAGCTTGACCACTTGAGCAACATTACCACTTCCAGTTTTTGAGTGGTTTGTTGGAGAGAAGAGTATCATGCGGATTCTTCTGACCCAGCCGGCTTCAAATCAAGATCCTCAGATCTCAGACGCAAGAGTAGCTAGGATTCCAGGTTTGAGCCACAGGCTCCAGGCTTCACTTGTGGACATTTTAAATGGAAGAAATGGTAACATGACTAGATTTTAGATGGGGAAGAAGTAATTTTGCACTCGCCTGTTAATTGGAGATATGAGTCTCACAGTCTTTCCTTTCTGGGGCAGGCTTTCAACTGTGATCCTCAAATTTTGACCTTATGAGTATCTAAGATTACAGGCAGGAGCCTCTGGTGCCTGGCTAGGACTTTTCTTCTTAACATGTACAACTATTCAGTTGCAAAATACATGACATATGTAAGCTTGTCTGTCAGTTTTTGAACATAATAAAGCATTTAATGTCTTTGTTTCTTCAGTATCATATATCAGGGAACGATTATAATAATATACAATGACATTTTGATTAACTTTCTTGAAGATAGGGGATAGTATCTTCTTCATAAACTAGTGTCTACAAGGCCACTGGTGTTTCAAGCCTGTAATTTTACTAGCTACTCAGGAGGCTGAGATCTGAGGATCCCGCTTCAAAGCCAGTCCAGACAGGAATGTCTATGAGACCCTTATCTCCAATAAACCACCAGAAAACCAGAAGTGGTGCTGTGGCTCCAGTGGTAGAGCGCTAGCCTCGAGCTGAGGAGCTGAGAGAGAGAGCGCCCAGGCCCAGAGTTCAAGCCTCACAACCGACAAAAACAAAAAACAAACAAACAAAACCTAGTGACTAAGCTAATTTGATCTGGACAATTCTCTACTGATGTAAATATCTTAAGTAATTCATTTTCTGTTAGGGAACTGCTGTGCACTTTTTTTATTTAGTAGGTCGTGGGGCTTGAACTCTGGGACTGGGAGCTGTCTCTGAGCTCTTCAGCTCAAGGCTAGGGCTCTACCACTTGAGCTGCAGCACCACTTCTGGGTTTCTGGTGGTTCACTGGAGATTAGAGTCTCATGGACTTTCCTGCTCAGGCTGGCTTTGAACTGCGATCTTCAGATCTCAGCCTCCTGAGTAGCTAGGCTTATAGGCTTGTGCACTGGCACCTGGCTGCTATGAGCTTTTTAATATTAAGAAGTTTAAATATATTGTATAGATTTTACATGTCTATAATATAAATCATTTAATAAATTTTGAAAATGATGTCTATATTATGATGCAATATTATTTAAGTGTTTCAGGATGAGTATTCTTGGGGAAAACATTATATTAATTATTCTGTTTTGCAGGTATTACATTGAAATCTTGCTTCAAGAACATAGATTGAGTGCTTTTGTTGATGTTGGGCTATACCAGTATAAAACTGTCTATTCTGAACAGCAAACAGGAGATGCAGTAAACGAAGAACAAGTTATCAAATCCCAATCAACAATTATCCAAGAAGTACAGGTATGCTGTGCTGCTAGATACAAGAGCTGGAGGTACAGTCCGTGGTAGAATGCTTGCCTAGCATTTCTGAGACCCTAGGTTTGATCTCCAGCACTGAAATATTTTTTGAATGAAATATTCTGTGACAGAGATTTCTTGGATTATTAATTTCACCAGGCAAGAATTTTAGAGGTACACATTCATGGACATTATTGAGTTGTAGCTTGGCAAATCAGTATTATAAAGTAAATAAGTTGTTCCTTAATAAGACAAACTTTAAACAGTTTAGAATATATACTTTTTTCATCTGTAGTAAAACATAGCAAAAATAAAGAGGCATTGAATAGCTTAATAATGGTGTTTCAAAAATGTGTCTTATATTTATTTTTTCCTTAAATTGAAACATAGGTCATAACATTGGAAAACTGGGAAACAACTAATGGCACTCATGAAGTTCAGAAGATCACAGTAACCAGCCCTTGTGTGGAAGCTAATTCATGTTCACTTTACCAATACAGACTAATCTATGGCAAAGAAAAAACTGGTAAGTTATAAATAATGAGAGAGATGACATTTCTTTGTATGTCTACATATGGCTCTAAAGTGTCTGCTCTAGTCTAGTGTTATGGATTGGAAAATATAGTTTTAAGCAAAGAGAAGCCTTCAGACTAGGGTTGTATCATTGCATACAATTTTCTGGCCTATTCCATATTTTCTTTTATAAGAATAGAGATGAATTTATATCTGAAAGCACATAAAGATTTATTGTATCTATAACTCATAGATATTAAGTTCAGAATATGGAAATCAGATTCATCATTAAAGAGAAATAAACATGTCTATCAATTTCTCAAACTAAATGATAGACATGAAATACTGATTTCTCAGCTAATGGCAGCATATTTCTGCACTTGATAATAAATCATAAACAATTGATTTTTGCTATTTCCATTGTTTCAAGATGTAAGTATTGATGAGTGCTTATTGTTTGCAAAATAAAACACTTGTAACCATGCTATACCAAAATAATAAAATATGGTCTTTATCACAAAAAATATCACAAACTGTTGGGCGCCGGTGGCTCATGCCTCTAATTCTAACTACTCAGGAAGCTGAGATCCAAGGATCGTGGTTTGATACCAGCCCAGGCAGGAAAGTCTGTGACTCTTATCTCCAATAAACCACTGGAAAATTGAAAGTGGAGCTGTGCTTTAAAGTGGTAGAGTGAGCAAAATAGCTCAGACAGTACCCAGTCCCTGACTCGAAGCCCCATGACTAATTCCACCACCAACAAAAGTCACAAACTGATTAGTCAACCAAACTTGAATCAATTTCACAACATAATTTTTCTACATGGTATCTTAACTGATATTGAATATGTATGCTTTATAAAATTAAGTATAAGACATTAGCTTTGATTGCAGTGTTCTAGAATGATTTTTCTTTCTTTCTTTTTCTTTTTTACTTTTTTGTTGGTTGTAAGATTTGAACTCAGGGCCTGAGTACTGTTATTGAGCTATTTTGCTCAAAGATAGTGCTCTACCTCTTTGAGCCACAGATCCACTTCTGGTTGTTGAGGGGCTAATTGGAGATAAGAGTCTCATGGAGACTTTTCTTCCCAGGCTGGCTTCAAACCACTATCCTCAGATCTCAGCCTCCTGAGTAGCTAGGATTACAGCCACCAGCACCAAACATTCTTTTTCTTTTTAATTTTTGAATGATTTTAACTCTTCTTCCTTTCTTTTTTAAATTTATTCAAAAGTCTTGCTAGCTGCTGATGCTTCTGACTTTATATTGCAATCAGCTTTAAATGACCTTTGGTCTATAAAACCAGATACAGTTCAAGTAAAAAGAACACAGAATCTCCAGAGTTACAACTACATAATAACCTTCCTATCAACTAGAGGTAAGCTAATATTTTATTTTTCATTTCAGAAAACTAATTTATACCCAGTGCAACTCCACTATAAAAAGTAGAAGTTCATAAAATTATTGAGGGAAGAAATTAGATTCATGTCCTTGATCAGTGTCAGGAGAAATAGGAAATGGTGAATTATTTCCAATGATAATTCAAATTTTAGGGATATAACAGGAAGGTGCAATTACAATGCATAAAGTATACCACATTCACAAAAATGCAGTCTTAGTAAAAACAATATTTTATGAATTGTTGAAATATAATTCTAAAAATAAAACTTTAGTAAATCAATGTTGTTTGACAAAATAGTCTGACCAAATCTTGCCAAAAGAAAGAATTCCACAGTTTATTTTACAAGGAAAGTATTTCATATCATGGCTCCTTGAAAACTGACTGAAATCATTAGAATAGTAAAATTAGCAATAAATCCTTCAGGGAAAACAAAAGTTGACCTCAGATTAATGCAATTTATTTGATCTCTTCACCTTTTTAAAAAATAATACTTTAAATAATGCCATTGAACTTTAAATTATTATTTGATGCAAAACAATTTTTAGAAATATTAAGGTAGGTAAACATTAAGTCAAATTTAGCAATCAAAGTATGTGTTTGATAGATTGAATACCATGAAGCAGGTCACTAAACACACACACAGACACACACACACACACACGTCTTGTCTTTACTCAACTATTATTCTTCCATTTGTGTAAGTAAAATATTATTTCAATGTTTATGTCTTATTGTATGGAATTGTTAACTTGATTGTTGAATGAGATGAAGAATTTTGCTTAACATGAACTGAAGTTCTAACATTGTTACTGAGGTTAGTTTATCAATGCACTCTGTAATTGAATATGTGGTTATCCTTGTTGAGCTACTAGTAGATCAGATAGAAACTTTGAGGCTGCAAAAATGACCTTAAGAAATAAAGTACCAAAATCATAACTGGGTATATTCTAAGTCTATGCTCAATAGAGAAGAACAATGGGCTTCCACTGGCAAAGTATCCTTGCAAGGAGGAGAAATACTTGGGGGCAAGGTTTTATGTCTCTCACTGGGACATTGTATAAGCAAGCTTCATAGGCTTAGGACACTTCCTGGAAGTCAATCTTATGTCCTATTTGTATCCAATGTAAACCAGCAACATCCTATCCAAGTGCTTTGCACTAAAATACTGATATTGACATGAAACTAAATGCATTTTGGCCTGGCCTGCTGTCCATTGAGCTTTACTTTTGGTCCTAGTGCAGCCTCTGCTTGTTTTATAATATTTCTTCTTCAATCAGTAGTACTTTGCTGTTTTACTCTTTCATATATGAACGAATAATCAAATCCTTTCAACTCTTACTCAATTTTTTATTTTGTGTTACTGGTACTCCAAATAAAGCCAATGTGCTTATATTTTAATGTCTATGATAGATAAGAAATTAAAATTCTATTTGCTATATTTTTCAGGAGACTTTGATCTGCTTGGTTATGAGTTGTTTGCTGAGAATAATGTCACTCTGGATATTATAGAGCAAACCAAAGGCAAACCCAGTTTGGAGACATTCACATTAAATTGGGATGGGGTTGCTTCTATGCCCCTTAACCCAAGATCATCCGAACTTGAAGTATGTTCCACAAATGTTCATCTCACATTACTGTATTCACTGGCAATGCGTAGGGAAACAAGCAGGAGGCCTTATTTCCAAAACTTACTAAAAATTATTTAGCCTTTGACCAACTTATAAAAGTTGGTATATCATAAACGTTTTTCTAAAAATGGACACAGACTTTCTAGCACAACCATCCATTTTCTAAATAAACCATTTTAAGGTCATCAGAGATTTGCTTTGCTGTTAGAGGCTCTGTGTCCCTTTCTCAACACCAGCAATGTTCTTCATCCAAACCACAAATTGTCATCATGTCAGTCACAAAATCCTTGAGACAGCGGGCAGTAAAAGTTTAATTGTAAAGTTTAAATGTCTTATTCCTTTATTTGAAGTTAAAAAAAAAAACACTTTTTCAATGCCAACCTTCTCTAAAGAGTATTTCAAGGAGGAGGAACACATTCTTCTTTGTGGCATGGCCCGTCCACAAGGTAAGAGGAAATGTTCTGAAGGCAGAGGAGAAGAAAAGGGAGTTCTTGGAATGATGTCAAAGGACATAATGTGTCTGCCTGTGGGCAGCTGTTCTTGAAGAAAGAATGTGCGTGGGTCATTTAATCTCAATCATATCACTACCTGTACAATGAGTGTGCTATTATTTATTTGATGATTGGAGGTTATACATTGCTTCAAGCTTAGTCTTAGATACAATTCTGTCTTTGTTTTGTCAGAGAAGTGTATCCGGAAGTTGTAGGAGACCCATGACTATGAAATAATGTCTAATGCTTAATCTAGAATTACTGGTTATCTTTTAGATAATCATAAATAGAGGCATACAGTATATTTATCTCTTCTTTGGACAAGTAAAATACTTTGGAACATGTCCATTTGTTCCAGTTAATTTTTGGAAAATTGAAAAAATAATTTACTTGGAACCTGTTTAATTTAGTACTCATTAATTTAGGCTTTATTCATTGCTATTTTTAAAACATTATTAAAAATAATTGCTTTCTATAGTAACTATACTAATAATTGCCAATTAAATATAATTTGTCATTCTGAATGCAACACTTGAAAAAAATAAATGAACTCTGCAATGATGACATAATAATGTAAAATTATAAGGAAATTATGTTATGACTGACATTAGAATTATGCTATCAAATATTCTACTTGTGAACTAGTTAATAGAAGTAATAAAATTACTAATATTCAATGTGTTTATGTAAAAGGAGTTTCTAAGTTGTATGTTGTTATGTAGTTTCAGGTAGCAGTGGAAGAAATGGTCAGCACTAAGTGTCCACCACAAATTGCACATTTGGAAGAAGGATTTGTTGTAAAATACTTCAGAGATTATGAAACTGATTTTGATTTGGTATGGAACATTAATGAACTTAGAAATGGACCGAATAAGTCATATAAATGTTTGCAACATTATAATTGCATTTTTGAGATAGCATTACTAGTTTATTCTAAGTCAAATTGCAAAAATATATAGCTATATTATAGATTAACTAGGAAGGCCTGTTGTATAATCTGCTCATTCTATGAAACAATTCATTTATGATGGAAGGGGTAACATGGATCAAGATGCATTTTACTGATAAACTGACATGTTGACTTGAAACCCCTTTGTACAACTACTTAAGGATTATAAAGAATGGGACTGGGAAGGTGGCTCAGTGGTATAGTGCTTGCCTTGCATGCATGAAGCCCTAGGTTCAATTCCTCAGCACCACATAAACAGAAAAAGCTGGAAGTGATAGAGCGCTAGCCTTGAGCAGAAGATCTGAGGGATAACTCTCAGGCCTAGAGTTAGGCCTCATGACTATCTAGCTATCTATCATCTATCATCCATCTATCTATCTATCTATCTATATATCTATGAAAAATAAGTGAAAATAAAATGATCTGTTTGTGAAATCAATACTTTCTTTTTTAATCTTATTGCTATTATAATGGTGATGTACAGAGGGGTTACAGTACATAAGTCAGGTAAAGAGTGTATTTCCTTTGTGACAATGTTTCCCCTTCCCTTGCTCTCTCCCTGGTTTTCTCTTCCATCCTACCTACAAATTGTATAGTTCATATTCAACAGAGTCCAGTGAGAACTATTGCTTCAAAGCAAAGCTGTACTTCCAATCACAGGAATTTACATGATCTGTAGAAAGTAGGCAAGATGCATAAGTATAAGATCTACACAGCATTTTGTTTGTATGCGTCTTCATGTAGTAATAAAGATGTAATGAAGATTACATATTGGTTCCTCGTTTGCTTCAGAGAATATAAATTGCATGGGAAATTGCTTTCTTTGTTCTGTAAGATCACCTCTGTTCAATTGGTATTACACCTAATCTTTTATATCTTTCTGATGAAATATAAATACTTTTGATATATAAAATGAAAGGAATAAATGTTAAAAGTATTCTTCCTAATTCTTACTCCAAAGATTCTGGATACTTTTGAACATAGTTTACTGGCTAATTAAGCCTCCTGACACTTTTTTCCCCTCCATTTAAACAACTCCTGTTTATATTTAAAGACAACTCATTTGTTACTTCTTCTGAGTCATTTTTCTTGGTGCTTTTATGCTAACTACATGCTTGCTTCAGTCTTAATGCTAATATCTGTAATTCCTTTGTGCCCTCTCTCCCTGTAGTATAAAGTGGGGGGATGGTGGTCCTTATCACTTCAGTTTTTAAGATTAAACAAAAACTGAAACACAGTAAACACTGGATAAACATTTCTAGAAGGGATCAGTTAATATCCATAAGAAACAAATAATATAAGAAGAAAGATCAGAATTTGGAAGTAATCAAATACCAATACAAGAGATTGTATGGTGATGGGTCTGAAGGACAGCTTTAGAATTTCAGAGAGATCTCTGGCATTTCAAGTTAAAGTAGTTTTGAGAAACCATGTGTCAGACTTTGAATGACTTGGTTGGGGATGTTGGGAACAAAGCAAGACAGTACATCATATGTAATTTGAAATATTATTGTTTCTATAGGAATATATTAATAGAGGGCAAAAGACAGCTGAAACTGATGCTTATTGTGGTCGTTACTCCCTGAAAAACCCAGCTGTTCTTTTTGACTCAGCAGATGCTAAGCCAAATAAGCTACCATATGGAGACATTTTATTATTTCCTTATAATCAGGTAAGCTCAAGAAAATGATATGCTAATTGAATCTGGAAAATACCTTGGTAATAAAATATCCTGAAATTTTAAGACAAGGGTAAGTGTATGCCATGTAAAATCCTGTCATGTAGAACAGGCATAGTGGCTCACATTCTGAGTGCTTTTGTGATTTCCTTTTCTAGTGATTCTCAAATCAGACAAACAACAATAACAAAAAGAAAAAGATAGAAGAAAAAAACTGAAAGTAAAAATGGTGAAAGTATTATTTAGTAAAAACAGTAAAAGTATTATTTAGTAAAAACAGTAAAAGTATTATTTAGTAAAAACAGTAAAAGTATTATTTAGTAAAAACAGTAAAAGTATTATTTAGTATACTGCTATACCTCATAATTTTGGAAGAAATTGTTTGCACATACTTTATAGTGAACTTTAACTATGGAATTACAGTAAAGAAAACAATAAAGAATTAATTCAGGGGTGGTTCATGGCCCATACTCATCAACTCCCTCCAAGAGGGTTTAATCATTAATTGTAAAGCTACATTGGTTTCATTTTATCTTTTATAAAAATCTTTTCTAATCCTTTTTCTACTGTTAACTGGATGAAGCTATTCATTCTTTTGTCTGTGTTCTGATAAATGGAAAATCACCTATTGGGTTGAATCAAACAATTTAAGAAACTATTGGTGATTTTTTTCATTTTTTTCAATGTAGTTATGTTTAGCATACAAAGGATTCCTGGCAAACTATATTGGTCTAAAATTCCACTACCAAGACAATGGCAAGATTACTAGAAGCACTGACATGCAATTTACATATAATTTTGCCTATGGAAACAAGTAAGTTAAACTGTTTTGATGTATATGTAATTTTGCAGAATAAGGTTTTGTAATATTTCTATATGTGTATATATACAGTTGATTATACTTATTTCGTCCATTACTGTATGTTCCACCCTACCCCCTCCTACCTTCCCCTTCTATCTCCCTAGTGATTGTACTTTTTTTTATGACCTTATTTTGCTTTGACTCCTCTAGATTCTACATATGATTAAAAGAACATGATAATTGTATTCCTTGGACTGGATTATTTCACACTTTTTTATACTGTAGGATATACACTACCAAGAAACTCAGTGCTTGTAGTTTTTGTTTTGTAGTGTTGTGTCTGGGGGAATGATAGAACCATGTTCATATTTATTTAATTACAATTATTTTAGTCTCTGCACATGGAACTAACACATTGTAGCAGAAAGAAATCTGTGCCTTTGGAAGATAAAAATGAGTCTCAGGTCATCAATACTCATGACCATTTGAAAGACAAAACAATAGTAACTTTAGAACTTAAATTGTATATAATTGAATCAAGTAATGTGTCTAGCTAGTGAGAGAATGTAGAAGTCATTCCATTTATTATAATATTGTTATAATATTAAAAATAATATAGAACAGTTTGATGACTATCAGAATAAAAAGAGAAAAGTTATTTTGATACTTGCTTTTTATTGATTCCTATCATAAGGATGGGTCCCTTATAATTCAGAATTATCTTTATGAAACCAATATGAAGCAGAATCAACCCCCTCCTCTTGACACCCAGAGGCATAAAATAGCCAAAGCTGGAAACAAATAAATGAAAGAATTCTTTTCAAAGTTAAAGTGATAAGGAAGAACAGAGTAATTGTATGGGAAAAAATTAAGTCTTGATTTAAAAAAGTTGTTTCTGGGTTAGGATTCTGAATATAGACTCTACTGCCTATCTCTACAATGTTAAGCAATATGCTTTCAACAAGATTCCAACATTATTTCAAAACACAAGCACATTCAGGTTCACAGAAACAGAATTTTGGAACATTTTACAGGCCTCCTATCTTGTTTTTACACCATGATGGTTTCCATACCAAACAAATCGATCTCTCCTTTTAGCCTACAGTTTCATCTAATCTGCAGTCATTTGAAGACATATTGCACCGGACAGAAAGGATGAATTTTCTTTGCCCTAAATGTTTCAAGATCTTTAAACAAAAACATCATGATATTTTTAGAAGCATAGAATTCTTTCAATGAAACTGTTGCCAGTTAATGCAGAAACTCTCCTGCTTTTCCTAGGTATCTTTAGATTGTATGTAGGTCAGGTAGATCAAGTAGATGTTTTAATCTTAGATTTTTTTTCAGTATACTTAGTGTTCAAAGTGCCATTTCCCTTAAGCATCATTATATAACTACAAAAGCAGTAAGGTTTGCAGTTGTAAACTGAGTTTCAAAAATCTAAAAAATCTAGACATTACTTTTAACAAATAGAATTACATATCCACAGTGTATAATTCATTTTTTCTAATGCCATATGCACTCTTCTTTCCTCTTATAAAAGATATATCTGGTTTCCTAGATACAAGATACTCTTAAGTAGTAATTTTTAGAACTTCAGAATTGTAAGTGCTAGTTGTAGAATTCTGTTTAGAGATATTAAGTATTGTTTTTCAAAGCACTATAACTTTATGTGATTCTGAGTGTAATTTTCTAAAACTAGTACTTGCTATTTAAGCTTTAAAGCAGTGGTGCAGATCTTATGAGTTTACAAACCATAAAATAAAATAAAAATAGAAACTACTCAAACAAAACAGGAAATTATGCAGAAGTTATTTTCAACTGTATGTAATAATATGAAATAACTTGGTACTTTCTGGTCACTTCACATAATGAGTAGTGCTAAACCAGTAAGCTCTTCAGGAAGTATTAATCGGCTCTTAGTACTGGACTGGACTTACTGTTCTACCTCCATCATTCTATTCTGTCTTGTTTTTATGAATGCCTTCCATAATTTCCTTAAGTTACAGAATGTCATTGTATAAAAACCTATAACTGCTACCAAGACTACAAATAAATATAAACTGTTCTTGTGAGCAACACTTTTTTTTTTACTGCTCATGTGCTTCTTCTCATTCTTTTTCTGTACTAATAAACGGTGGTTATTGGTCCTCTTGTGTGAAAAAATAAGAGCTTTCACTTTAAAATTTACTGATGTCTTTTAAAGTATGTTTAAAATTGATTGATGTCTTTTGAAATGTACTTATTTCCTACTAACTATATATCAAATTAATCACCCTATTTCAGCTGGACCTATACTTGTATAGACCTTCTGGATCTCATACAAGCCAAGCATTCTGGAACAAGTTTTTCTCTTCAAAGGATCAGTTTACAGAAAGCCTCTGAGTCACAGTCCTTCTATGTTGATGTAGTATACATTGGACAGACACCTACACTCTCAACATTCAATGGTGTGTTGTGGTATTTTATATTTATTGCAATCTGTAGTGATCATATAGTGAAGGCTTATTGTAGAAATAATTCCTATATTACTTGACATAAACAGAAATATTAATATCTAAATATTAATGAGTCATTCTTAGTAATATTATGATTTAACTGGTAATTTCAAGTTTATTATAAGGATAAATGAGTCCCTAATTTAAACACTTTTATCAGAGCAAGAATTAGCTTTAAAGTCTTAAGTTTCTTATTGATCAATGCACTGTGGTGAACTATTTAATTTTTTATTTTCATTTTATTTTTTGAGAAATCAGTTATCGAGAGGGAGAGCTATTCCAAATGCAAGTATTGACATTGATGTCTGTTTCTAGAATGATTAACCTGGACTTATGTGATACTACTGTTAAACAGAAAATATTACTTTTAAAATCATTCACATTACTTCTTGAGATTATCTAATACTTGAGATGTGATAGTAAAATAGTAAAAGCTACACTACAAATTTGTCTGCTATTTACTTTTCTACCATATTTTTTAGAGATGCCAAAGAGAAGACTTGCAGCATTAGCAAATAAAGGAATATTTTTAGAGCATTTTCAGGTGAATCAGACCAGAATAAATGGATCAACTACGACAGTTCAATATTTTGTCACCATGACTTCATATAATTGCAGTTATAATATACCTATGATGGCAGTGAACTTTGGGCAGGTAAGCTTAAAAACCTGTAAGTTATTATTTTCAATTCCATGGGTATTAGTCTAATGTAGCAAGTTTTCTTAAAAACTGGAAATACCTAAATACAGAATGGGTATTGTTTAATAGGATAAGATAGTTCTTCTAATGATGAATCATAATTTAGAGCATTGTTTAATTTGAGCATAAAAAACTGATTTTCAGCTTTTCAAGCAGTATCACGTATGGAGAATAAACAAATGGAAAAGTTCTTTAACAATAAAGTTAGTTTGATTTAAGCAGAATTTTCCGTATTGACCTAAAAGGGCAAGGTTTGAAATTTCCAATAATCCTTAAACAGAAATTGTAGAAAGAAGAGCTAATGCTCTGGATTATCATTTCAAATTGTGTCTGTTATGTATAACATTTAATATGCTTCTGTTGAAATTTATGCAAAGAATAAATGTGGTTTCCTATAACTCCAAAATAATCATTTTTGTACTGCCAGGTTATTTTAAAGAATGATCATTCTTTAAAATTTTATTTGTAATGAAAATATTCAATTGTTTAAAATCATTTTCCACAACAGATTTAAAACAAGTATAAGTTCAAATAATTAATTAGTATTTAGAGATCTATAATGAATATTCTACTAACTAAAAAACTTTATAAAGAAAATGAAAATTTATCAATATTCCCTTAAAAATTGTCTTTACCTGAGTCTTATATTCAATAAATATAAATGTAAAAATAAGCAAAAATGTAAAATGAAGATAAATGTAAGATAAACGTCTTACAATATATTCTAGTCTTTTAGCTTTACTTCAAAAGGTGCTAACTCTGGGCTTTGTTTTGAGACATACAAAGCCTTTCATTTTTCAAGATTCCTTATTAATCTAATGATTGGTGATTTTAACTTCTTGCTTCAGTTATTTATTCAAAGTTAAATTGGAGACTTAATTTTTGTTTCCTTTGTTAAAAATTCAAATAAAATTTAAAAGAAGTAAAATACACACATGTGTGAAATGCAGGTCCTGAATTATTAAAAAAAACTTTTTCCTATTAAAAACTCTGACATAATTGTAGGTTTATGTAAGAAACAACATATATTCTTCCATTTTTCAACCCAATGAGAACACTTCTATAACATAGCATAATATGACAATTAAAGTTGATACAGGCATAAACTTTATATATAAATATTCCACTAACTGACCTTGTTCAGATTTCTATCTGTTTTACATGCACTCATTTGTGTTTATATGTGTATATTTATGTACAATTTCATCACATTTATAGATTTATCTGACCACCACCGGAAGAGTTTCATTACAAGCATCATTCATGCTATTCTTTTATAGGTACAGCAGCTCTTAACTAACTCCTTGGGACACTGGTTTATATCTGAAAATACCTAATCAGTTCTGGCTCTATAATTGTGTCATTTCAACGATGTTATATAAGTGAGATCAATCTTACATACTCAGCCTATGTACTCCTTTGAGATTGCTGTTTTTCCCTCTGACCATAATTTCCTTAAAAGTTATTCACATTGATGCTTAGTTTTGATTTCTGAGTAGTATTTAATGGTGAGTATATATCCTACTATTAGCCACCTATGCATTAAAAGGCAGTGGAGTTTTAAGCTATTTTGAATAAAACTTATATAAACACTAGTATGTAAGATATCGTGGGATGTAATTTTTCATTGGGGCTATCTATGTCTATGTAACCATACATATATGGTAAGCATATGTATCATTTTGTGAGAAATTACTGGGCTCTTTCCCAAATCACTCTACCAACATACATTCCTACCAGCCTTAGATAAATAATTCAGCTTTCAAACAAATTCAATGCCATTTTATTCTATCAGTATTTGGTTTCATTTTAACCATTCAATTATATTACATACTGACCTCTCATTCTGGTTTTAATCACACTCAATAATGGCTAATGGTATTGAACATCTTTTTATGGGATTATTTACAATTCATGTATTTTTTATGAAATGCCTAGTAATGCCTTTTGCCAATCTTCTCATTGGATTATTCATTTATTATTGTTGAGTTTATAGAACTCTATGTATTTTAGATAGCTGTTCTTCATCAGATACATGGTTGACAAATATTTTCTCCTACATCGTATCTTATATTTTTCTCTTCTTTGTAAGGTAGCTCTCAGAGAGAAGTTTTTAGTTTTGATGAAATCCAGTGTATTTTTTATACTTTTTCCCTCCCTAAAATATTGTATTCAGTAAATGTTAACATTAAGTAGGTTGAATTCTCTCAACTCTTCCTTTGCAAAAGTACTTTATTCTAGATTGTATCTTTTTATAAATATTTTAGAATAAGCTTATATATCTATCAGAATATCCCGTTGGCATTTTAAAGAGTCTCTAAAAACTTTAAAGAATCTTCCCATTTGTGGACATGATATGCACCTCCATTTATTTAGATTTTATATGACCAAATGTTTAGTTTTTTTATATCAGTTATCGGAATTTAGCCATGTACGGATCAGAAATAGAACACGTCTTATTAAATTTATATGTTAAGTGCTTCATTTTCTCTTAATTATAAATACTCCTTTTTTAATGAGATTTAATTTTCTTTCATTATCCTTTTTCATTATTATTTCTTTTTTATTATCTTTAAGTTGTGCAAAGAAGTTGCCATTTAACAAAATAGTTTATGAACATAATTCATCTTATTCAATGTCAGCTTTTCATCATTTTTCCCCATTCCTCTCAGTCTACTTTGTAAAAAAGCTGTAGATTATACATTGAATTCTTGACTTCATTCTCACTTCTATTCATTCATCTACGCCTTTCCCTTTGACCCCACCCCACCCTTTTCAAGTACCACTTACCTGATGTTTATTTTGTTGAACTTTTACTCATTCATGGGAAAGAATGATATTGTATAATTTGTAAAGAAATGGAAAGACCTGGAGAAATTATATTATGCAAAGTAAATCAGGCCCAGAGAGAGAGACAAAGAATGCATGTTTTCCCTTATTTAAACTAGAATTCGCTTATAAACATATAAGTAAATATGTAATATAGTATGCAAATACATGCAAATGTATTAACTGGAATATGAGAAATTCATGGGAGATTTCATTCTAATTCCTTAGAAAGGCAAAGTGAATACCCTTAAGTAATCATCATCCTGATTAAGGTAAAGAAAATCATCTATGCTTTGAGCATTTTCTTTTATCTCCTCATTTTCACTAGACTACTCACTCCTCACATGTAGATGGCTAGTAGTTTAACTCTTACCACCTTTAATAAGTTTTGCCTGCTTTAAACTGCATACCTGTGAAATATCAGAATTCACTTTTTTCTCAGTACTGAGAAATTTATGTTATATATAGCTGGGATTTATTCATTTTCATTGCCGTACATTTTTTCCAATTACTAAAGTTGGTATACATATCTTGTGCATGTCTTCTTGCACTGTCACTTATTTCAGCACTGCTTTACGTTCTACAGAAATGGGATTATATCATTTTCACCATTAGAGTTACAGTCTATGGATTTCACCTGCAGGTACTGCTTCAGTATTGGCATTCAATTTTATTTTTCAAACTACTTAGTTATTGCAAATAAGGGAAAGCATGTGACCTATGTTTCTTTGGGTCTGGCTTACTTCATTTAATAAAATTTTTCCAAGTCTTTCCATTTCCTAACAAATGGAGCAGTGTCATTCTTTCTGATGGAAGAATGAACCCCAAGATAGGGACACAAGAGACTTTTTGCAAGATAGGGACACAAGAGACTTTTTGTTGCTGTTGGTTTTAATGTACTTATAATGTACCGTGTGAGTTTTTTTTGTTGTTGTTTCTTTTGTTCTTCCCCCATGGTATAACCCCTGTTTTTACTGTATTTGATTCCTGTGCCCTGAATCTTGTATATACATTTTTCTAATTTGGGAAGGGGAAGGGAAATAACAAAATGCTGAAACAAGGATACAGGTTGACCCATTGTAACAATGAGATGTACAAGACACTATGTTGAAAACGAACTTTACAACTTGGGTGCGGAGGGGGGGGTCAGATTTTTGAAGTGGGAGGTCAGGGATGTTAGAGGAAAAACAAAGGAGAGGGTAACGATGCTCCATAGGAAATGTATTCATTACCTTACTCATGTAACTGTAACCCCTCTGTACAGTATCATTACAATAAAATATATATTTAAAAATAAAAATAAATGAAATGAAATAAAAAGCTACTTAGTAAGGCTGGATTGGCCCGCTACTGAACACACGCTTCCCTATATTATTGGTTAAATTTCCATAGTTACTTTTCCAAGAAATATTCTACCGTTCTGGCAGCAAAGCTTGCATCTCATGCCTCTCTGCCTCCCCACAGTAATGTGCTTTGTACCTGAATGGAGGGTCTCCTTGGTAAACATTGTTCCTTGAGGGATGGAGGTACAATCTGAATTAATGAGGTATTACTGTGATTCCAGCTGATTGCTGCACAGATGACTGAGCTGACTTTGGCCTCATTATCACAGCTGTATAGGCATAGCCTGTGTTGATTTATGGGGCTCTTCTTAATGTCCTGGAGAATCCTGAAAACACAAGGCTCATTTATGTCACATCATAGGATTGTGCCATGATGAAACAGAAATCATGTTAGCTATTGTTAGGTTTAATCATTTTATCAATGTTTATTTTGGGAATTAGAAAATCACAAATGAGATTGAGGCCGAGTCTGTCTACAGAGGAATTAACTGGCCAGGAGAATCAAAGATTCGTATTCAACGGATCCAAGAGGCTTCTCCACCTATAAGTGGCAGTTTTGACATTCAAGCTTATGGACATACCCTCAAAGGTAGATTTAAAATGTTGGAAATTCTCAAACCTGTATGAATAATGTTCAGAACACTGGTACGCATATGCATGTGTATACCCTATAAAACATGTGTTGTTCAATTGAAGATTTTTACATATTATTTTTACATTCAAGGATATACAAAAAGGATGTACGAATGTATGTATGTGTATGTGTGTATGGTATCTATATAATACTGTGGCTAATTAACACCAAATCATAATATTTTGTTTCAAAATTATTTTTACCACATTAAGAATAAACCTTACCCCTTCAAAGCCAGTTACTAGTAATGATTATTTTTATGTAAAAGTAATATAAGAAAAATCTATGAAAGTACAATAAACTCTTAAGTTATTAGTTTTTAAAGTCTTCCCCTTGTGCAATTAAAACTTCATTTTACAAACAAGCATTCATTATTATGGTATACAGAAAGAATAAAAATAACATTAAAATATTTAAGAACTTGGAATTGGAGTATTCTTTAAAAATAACCCTTATTTGAAGCATCCAGACCTCCAGTATGGTACTTATGAGCCTCATGTGCTCACCAAACATTTAAAATGCAGTAAGTCCCATGTATAGACATAACAACATTGAAGGAGTCTCTCAATATTGTTGAAATTACATTTTAAATATATTTTATTACATAAAACTTATAATTGGAATAATTGTCCTTATTTTTACTTTTTAAACATGAGAGTAATACTATATATCTTAAAAATTATGTATGTAGTAGCTAATGTTTTTTAATTGGACACTGCTGAACTAGACAACCCTAATAAATACTTTGGTTTACTTATTTCTGGTAGTATTTCTCTCCCTAATTTATATACTTGAAATTATGTCAGCATCACCAAACTAGATTATCCAGAGCAAATGGCATTTGCATATTTTATTTATTCCCTCACCAGGTATAAAAGCTTTTATTCCCTAAAGACTCTCTTTTATATTTATGACTTAAAGATTATCTACAAAGTGAGCTGATAATAAAAGTATGTGAGCTAAGGCCATGCTTTGATGGACATCACTCACATAATTTGTCTCCCAGCAATATTTATCAATCAGTGTAAAAAAGCTACCAATTTCATTCATTTTTACTGTATTGGAGGAAGCTGTATTGCTTATAAGGATAATGCTCAGTGCCCAGAGATGAAATCTGGTGAATGAATTTTGCCCCTGTTGTTTGCCCTCCGTCTGTGATTCAGGCATCCCTGCTGCAGTGTCAGCTGCAGATTTGCAGTTTGCTCTCCAGAGCCTGAAAGAAGTGGGGAGAGTCTCTGTTACCCGAGAGGGAACCTGCGCTGGGTACACTTGGAATATCAAATGGAGAAGCACATGCGGAAAGCAGAATCTCCTACAGGTTCCCTCATTTTTGGTTTGGCTTTCCCTTTCTTCTTTATGCTTGCTTATTTACATTCTGCCTCATTCAAAAAAGACGATATATTTTTAAAATGAAAACTCTGGACTTATATCATAACAGATAAAGTTGGTCAGGTGTTCTCTTGATTAGAAAGTAGTGGTTGTTGATACATTATTTTCTGTGTCACATGAAAAAAGTTCAAGAATGTGTTTGAAGAATCCCAAAAGTATCAGGAAGAATACAGGCTGGGTCAAGTCTCATAAATCCAAATTATGCACAAGGACTTGATTTGGTTTCATTTTTACCACTGGAAAAAAGTACAATTCTTGGAATGGATGGAAAAGCATAGTAGTGAGGAATGAAAAGTGCTGAACAGGAAAGTTGACTCTCGGAAAAAGAAAACAAATTTTTCAATTATTCAAAATAAATTTCAAAGTGGTCATACTAGAAAAAACAAGAACATTTTATGAACATTAAATTCAGTGAATTTATTTTCCATAGATTTCATTAATTGTAAAAATTCAAGTTAATTTTAGACATTTTATTCATGTTTTAATGCAATGCTTAATACTGCAACCATTTTTAATTGTTTGAAAGCCTTTTTTGAAAGTCTTCTTTTAAAAAAGTGACTAAAATGGTTTATATTTATATATCTTTTGGCTTTTATTTTCATTGATCCATACTTAAATCTTAAAAGCAAAATTTGTGTGGTTATATTACCATAGCTGTTCTAGTAAAAATAATTTTGTGTGAAAATAGATTAATGATTCCAACATTACTGGAGTAAAAGCAAATATCACAGTTGCAAAGATAAAGGAAGGTGGCTTATTGAGACAACACATACTTGGGGATCTTCTTCATGTACCCAGTCAACAACCTCAGGTATGTAAAAAACCAGGTAAAACATATGAGTTGACTTGTGAATATTTGCATCAACAGATGATTGACTCTATTCTACTTCTCCTGGAAATTAAGTTGGTAATTCCAGGGATGTCATCTGTATTTTTAAATGTTCATAATTCTATATTCTATATTGCCGAACTGTTTTACTTCTATGCTCTTTCACTAGCTCTGCTTCTTTACTTTAAGGTTGAAGTCTATGTCAATGGAATTCCAGCCAAATGTTCGGGTGACTGTGGGTTTACATGGGATCCCATGACTACTCCCTTAGTTTTGGCTACAAGACCTTCCCAAGGTAACTTCTTAATTTTTAGCTCGTAATATGAATAAAAAATAAGAAGCATAATGCAAACTCTGATTATATATATATATATATATATATATGCATGCTAGTGTCATCAAATCAAATATATATATGCATGCTAGTGTCATCAAATCAAACAGACTGTTCCATATAGTGAAATAAGTATCAAATTAAGCTATGGAAAGGGCAGGCATTATTTATTTGAAAATAAAGCTATTGCCTATAAAGCTAAAGTACTGAAGTATAGCATTTGTAGTAGAAGAGGCATTAATCTTTCTATTCTCTGTTTTCAACCGGTATAATTAGCCTCTGAAATTTCAGTATGAATTTGAGTTATTTTTGTTCTACTTGTCTAGTGAGAGTTTTAATTATAATCTTTCATCATATACAAACAGTTTCAGGGAGTTATTATTAAAAGGCTAGTAATAAGAGAGCTGTGGCTTAATAAAAGAATAGAGTAATCAATCTTAGACTAAGAAATTTACCAAGAACTCAGTCTAGTCTAGAAACTGCATCATATGTAATTGCTTCAAAAAGTATGAGCATAGTTTTTATGTGCTTTTGAGAATTGAAATAAATATGAGGAAAAGGACTGTAATTTTTCAGTCAGATAATATAATATCTAGACTTGATTGTTAATAGAAATCTTCATCTGCTAATTTTATATCAGCCTCCTGACCAGCTCCCAAAGCAGTGAATCTTAAAATTAGTCTCTGTTCTTGTTAAAAGAATATATTTTCAGAATTTTCATAGCAATTATATTAACTTTGAGAGAATTCATGTTACATGAGGTCAGTAATTTCAAGAGAAAAAATTCATGAATATTTTATTCTAGTCCTTTGATATCTTTATTTTTGCATTTATTCTTGAATTTGCCATTTTCATATGCACGTATTAAAGATTATTTCTTATAGAAGATAATTAAGAATGTAATTTACCCTCATCATTATGATCAAAATTTTAAAGTACTGAAGCATGTAAAAATGCTATAAAATATTTTTCTCTTTAATGACATTTCACACTTCTTAACATATTGTTATATATTATCTCTAATCATCATTCTAAGAGAGAAAATGTTATAGGAACAGTTAAAGTCCTCCTTAAGGATCATCACTTGTCCTAGTTTCCACACAGCTACCCAGAGGCAATTGTGATAACAATTGTGATAAACAAGCAAGCAAATAAACAAAACAGAAATCTATCTCAATCTTAAGTCATTAAGATACCTGACTTTATTTATTTATAAAATACCTACTGCTAGCTTTTCATTCTCAGATATTTAAATTCATATGGACTTTATAATAATGAGTGGTGTCATATGTGTTAAGTGACCATATATAGCATTTGTCATTTGGACCTGGACACTTTTGAGGGAGGGGAAGGGAAAAAACAAAATGTTTAAGTAGGGGTACAGGTTAACCCATTGCAACAATGAGATGTAGAAGACACTATGTTGAAAAACAAACTTTACAATTTAGGTGGGGCGGGGAAGGAGGGAAGTGTAATTGTGGAGGTGGGAAGGAAGGGATGGTAGGGGAAAAACAAAGGAGGAGGCAACAATGCTTGATAAAAAATGTACTCAGTACCTTGCTCACGTAACTGTAACCCTTCTGTACTGTATTTTCCAAAATAAAAACCATAAAAAAGAATGAACTGAAAAATATTAAGTTTATGATGTTGGGCCAACAGGAATAAGTGTAGTGTATCACAAGCATTATAGGATGTATAACTTTCTAGTCACAAGATTCTCATTTTATTTTCAAGTGAGAAATACCACATTACTTATAGTGTGATTTATCCTTTCCTCACATATTTGTGATTGCTATTCTGTCGTATGCTAAATTATCGTACAGAAGTATCTGCGTAATTTTGTTTTAAGAAAAATAATTCTTTTATCTCATTCCATTTTTTTTCCAATTAGGTAAATTCTTTTTAATAATTTCCACCTACACATAGATTGAAACTATTAAGCAAAATGGTAATTCAATGGAAAAAATGCCATGTCTTTTTCCTCCTGGCTTACCCATAATCTTAATGTTTATATATTTTATTGGTAGCCATATATTCTCTGAGAAATAAATGATTTGGAAGCAATAGAATCTAATTTTCTCATTTTAATATTGTTATTTAAATGTACCTCTTTCAGGCTCCTTTGAAGAAAGCACCATTTTGACCATCTTAGGCTCTGGGTTTTCTCCTAGCTCAGCTGTATCAGTCTCTGTTGGACCCACGTGTTGCTCTATTCTTTCTGTGAATGGTGAGTCCTTTTACAGTCTAATTGTTTTTCTCCAAAAGAAATGGAAAAGAGCAGCATTGCTGCAGTATTACTGCTGTAATACTGCTTCTCAAAGAGCAATATCACAAATATAATTATCCTATATTATACCCTGTGAAGTCATGAAATTGGAAATCTGGTCTTGAGAGTGCTTTAGATGTTAAAGTTTGATAACCACAAACTAATTATTTTATTTCCCTAAAATGTCACACATCCTTATCCCATGACAGTTGAATTTTGTAGTCTCTATCTGTTTCTGTTTCTATCTCTCTGTACATTTCTCTATCTCTCCATGTCTGTCTGTCTGTCTGTCTCCAAAGTGGTTCCACAAGGTACTAGTTATACTAGTGTTTATCTGAGACACAGTGATATTTCCACATGTTAATCCAATGCCCACTTTTTCTTGTACTGCTGGTTTAATACTAGGTATGTGCTCTGCCATTTATCCCCAGCTCCTCTACCCACATTTTGACAATAGTACATAAGTCATGTGGCAAGAAGGTTTGGCATTTCCTTAACGTCTAATCCAATAGAATTTCTCTCAAGTGATTCAGAATTTAAAGATGTTTTGACCTTCTTGAAACTCAGGCATTTATTTCTCTGAAAGTTATCTTCTATAATACTAGGTCTTTTCCTTAATTGAAACATATTAGAATTGTATAAGAAAACACAGTGTCCAAGTAATTTCTATTGTTTTAAATTTCCTCAATTTTCTATGTATTCTTGCAGTCCAATAGTCAATATTGTGCCTATATTATTGGTGTATACAAACTATTCTAAATAAAATAAATGTTTTTATTTTGTTGTCTATTATCTTTGCTGATAACACCTGTTATTTTACTCAATCTTGAATATATGTTGCACAAAATACTTAGATTAATATAAGTCCTAATTACAAATTAAGATTTGTATTGTATATTAAGATTTTGAAAATGATGACAAGGGGCCTTATTGAACACATAACATCAGAGATTGTTTACTTTGCCTTCATCGTCAGTTTACCTCTTTCCTGGGAGTATCTGATTCATAGCAGCAGGTAGTTCACAAAGGTTTTCCTAGCCTTCAAGATTTCCCCTTTCCCATGAGCAGTTTTCTTTCTTGGGGCCTCAAAGTGAAGGCCAAGATTAATAATTACAAACATAAATTTTTAGTGATTTTTATCTAAAAAATACAATTTCTCTATCATTTTCTTCTTTCTTTATCACAAGAAAATGAGATCACATGCCAGATTCGGAATGGAAGTGCTGGACGTGTACCAGTGATTGTGTCCATAGCTGATGCAGGTCTGGCACAACATGCAGAAGGTGAAGGATTCTACTTCATCTATCAAAGCCAGATCTCACACATTTGGCCTGATTCAGGAAGTCTGGCAGGTAATAGTTAATAGTTCTCAACAGAGAAAATTGGTTACATTTCTATGTTTCAGTTTCTAATGCCCTGTTTCTGACAGGGAAAAGGGAGAGAACACAAATCTCCCTCATATAGAACAAAAGGATTTGCCTTTCAGAAGACATAGAGCTTAAATGGCTGACCAATTCTGTTTCTTCTGAAGCACAAGTCAGAGTGACTGCTTATATTTACGTCTTTGGTTATTGAATTAATTTCATCCATTATTACATGTTTCTATAACAAGCTCATTAATTATGTCAAGATAAGATTTATTGGTTATTATTCTGCTTACCAGCTGCTCCATTTGTAACCATAATCTCAACGGAGCAACTTGACCCAGAAAAAGTTCTGGAAACCAATCAGGCAAAGGAAAGCTGATGAAGAGGATGGATATAACACAATGCTTTTTCTTATCTTGCTTCATTTCCTTTGTGCTCTATTCTCCTCCCTTTATTTTAAGCTATTCTTAGTTTTGCATTTTGTGCTTTTGATGCTTTGGGTTTCTAAAAGATTCTTTATTTTTAGTTTATTCGAGTTTTCTCTGTTTTCTTTTTACTTGGAGGTTCTAAATTTAGGATTTGGTAAAAGTATTCATATTTACTTCATCCCCATGGAATGGTTGAGTGAATAGAAACACAATAATTTTTTCTCAGGATGAAGAAGGCACCACAGGAAATAGGAGTTGCTGCTAATAATGCCCCAAAGAAACTTGGGTGGCAAATCTGTATTATTTCTGTGAACCACTTCTTTGTGGTTCCAAGCTACAAAGTTCAGATTTAGGCATGTGGTTTAATTGTACACATCAAGAATCTACTTCTTGAATTTTTAAAAATGTTATTGTTAAGGTGATGTACAGAGGGGGTACAGTTACATAAATAAGCTAGTGATTATATTTCTTTTCTAACTTGTTACCTCTTCCCTCATTTTTCTCCTTCTTTCTCTACCTCTCCAATCCTCCCTCCCCAAGTTGTACAGATCATTTCCAACATGTTATCTTGAGTCTCGCTGTTGCATGGGTTCCCCCTTTGTCCTTTGTTTCACCACTTTGTTGTTCTCATTCGTTTTCTTTTGTGTTTTCTCCCTATGGCTTATACCCTGTTGTCACTGCATTTGACTTTGGCATCCTAGTATTGAATATATGTTCTTCTTGATTTTTTTTTGGGTCCGGTCGTGGGGCCTGAACTCTGGGCCTGGGCGCTGTCCCTCAGCTCTTCAGCTCAAGGCTAGTGCTCTACCACTTGAGCCACAGCACCACTTCCAGCTTTTTTTTTTGTTTTTGCTTATGTGGTGCTGAGGAATCGAACCCAGGGCCTCATGCATGCAAGGCAAGCGCTCTACCACTGAGCCATCTTCTCAGCCCCTACTAAATTTTCTCTTTGTTTTCCTTATAAAGGTGGCACTCTACTGACTATATCTGGATTTGGCTTTAGTGAAAGTTCAGAGGTGTTAGTTGGAAATGAAACCTGCAAAGTGATTGAAGGGGATACGAATAGGATAACCTGCAGAACACCGAAGGTAAGGCCTCTGATTTTGGTCATTTTTCCCTAAGTCTTAAATCCTATGAATTCAAGTGCATCACCCGGGAAGAGGGTTAAGTAAGTGACAAATGTCCTAGAAATGGCAGTGATTTTATTATGACCTTCCAGAATTACTTTTTCAACAACTTTCTAAGATCCAAAGATGTAGTATTATACCCTATCTTGTAGATCCTTAAAATTCCAAAAGAAGACAGACTATTATGTATTAAGCAATGCACTCCACTTGAAATAATAGATACAAAGTAAAGACAAAATACAAGGGAGAGGGAGTGTTGGAAGCAGTTCCCTACAAAAGTGATGGCCTTATTAGCAAGTAAGGATGATAAAAACAAAATAACAATGATAAAAACAAAAAAAGTGGGGCTGGAAAGGTGGCTCAGTGGTAGAGCGCTTGCCTTGCATGCTTGAGGCTCTGGGTTCGATTCCTCAGCACCACATAAGCAAAAAGAAAAAAGCCAGAAGTGGAGCTGTGGCTCAAGTGGTAGAGAGCTAGCCTTGAGCTGAAGAGCTGAGGGACAGCGCCCAGGCCCAGAGTTCAGGCCCCACCACCAGACCCCCCCCCCCAAAAAAAAGTACCACTAAATGTTCTAAAAAATTCAAGAAAGTGAATTTAGAACTTTTTTGTTTTGAGAAAGGAGTTTTTAAAATATTTGCTGTTTCAGTTTATTGACAAAAAACACCCATGTGAAATTCTCCATGATATCGCGTATTTTAAGACCAAATATTTTGATGTAAATATATATTTTAAATTTTATTCTATTGTAAAGGTGATATATAGATGGGTTACAGTTACATAAGTAGTGAGTATATTTGCTTTTGAACAGAGTCTACCCCTCTTTCTTTTTTCTCTCTCTGTCCCTCCCTGCTCAACTTTCCTTCCCCCAAAGTTGTAAAATTCATTTCCAACAGTGTTTAGTGCATGTATATATAAATATATATACTCTGATTTGCTTGTTATGTACAAAATGCTAATACATTTAGTCACTACCATCAAAACCCCAAAATATATCAGAATAAGTAGATGTGTTATGTAGTTGTGAAGGAGGAAAAAACAAATTTTAGTTGTTATTGGACTGAGTGGTGAGAATCTAGTGAATATGACAAACTGAAACTTGTTGAAATTGTGACATACAGTTAAACACCAAATGTGCATTAAAGAAATATCAAGGGATGGTGACAAGTTTTTCTTAATCAACGAATTGCAGACCCTGTATTAGCGAAAGCATGGATCATTGTTTTCGGAGTCTAAATGTTTAGTCTTAAATAATGACACTAGATCAGCTAATGATATGAGTTGTGAATGAAAAAGAATAATAGTTATAGTTGAGTCTATTTCAAACCAGGAAAGTTGCAGCATCTTAATCCTTATCAACTAGAGAACCATTGTCTTGAGCATCTAAGCCACCTTATGAAACCCTCAGCCTCCAATAATACAGAGGCATTTAAATTGAATACAGCACCTACAAAACCATAATACCTTTATTTTGAGACTTCATATATGTAACCAATATTTGACATCACAACTTTTTAAATATGTGAAAATTAATTTTAATCAAGATGGAAACAAAACATCTTCAAAAACTTATTTTTAAATAACTATTTCTTTTCAGCTATTGAATTTCTAAGTATTTAATGTTTTTTAATTGCATTATTTCTCTGCTTATTTCAGAGAACTGAGGGTACAGTTGATATTTCAGTTACTACCAATGGAATTCAAGCTACAGCAAAGGATGTTTTTAGTTACAGTTGCTTACAGACTCCAGTTATAACTGATTTTAATCCAAAAGTACGAACAATTTTAGGTAAGAAACTCTTCCGTAAGATGAGTCACTTAACATATTGATGGAAATCACTTCCAGAAAGTGCCCCCCCCGACTGATTCTCTTATAGTTTGTTTCTTTTGGGGGGGGGGGGGTCCAGTCGTGGGGCCTGAACTCTGGGCCTAGGCGCTGTCCCTCAGCTCTTCAGCTCAAGGCTAGCTCTCTACCACTTGAGCCACAGTGCCACTTCCGGCTTTTTTCTTTTTGCTTATGTGGTGCTGAGGAATCGAACTCAGGGCCTCAGGCATGCAAGGCAAGCGCTCTACCACTGAGCCACCTTCCCAGCCCCTTGTTTCTTTTTTTTTATAGTTTGTTTCTTAAAGTGAAAAGAGCCCTACGTTAGTTTTCCTTTTAAAAACATGTATTTATAATTTTTCTTGATTATGTGCGATATAGAGAAAAATATGATTGAGTGGCTGGCAACTCACACCTGAAATCCTAGGTATTTAGGAGGCTGAGATCTCAGAATCACCTTTCAAACCCAGCCTTTATCTCCAATTAAACACACACACACACACACACACACACACACACAAACACACACACACAAAACTAGAAGTCCAGCTGTGATTCAAGTAGTAGACTGCTAGCCTTGAGCAAAGAAGCTCAAGGGTAGCAACTAAACCCTGAATTCAAGCCCTAACACACACACACACACACACACACACACACACACATACACACACACACACACACACACACACACAGTACTTTATTGTCATTTTCTCCCCTGTGAAACAAAAAAGAATTTTTATCTCTACATGATAACCAGCAGTCTGTCAGTTTTTCACTATGCTTTGAAAAGTTTTTGGATTTTTCTAAATTCAGTGAAATTAGTTGATTGACTTAATATGCCAGTTTCACATTGGATATTAAATGATATTAAATTTAACTTTTCTCTGCTTTTTCTTCTTTTAAAACACAGGAGACGTCAACTTAACAATTAAGGGTTATAACTTTGGCAATGAACTTGCACAAAACATGGTGGTACATGTTGGAGGAAAAACCTGCCAGATTCTTAGCTGGAATGTCACAGGTATTCAATGCCGTTTGCCCTTGTTGCCTCCTGGAAAACATGACATTTATGTTGAAGTCAGAACCTGGGGTTTTGCATCAACAAGGTATGATGATGAACACAAATTCCATAGAATTGTGGAACACGTGTGGCTAATAGTTGAGCTAGGAAAAGAAATAGTCATGGACTTCTATTTATTGCTTTCTTTACCTTTTCTACATCTCCATTCGTAAAATATTTGAGAAAATCTCATAGAATACAATATGAGACTTCAGTTTGAGACCAATATCATTCATATTAGACTATACAATTTTCTCTGCAGCTAGATTTGTGCACAAGTCACACAATTTTTATTAGTTCAGGAAATATTTAGCAAGTAGTTTCTAGAAGGCATATACTTGTTAATGCTAGATTTGAAGTAGGCATTAAGAGGGATCTGTCTTTTGCAAAAATGATGCTCACAGTTTTGTCAGAGAGAAAGATTCAAACAAAGAGTTACAGCAGTACTGTAACAGTTATAAATGGGAAAAATACAATGAGTAAGAGCTAGCACAAGTTATAAGAGTATATAATAGAGGAAGCTAATATCCTCAAGGAACAGAATTCTGTGAAAATATGACAATTAGATCAAGAAATGGGTAGGAGCTGCCCATCTAAGAGAAAGCATGGGGAGTAGATGAATGACGGGACAAAGGAGAGGATAACATAGTCAGGAACTCATGGTATATACCACAAGGTTATAAAAAACTAAGGGAAGGGGTGGGTCAAAATGGGGTGAGAAGGGTGAAGGGGAAAGCACTGATCAAGATGCATTAATTCATAAACTGCTTTGCCAGATGGCATCTCCTTTGTACAACTACTTAAAGATAATAAACATTTTTAAAAGAAGTACTTCACATGGATTAAAAAATAAATAAAAAGGAAGGATGGAGAGAATCTTCCTCCAGTTGTGTTTCTGGAGAGATTTAGTATTTTCTTCCCTCTAACTATTGATTAAAGGTTAAATTTTAGTTCATATATGAGGGAGTTACTGGCTTGGAATACCTAGAAAAGGAGAAAACTGAAATATAGGGATTAGAAAGATGACAAAAGCTGAGAGAAACTTCACAGGTGATGAAGGAGCAACCATACCCTCAGGCCTGTATTTCCTTCCAGGTACACTGGGGCTAGAAGAGTGCTGGAAGAGCTTTCTGCTTTGATTTGATACCATGTGCAAAGTTGCCCTAGTGAAAATGTGTATTTAGCTAATAGTTATAGAGGTTTCAATTCAGTTATGCTGAGGGAGTTTAATGAAGGTGAACTCCTTAGAATCTTTCTGCCTGAGTTGTTAGGGCAGGACCCAGAATGTGGGCGTTAGCCTGCTTGACATTGTACATGTTAAAGGCTTCTTATTAGGGGTATTGTCAGTAACAATGAAAAATGAGTTAAAACTCCTTTTCTTGAAATAGTGGGAAGGGAAATTCCTTACCTAATTACTCACATAATACTTCCATAATTAATTACATAATATGTGTGGATTTTGTTATTGTTTACAGATAAAACTGCCTTTATATTTCACTCTAATGGAAAGAGAGAACATTTTGAAGGATTTCTTGTATTTCTTGTGACCTCATTTCCTGTATTTTCCAAATTATTTTAAGATCTGTTATCTCACACCCTTCTGCTATCAGATTTCCACATTTTTTTTTGATCATGGGGCTTGAACTCTGGTGTCCTTCAGCTCTTCAGCTCAAGGCTAGCACTCTACCACTTGATCCACAGCGCCACTTCCAGTTTTCTGGCCTTTCCTGCTGGGGCTGGCTTTGAATCGCTATCCTCAGATCTCAGCCTCCTGAATAGCTAGGATTACAGGCGTGAGCCACTGGCACCTGGCAGATTTCCACAATTCTAATCTTCAGAATAATTACTATATTCCTGCCAAACCAAATTGAGGTTGCCAATTACCAGATGTTCTACCCTACTTACATAAATTTCCTCAGGTAGTCATAGCCTAGCAAGAGTTCAGAACTACCAACCTATGGAAAAGAAATTCATGAGGGAAAAAAAACCTATTCTTTCTTCTTTCTCAGAGACAAGTCAAATGCTTCAATTCAGTATATTTTGGAAGTGACTCACATGTTTCCACAGAGAGGTTCCTTGTATGGTGGGACAGAAATTACTGTAAAGGGTTTTGGGTTCAGCACAATACCAACTGAGAATACTGTCCTTTTAGGTAAGAGCTTCATTCCCCCAGGAGAGATGTTAAACGTTTTCCTTTCAGCTTAAAGAATGTGCTACTGAGTTATTATATAAATACCTGAAGTCACTAAAACATTTTTCTATTAGTATAAAGAGGGGTGAAATATATTTGACTGAAGGAATTTAGAAAATGGAAGCTTTCATTTTCTAACTGTTATTTTATGTTTAATGTATATTGAGTACTTAAAAAGAGGTAGAGGATTATTCTGAAAATAATCAGTATTCAAACATGATTACCATCAAAGACCATGGAATATAGAGATTTTTTGGGGGTGGGAAGGGACTTGACTATTAGCAATCATATTTCATCTTTGTAGTATTTGAGATAATGCTTTCTTTTTCCTTTTTTGTTCATTCTAGGTACTTTCCCTTGTAATGTTACATCATCATCAGAAAGTATCATAAGGTGTACTCTCCATTCAACAGGGAACGTATTCAGAATTACCAACAATGGGGATAATTTAGGTACCAATCAACATTCACATATTGTGAACAAGGAAAACCCTTTGTCCTGGAATTAATTTGGGTTTTATTTATTTTACGCTTCAAATTATTCAGGGGATCCATGTCATGATTTCTTTTATAATTTGCTAACACCATCACTTTACAAAGGAATAATATATGAAGTGATTCAGTGGTAAATTTGAGTTTAGAAGGGGAGATTTTATGAGGTCCATGCTTAAATATTGTCATTTGGTGTGTTACTACAGTACTGTAGTTTCATGGTTTTCTAAATGAATAAGCAAGTTAAAATTATGTTCTTATGTATATCCATATATTTGCATATCTATTTGCTTCAGAATTTTTTTCAGAAAATTTCTATGTCTAAGTAATTATCAGAGCCCTTAAAAATATTCCATGTAATATCTCTCAGCAGCTGATTCATTGAGTATTTTTAAAATTGTCTTTTGGTCATGGTATTACTACTTTATCTTCTCATTATTTTGCTATTACTCTTGTTTATTTTGGCTTAAAATTTCAATAAAATATTACTTTAAAGTTCTTTTCCCTAGTAGCTATAAAAACTTCAGGGTGTTTTCAACTTAATTACTAAATAATCTACTCATTCTTCTTATAAATATATGGTTCTATTTTTCATCTAGAACATGGATTCGGTTATGCCTGGTCACCATCAGTCTTAAATGTGTCTGTGGGAGACACGGTGATTTGGTATTGGCAAGCACATCCATTTCTCAAGGGAATAGGATACAGAGTTTTCTCAGTCTCTAGTCCTGGAAGTGTAATTTATGATGGCAAAGGATTTACTAATGGAAGGCAAAAATCTCAATCAGGTATGTATCTACTATATTGGCTTTGGCACCGTATCCTTTTCCTAGCTGTAATACAAAGACACTTTCTTTAGACTTAAAAGATGTTTAAGCAAATAATATATACAAATTCACAAAATGATTTATCTGACATTTATGACTTTACTTAAAATGTTAAAAAATGACTATTTGGTATATTTTGAAATAAGTTCTAATGCCAGGTACACATTTATTGATTCCATGATAAGTAACCAATGAAAAACTATACAGCACAATATAATAGAAATAAGAATTTGTTTTAATCATATCAATCTGATTGCAAATGGTTGCATTATATTGATTAGAATCAGTTATAAAATCAATATTTCTTGTAAGAGAGCTCAGTGAAAGTGTGCCTTTTTCCTGTACATATTTATTTTTCAATTTTCATATATTGAGCTTTTCTCTAAAGTTTGGTCAGCTGTTTCAGATTAGTCATGGTTTTCTAAAAACAAAACAAAAAAACACCGAAAAACAATGAATGCTACATCTTTGAATCTTGTCTCCCTGAACTGTAATTTCATTGCACAAGATAACTCTTTTATACCTAGTGACTCATTTCCTTGCTACTTCTTGTTGACCTATCAAATACATGAAAAATAAGACACTTGCCATCTACATGCACATTTAAATTGCCATTCCACCACAGCCCCCATTTCAAAGATGCATTAACTGCTTGTGTTTATACAATCTTATTTTGTGACAGGTTCATTTTCTTACCGGTTTACTTCTCCTGGAACCCATTATTATAGCAGTGGGTATATTGAGGAGTCACACTCTATTTCTCTCCAAGGAGTCATTAACGTTTTACCAGCTGAAACCAGGCACCTTCCCCTGCAGCTATTTGTGGGTGGCATGGAAGCCACATATGCTCAAGGTAAAATAGGTGAGGATGGAAACTTTTACTCAGGTGATCTCCCAGGAGCAGGCATCAGATTACAGGGTCTAACCATTATGAAACTCACTGCCATAGGACTTTGAATAGGTTTGGGCTGCTCTGAGTCTGGAATTGATTCTGTAAAATCAAGATGGCAGTAAGTTCTTTCTGCCCATCTCCCAAATGAGATTGCTTGTGCAAAGATCCCGACACTCTAGATGTGCTCCAACTATATTAAATGCTAGTTGAGGTTACTGCTTTATTTCTCTATGGGATTCTGGCCAGGGGCAAATAGAAAAATAAAGTAAGTTTATACTTCTCATTGTTGCAACAGGTCCACCTGAATCCTTAAACGACTTGTTTGTCCCCATCTCCTCCACATGTTATACTGACATCAAATATACTGAAAGCGGGGGTTACACTGTGGGGGAGGGACATACAAAGCAACAAAGAGATAATCTTATAAATGCGTTAGAAACACATGCATGAAAGAAACAAAAACATTAAAATACATATTTGAGGTTTCGTTTTCCTAACATCACATTATTTGACTTTTTCCGCTTGACTCATACCTATACTAGATATTGCAAATAAGGGAAACCATGGGACCTATGTTTCTTTGGGCCTGGCTTACTTCACTTAATATAATTTTTTCCAAGCCTTTCCATTTCCTAACAAATGGGGCAATGTCATTCTTTCTGATGGAGGCATAGAATTCCATTGTGTATATATACCACATCTTCTTGATCCATTCATCTACTGAGGGGCATCTGGGTTGGTTCCATGTCTTAGCTATGGTAAATAATGCTGCAATAAACATAGTTTACATTTATTCTTGTCTTTTGTTCAAGTTTTTTCTTTTATGTCCCTGTGTTTCTGAGACATTCTTGCAGAATTTGAAGTTGCTCTCACCAAAAGGAAGAGTAATGATTTCTGAACATAGTTCATGTTTTAGAATATTGTCTATGACTTACAGGATTTTCTTTTGTCTAAAGGAGAACCTGAGAACTTGCACTTGGGAAGCTCTGTGGCAGGCTGCTTAGCAACAGATCCTCTGTGTGGCCTGAATAATACCATGGCTGAAAATTCCAGTAGATTGCTCTTTGAGCTTTCAAGTTGTATGTCACCATGTATAAGTAACATTACTCCTTCCTCAGGAACAGCAAATGAACTGATAACCATTATTGGACATGGCTTCAGTAATCTCACATGTGCTAATAAGGTAAGATTGTAAAGATCTTTCGTGAAGTTCTATATACTCAATAAAGGGAAGGTATTTTTACTATAACCTCATAGTTTAATTTTCATCAGTTTGTTGAGATGTAAATTGCATGTCATACAATCCATACATTTAAAACATATAACTAACTTAACAGTAATATATATGCATTATGTGTCTATATGAGTGTGTGTTTCCATTTATCTAATTCACCTAACTGTGCACCAATTACTGCAGCCAATTTGAGAACATTTCTGTTATCCCCACAAAGAAACCTCTAAACACTTAGGCATCATGCCTAATTACATCACTCTCCCCAAACTAATCTACTTTCCATCCCTATAGATTTGCTTTTTCTGGACATCATTGCTTACAAGTGTAATTATACAGCTTGTAATTCCTTGTGACCTACTATTTGCACTTGTTATAAAGCTCTTAAAGTTCATCCAGATGTCGATACTTCATTTCTTTTTATAGCTGAATGATAGTCTATTGAATGGTATAGCATATTTTGTCCAGTCATCAGCTGATAGACATTAGGGTTGTCTTCACTGATGGCCTGTTGTGAAGAATGGTGTTATGAATATGTGTGCACAGTCATAATTAGCATTAAAATCAATTCAAAATACATCTTAAATCTCAAAATTAATTTTATGAATAAAACAGGTTTCACAGAATTAGCTTCTTAAAATTATACTTGTTGCTAATAGAAACATTAAGTTCATGCAGAGCAATGTGTTTCCTTATTTTCTATTCTTTTTATTTTCAGGTTACAATTGGTAGCTACCCCTGTATTGTAAAAGAAAGTAATAACACTTCTATTATTTGCCATATTGACCCTCAAAATTCCATGGATGTTGGCATCAGAGAACTTGTCACTTTGATTGTCTACAATCTGGGCACTGCTATCAACACACTGTTCAATGAATTTGATAGGCGATTTGTGCTTTTGCCAAATATTGACACGGTGTTGCCAAATGAAGGATCAACTACAGGAATGACAAGAGTAACTATATACGGCTCTGGATTCACAGGTTCTTCCGAAGGTGTAGAAGTCTTTATGGGGCGTTTTCCATGTAAAGTTCTAACTGTGAACTATACAGCCATTGAATGTGAATCACCCCGGCTTCTGAACAAAGTGTGCATGTAGATGTTCTAATACATGGAGAGCCTGCTCGATGTCAGGGGACCTGCAGTTTCTCATATTTAGAAAGCCTCACTCCTTATATAACAGGAGTCTTCCCAGACTCGATCGTAGGTTCTGCAAAAGTCCTTGTTGAAGGAAAAGGTTTTGGGACAGTTTTGGAGGAGATTTCTGTTTTCATAGGAAATCAACAGTTCAGAGTAGTTGATGTTACTGAGAAGAACCTCACTGTTCTTCTGACGGCTCTCCCAGCTGGACTTCATTCTCTCAGCGTGGTGGTGAGAAGTAAAGGTCTGGCTCTAGGCACCGGGACCATCAGCAGCCCTGCGGTGGCATCTGTTTCACCAGCTTCTGGCAGCATGGGTGGTGGAACTGCTCTGCTGATCACAGGGAACGGCTTCTATCCTGGCAACACTACAGTCACGGTTGGTGAAGACCCTTGTCAAATTCTATTTGTCAATTCCAGTCAGATCTACTGCAAGACACCAGCTGGGGAAGCTGGAGTGGCCAATCTGAAGATCTGGGTTAATACAGTCATCTACCCACCCTTTGCCATTCGCATACACCTCAGAGGATACTCCATTGCTCAGAGGAATCATCCCAAATAGAGGTACCTCACTACAGGCTGTCTTGTTTATCTTCTTGATGCTGTAGTAACAGTAGCATTTATTACTATAGCGTTAACAATAATCATAATAATGTTGATGTGTTTTTAAACAGTCCTACTTAACTCTATTAATACATGAGATTTAAGTTAGTGCTGATTTTTCACACAATCTTGGGATAAAATGTTTAAACAAATTGCAGCTCTGATTTAGGTGTAAAAATCTCCATCAACTTAACCTGACCTTAATTTCAAATGAGGAATAAATGCTAGGATATTTATGAATCAAAGTGGACAATCCTTAAAGTTGCCATGCCACAAGAAACAGCTATTGGAATTCACAACTAGTCCTTCTTACTAACACTGAGAATTATTCAGAGTATTTTATTTGCCTGAATTTCAGGATGATTATTGTTAGTACAGTGGAAATCTTTTAAGGGGAATAATTTAGATAGAGAAATTATAAAATAATATTTACTGAATGATTCAGTGTGACACATTTTCCTAAGCTAAGCATATATTAAATGACCTCTTGGTCTTTTGCTATTGTACTGCACTGTTTCTGATCCTCTTCTAGCTCTTGGAATGCCTACTGTGTACCTAGTGAATTCTGGAAAGACAACTGTATTGCAGTGTCCTTGATGCTCAGGTTCCAGTCTTTGGTTCTTTTCCTTTCTAATGGTGATGTGCTGGACACGAATTTATATTTTTCTTCTTAAATATTGGTTTCATATATTTATATATATTGCATAAAATTTGAGAAATTAATTCATGTATACATGGTAATTTAGAATGGAACATTGAATAAAGAATTCTTGAAATGTTAGATGTTAAAATGTTTAGTTTATATCACTGGGAAATGTATTAGGTTTAGATAAGATATATTACCTAACTTTAATAAGTTTATTATTAATTTTTTTCTTTAATACATCAATTCTATTGCCTTACAAACAGATGTTAACAATAGAAATGACTACACTGCTTTTTTTCTTTTCTTTTTTGTCAGTCATGGGGCCTAAATTCTGGGCCTGGGTGCTGTCCCTCAGCTCTTCAGCTCAAGGCTAGCACTCTACCAAATGAGCCACAGTGCCACTTCCGCAAAGATGACACGTATTCCCTTAGGAGATGCTCTGCTCTTCTTTTTTTTTTTTTTTGTCGGTAGTGGGGCTTGAACTCTGGGCCTGGGTGCTGTCTCTTCAGCTCAAGGCTAGCACTCTACCAAATGAGCCACAGTGACACATAGAAATGATAAATCCACATATTTGAAGTCATTGCAATTGACAGCATCTGCTCCTTGTTTCTAGGAGGCATTTCTCTATCTCTCTCTTTGAATATAATCTATGTAAAGTATAAGAGATTGGTAATCAAATGAGATCCACGCTGTTTAACTTCCTAAAGGGAAAGGCTATAGATCACACTTAAAAAATACCTCTCCGCTATAAAAAGCAAAATGAAAACAAAATCATTATTTTAAGATTTACAGAATAACTTATTACCTTATAGTATTCCTAATATGAAATATTTCATTAACATTTATAGTTTTATGATAATGATTCATAAACACAGGGATTTATATTTTGGTAATCCTCACTTTGGTAATCCATGGTATTCTTAGTTAAATCAAAATAAAGACAGTACTTGGATATTTGTATTTGTAACCAGTTGGAGATTATTTATTCATCTGAAATGTAGTTATTTGGATGACCTGTGAACATTTCCTCATTTATGCTCTCAGTGTACATTTGTCAAAAAAAGAAACAAGGGCAAAAACAGATTGAACTCCTTTCTGTGTATATTCATTCAAATCTCAGTGTCCACATGAAGCATAATCTTTCCTTTCTTTTCTTTATTTCCTATCTTATACCTAATTATATAACATGATTTGTTCATCAAGTTGAAATAATTTAAAACTATAGGCTAGGCGAATTAAGAAAAACTACACTCCATTTACATAAATAATTTCTCATATCAGGGAAGAAAAGTGCAGAGAATAAAAAGTGACCCAACTGATCTTCAAAATGCACTCCAACTTACCACAGCTGCGCAGACACTCATACTTCCTTAGTCTACCTATTTTCCCTTCTCCTGTCTTCTCAAACTAAAATAGTAAATTCAACTCAGTAGAATGGATGGAAGGACTGAAAAATAATGAATATTAAGATGCGTCATTTGTAGTTAATAAACACTAAACTACAAGGTATATTGTAGCGAAAGTATATGGCACAGCATATGTATTAGTAGTCATTCTGGTATTAAAACACTGACACAACTTTTTAAAAACAGAATTAAAGAGGTATGTCTTTAAACACATGAACAAACATTGACCTTTCATTATATTATGTATTTTTGTTTCATTTTTTTATTTTATTTATTTTTTTAATGTGAAAATACTGTACGGAAGGGTTACAATTACATGGGTAAGATAATGAGTACATTTCTTATGGAGCATTGCTGCCTCCTCCTTTGTTTCCCCTTCCCATCCCCCCCCCCCCCCATTCCCTCAATCCCTCCCCCCCCCCCCCCCCCCCCCCCCCCCCCCCCCCCCCCCCCGCACCAACGTTGTAAAGTTCGTTTTCAAAATAACGACTTGTACTTCTCATTGTTGCAATGGGTCCACCTGTATCCCTATTTAAACGATTTGTTTTTCCCCTTCCCCTCCACAAATTATACCAACATCAAATACAGTGAAAGCAGAGGTTATACCATGGGGGAGGGACATACAAAACAACAAAGAAATAATCTTATAAATGTGTTAGAAACAATCGCATGAAAGAAAAAAAAAACATTTGGATACATATCTTAGGGTTCATTTCCCTAACATCAACTTTATCTGATCTTTTCTGCTTGATTTTGTTTCGTTTTTAAGGTCCCCCAGGAACTGAAATTGAGATCACTGGATCCAACTTTGGTACTGATATCTCAGAAATTTCAGTGATGATAAATGACGTTCAGTGTAATGTGACCATGGTCAATGACACTGTTCTACAGTGCCTTGTGGGAGCTCATGAGGGAGGCGTTTTCCCTGTGATGATGCATCATAAGACAAGAGGGTCTGCCGTCTCCACTGTTGTATTTGAGTATCCTCTGCAGATCCAAAACATTCATCCAAGACAAGGTAGTCACAAGCACACAGGAACATATATATATATATATATATATATATATATATATATATATATATATATATATATATATACATACACACATTATATATATACACACATTATATATATACAACACACATTTTATATATATACACATTTTATATATATATACACACATATATATGCATGCAATAGTATTAGGTAATCACTCAAAATATTAGGCTAAGGACTTAGACTTCTCTTAGTATTATACAATGTATTCAAAATATATTCTATTTAAAACATCAAGCTTATATATAATCAAAAATCCTACTTATATGCAAAAAAGTATTTTTTCTAGTTGAGAATTATTTTGATGGTTAAAAACCTTAAGAAAATATAACCAGTGCCCTCAGTTAAAATAGTGATTTCATTCTGATTAATTTGAAATTATGGGATATCTCTTTTACATGAAAGTTTAGTTCCTAGAAACAGTTTGTACAAATTACCAGCTGTGACATCTACTCATTGAAGATTTTTAAATACTATAACTGAAAAAAGTTCTGTTTTATCAATAATATAAGGGACTCATATTTATGAAACTTTTTATTTAAATAACTTCCATATCCGAGTTTTAAATACAGTGAAGCAAGTATGTAACAATTCGTATTTACTTAGCTTTTCCTCTGTGTTTATCTATACTAGGGAGCTTTGGTGGTGGCCAAACCATGACTGTCAGAGGCACTGGGTTTAATCCACAAAATTCAATTTTATTGGTCTGTGGCTTGGAATGTGTGATTGACAGACTGAGATCGAATTCCACTGCACTATTCTGTGAGATTCCGCCTAATAAAGGTAAGCTTTAAGAAAAGGATGACAGCCTTTGGTATATGATTAATATTATAAAGATTATAGTCTGAATTTTTCCTTTCAAGTTGCTAGGTTAATTGAAATAACTGAATCACTTTTATAACTGTTCTGATTTTAAACTATGTATTCAGAACCTTTATTTTCTAAGCTTACAAGTCTTTGAAAAATTTTAATTTATGATATCAATTGATGTGCTCTTAGCCTATTAGGCATCCTATATTTAAAACAAAAACAAAAACATGTCTTCAGTTCTTACTAGAGTATTTGATTTCCTTTGAAGTCAGGGTGGCTCATGTAGCAGAGTGCCCACTGAGCAATTGTGAGACCCTGTGTTCAAACTCCAGTAATTTTATAAAATTATTGATATTTTTAATGGCATACTTTGCAGGATTATTAGGAGGTAAGTATGTCTTAAGAATAGAGCTTTCCTGGGCTGGGAAGGTGGCTCAGTGGTAGAGCACTTGCCTTGCATGTATGAGGCCCTGGGTTTGATTCCCCGGTACCACATAAGCAAAAAGAAAAAAGCCGAAGTGGTGCTATGGCTCAAGTGGTAGAGCGCTAGCCTTGAGCTGAAGAGCTGAGGGACAGCGCCCAGGCCCAGAGTTCAGGCCCCACCACCAGACCCCCTCCCCCAAAAATAAAACAAAAACAAAAACAAACAAAAAAGAATAGAGCTTTCCTATGACCCAGCAATCCCACCTTTGGGCATTTACCCAAATGATTACAAACAAGACCATACTAGAGCTACCAGCACAACTATGTTTTTTTTGGGGGGGAGGGGGGTCTGGTCATGGGGCCTGAACTCTGGGCCTGGGTGCTGTCCCTCAGCTCTTCAGCTCAAGGCTAGCACTCTATCACTTGAGCCACAGTGCCACTTCCAGCTTTTTTCTTTTTGCTTATGTGGTGCTGAAGAATCGAACCCAGGGCCTAATGCATGCAAGGCAAGCGCTCTACCACTGAGCCACCTTCCCAGCCCCAGTAGCACAACTATGTTTATTGCAGCATTATTTACCATAGCTAAGATATGGAACCAACCCAGATGCTCCTCAGTGGATGAATGGATCAAGAAAATGTGGTATATATACACAATGGAATTCTATGCCTCCATCAGAAAGAATGACATTGTCCCATTTGTTAGGAAATGGAAAGACTTGGAAAAAATTAGATTAAGTGAAGTAAGCCAGGCCCAAAGGTCCCATGGTTTCCCTTATTTTCAATAACTCATATATGTCTGAGACAAGCAGAAACGGTCTTATAAGTTGATGTTAGGCAAAATGAACCCCAAGGTAAGGACTTAAATGGTTTTTCTTTCTTGCTATTGTTTCTAACATATTTACAAGATATTTCTTTGTTGCTTTGTATGTCCCTCCCCCATGGTTTAACCCCTGTTTTCACTGTATTTGATATTGGTATAATTTGTGGAGGGGAAGGGCAAAAAAAAATGTTTAAATAGGGATACAGGTGGACCCATTGCAACAATGAGATGTACAAGTCGTTATGTTGAAAATGAACTTTACAACTTTGGTGTGGAGGGTGAGGAGAAAAGGTGGGGTGGAGATGGGAAGGGCTGGGAAGGGGAAACAAAGGAGGAGGCATCAATGCTTGATAAGAAATGTACTCATTATCTTGCCCACGTAATTGTAACCCCTCTGTACAGTATTTTCACACACAAAAAAAGATGGTATCACATACCATTACTCTAATTTATTTTTATTTAGGAATTAAGAATTGCAGTTCTGAGGAGTTTCTGATTCAATTTTACCACTTACTTTGTAAGGCATTTTAAACAAGTGATGCTGAAAAAATGATTTATTATTCAATCCTAGTGTTTGTATCCTGGTCTGCAACAACAACAAGGGCTGGGAAGGTGGCTCAGTGGTAGAGTGCTTGCCTTGCATGCATAAGGCCCTGGGTTCGATTCCTCAGCACCACATAAGCAGAAAAAGCTAGAAGTGCTACTGTGGCTCAAGTGGTAGAGCACTAGCCTTGAGCTGAAGAGCTGAGGGACAGCACCCAGGCCCAGAGTTCAGGCCCCATGACCGGACCAAAAAACCCCCCAAAACAGAAAAACAAAACCAACAAATAAACATGTAGCAATGTGGTTAAGATTTAGCAGTGTTTCTAGAGCCAGTCTTAAGACAGGCTCTGTCTTCCTTTTCTATCTTTACATGGGTTTCTGTAGCTTTTCTCTCCTATCTTCCATTCTTAGTGCCCCTGTCTTTGCACATCTTTCACTTTTCCTGCTTTAATTTAGATAATTGAATCTTGTAGGACTGAAAAAGGAGTAGGCAGGTTTGCACAGCTGTTGTCAATGGTAGACTCTAAAGGAGAAACTTTTTTCCCCCTCTTGATTTGGAAGTGGGTGAACTTTGTGGTTTTGTCTACTGCTATTCAAATACAAATAAATCAGTGTTATTGTAGGAAAATGAGGATATTATTTTAAAAAAGCATTCAGAGGATTTGGAAATGAATCAGGGCTTACTGGAAGAACTCTCCTCATCTGGACAGTTCTCATCTTTTCTCCTAGGCCCAGGACCTGAGCAAGCCTGTGAAGTGAGAGTGGTCAATGGGCAAGATTCGTCGCCGTCCTCAACTCTGTTCATATACTCAATGTCAGTGACTCCACTCATCACTGAAGTGTTTCCCAGAAGAGGCAGCACAGCAGGAGGCACCAGACTGACAGTCATGGGATCAGGGTTCAGGTACTGTCCCCACACACAAGTATCAATAGGTGTCCAGGTTAGATCTGTACATCTTCTTCTTGGTCAATACCTTGACTGATAACCTGAGTGGACCTTCTGTGTTCAGCTATGTTTAATACTAATAGCTAACATTTTTTGTGTACTTTCTTTGTACCAGGTATCTTCCTGTCCACAGAAACTTTCTATCTTACCATCTAGGTGTTTTTAATCCCATTGTATGGTTAAGTTACTAAAATGAAAGAAATCAAGTCATTTGCTCGAAATCCTTGTAAATAACATCACAGAAATCACACTGTGTTATATTTTCCCCTCCCAGCTCATCTCTAACCTCATTCATTGAGTCATGACACATTTCTTTAATCTATCCCACTCTAACTGGCCAGGCTTTTTCTTACTTTCCCCCATTACGCAGATCAAATTTTCTGTACTACCCTATAATCATTCTTCAAGTGGGCAAGGCTGACTTGAAACATCAGATCTTATAAGGTAACCTTAATTCCTCTAGTACTTATTATGACTCACACTTTAATTGCAGTTAATGTGCAATGAAAGACTAGAGTCTTAAGGCCTGTGAAAGCAATGAAAATACCGTGATGACAACATAATCCTTGAGAGACTCACATAATGCTTCCTATTTTGAGACCAATAAAGAATAACTTGAACCCAGGCAGTATTTCCTTGAAGAGTAGAATATTTGCTTGTTTGTACAATTCTATTCCTCACTTCTTAATCTCCTTATTCCAAGCAAATATTTCCAAGTCCTAACACTGAAAAAATGTGTGGCTCTGCACTTTGATAGACTGTAGGGCAATCCTTTTGTAAGGATCATTCCTTTTGTAACAACATAAGTGAAAACAGGGATTCAATTCATGCTGTGGGATTTGAAAAGCACAGAAATGCTTTGTTTTCCTTTACTTCCTTCCCAGTGAAAACATTCAGGTCACCATTGCTGGAGCCAGGTGTGACATTCAGTACTCCAACAAGACACACATCATCTGCTTGACAAGAGCCCATACTCCTTCTGGATGGGCCCCAGTACTTCTCCGTGACAGAAACATGGGCATGGCCAAACTGGTAATAGTTTATAGTAATCATAGCAATGGAAAGCTAGTGGGATATAGGGTAGACTCAGGAGGAAGTTTTACTCTAATGCTTCCCAAGGTAATTGAAGTGGGACTACATAAAATTTAAAGGCACTTAGGTTCTATTTTACTACTAACATTTATTGTTGTTATTATTATTATTATTATTGTCAGTTGTGGGGTTTGAACTCAGGGCCTGGGCACTATCCCTGAGCCTCTTTGTGCTCAGGTCTAGTGCCCTACCACTGAGCCACAGCACCACATACAGTTTTTGAGTGCTTAATTGGAGATAAGTCTCAAGGGGACTTTTTTGCCCAGGCTGGCTTTGAACCTTGATTCTTGGATCTAGACCTCCTGAGTAGCAAGGGTTATAGACATAAGTCATTGGTGCCCATCCCAACGTTTTTATTATTGTAAATTATAATAGTTCTGGGTTGTGGAGTAATAAAATTTTCACTTCGCTATTATCTTGCAATACAGAGGTAACTATAACATATTTAAAATGAATTCTATGTTATGATTCACCTAAGTGTGTATTGTGGTAGATTTCTTTCTGTGAGAAACTGATGTTGTATTTGTGTTTGTCCTGTGTTTCAGGAAAATGTTGACTTCTTATATGTTGATGTTTGGTCCTCCAACAACTCCTGGGGAGGGGTATCTCCACCAGAGGAAGGGTCTCTTGCTGTTATTACAAAAGGACAAATCATTTTACTAGACCAGAGTACCCCTATTCTGAAAATGTTGCTTATTCAGGGTAAATTTCTGATAACCTATTTCTTCCATAGACTGTATATTTCCATAGGTTTTGCTTATGAAAATATGCCTATATTTCTATGAAGTTAATTTAATCAGTTCATGATTATGGGCATCAGTATTTGCATTATGTTTTAAATATGCATGGTAGTGTTACATTTTCTAAATTATTATACCCTATTTATGGTTGTGAAATTACTTTATGCATTGCAACAAACATTACTGTCACTTCAGAAAATTTATTTCAGTAACAGGGTAGGAAGAGGTAGTGAGCATGTATGCATACTTGGATTTAATTAATTACATTAATAAAAAGCATTTATCACTTCAAAACCACTGCTGTGGTGGATCCTAGGTGCTATAAAATGATAGTGGATTTGCTTAAATCTGTCTTAAGCCAGTTCCCATCAGGGAAGCAGGTTATGACTCATCTTTACCTGAGTATCTGCTTCTAGGTGTTATGTGTGGTTCTCGCTGATCTTCGATATTGTTTCTGCTATAGACAAATGAAATAACCATTACAATTTTATATCAGCTAAACATTAAGTATTTGATGCTTTTACACAAAAACTTAGCCATAATGGTTTGAGTTGCTCAAAGACTTCTGCAATGTTACAATTGTTTTAAATCCTGGGATAGTAATTCAGTTATATTATTAAATGTTAGATCTTTAGACAAGTAGTTTTTCTGTTTATAATTTATCTCATAAAATGCAATTTAGTGTATATTTATGTGTGTGTGTGTGTGTGTGTGTGTGTGTGTGTCTGTGTGGGTGGGTGTGGGTGGGTGGGTGGGCACGTGTGCATGCGTGCTGCTACTAGAGTTTGAACTCAGGGGCTAGGAGCTGTCACTGAGCTTTTGTGCTCAAGACTACTAGCATTCTACCATTTGAGCTACAGCTCCACATCCAGTTTTTTGGTGGTTAATCAGAATAAGAGTCTCACGAACTTTCTTGTTTACTCTGGCTTCAGACTGTGATCCTCAGATCGTAGCCTCCTGAGTTTCTAAGATTACTGTCCTGTGCCAGTGACACACAATTTTTTAGTGTATCCTTAATAATGCTAATTAAGCTACTGCTGTTGCCAATGTAAAATACTAAGTAAAAATTCATAGTCTAGGGGCTGGGAAGGTGGCTCAGTGGTAGAGTGCTTGCCTTGCATGCATGAGGCCCTGGGTTCGATTCTTCAGCACCACATAAGCAGAAAAACCAGAAGTGGCGCTATGGCTGGAGTGGTAGAGCACTAGCCTTAAGCTGAAGGGCTGAGGGACAGTGCCCAGGCCCAGAATTTATGCCCCGTGACTGGCCAAAAAAAAAAAAAATCGTAGTCTACTGCTATTGCCAATGTAAAGTGCTAAGTAAAAACTCATAGTTTTATAATGGTTTTTATCAAGGTAACTTCCATTATTTTTGTTCTTAATTTCTGTTTTGAAGCCCTGCATTTTTAGAATTAATTTGTATAGCTATAATACTTAATAACATTTAAAATAACAAATGGTCATTGGAAAACAAACTGCTTTGGAACGTGACTTTCTGTCAACCTCAAGGTCTTGTCCAAAATTTTTATACTTTTATGTTAGTCAAGAGAAGAACTAAATTAGCATGCATAGAGATATTAAGTGAGAGATTAAGTTTTAACATGTAATTTAATAGATAAATTTTAATAATATCTGTTCTTACGTTACATTTAAATTTTTTATGGTTCATAGGAGGAACTCTAATATTTGATGAAGCTGACATTGAACTCCAAGCAGAAAATATTCTAATTACAGATGGAGGCATTCTCCAGGTATACAAGAGACATGATTTATATTCATTATTAAGCTTTACTTCTGATTTTAAATATTACGTGTTAAATGAGTAGTTCATTCCAACTTCTCCCAAGTTAATCTCCATTGTGCCTCTTTTACTAGTGTAACATTTTCTTACTGAGAAGTTTCCAGAATATACTTACACTTTGACAAGAAGATAATGGTGTGTTTTAACAGAGCATAATTAAAAATAGGAAAAAATAAATTCATGATGTGGCTAAAGTAAATTATATTTTCTGTGGTCTGGTACAATATATTTGGCTGCATAGAAAATATAAAGCTTTAGGAATAAGTGAAAAATCAATTCCTGGAAGGGAGAAAGGAAAGAGTACATTTGCTTGATTCGACCTGTTAGATTTTGGAACGAGCTTGTGATCTCTCACAGATTGGAACAGAAGCATCCCCATTTCAGCACAAGGCCATTATTACCTTGCACGGGCATCTGCGCTCTCCCGAGCTCCCGGTATATGGCGCCAAGACATTGGCTGTACGAGAAGGAACCCTGGATCTGCACGGTACTGTGGCAAAAGGCGCTCCACGTGGAAACATGCCAGGCTTCTATGGCTTTACGCGGCTTCTTTCCTTCTTCCACTTCCCTCCTCTCTCCTGGGCTAGTCCCACACATCCTGTGTGTCGAAAACAATTGTTCAGTTCTGGCCCATTTCTTTGCCCTTTCTCACAGCTCTTTCCATCCCTTTCCAAACACTTTGTGTCTCTTTCAGCATTTACAATGATTCATGGTGACTATCTGCTTACTCCACCTCTTTATCTATATTAAAACATCAAATCTGAAAACAGATTGTAATTTTTCATACTTCCATCTGAAAATGGTCTTTACAAACTATAACAATAAACTTATAGTTGCACTTTATAGCAATATGCTAAAAAATTGTCCTCATAGAAAATGATTCTGATCCTGTTTGAGGTATTTGGAGAACACTATTCAAAAAATGCATGAGCTGTTTTACATCGAAGGCTTCTGTAATAATACTTAAAAGATACCTAGTATGATTATAAATTTCCTACAGAGCACTAAACATATTTGCTACTATAATTTCTTAGAAAAATATATATAATTATATACTATATTTTATATTTTTATATTTTATATTATGTAATGTTATTGTATATTTAATTTCTTAAAATATATGTTATATTATATATACATCTACTCCTAGTCCTTTCTTCTTTAGTTGTTTTTCAGGTACGATCTTAAACACTTTTTCTGAGGCTATCTGAAGTCTTACTACCTTTGTGTTTCATATACTAGAATTAAAAATATATAGCACATACCTGCCTTCTTTGAGATAAGATCTCACTAACATTTCTCCTGGGATGGCCCGGGACTGCAATCCTCTCATCTATACATTTCAGGTAGTCGAATTTACAGGTGTAAGCCAACCATAAAGTAAGCATTTTTCTTCACATTTCTTTTTTATTTTAGAGAGAGAGAGAAGTACAAATCCTAAGGTCACACAGATCTTCTCAAAATTGATTTAATCCCGAAACAGATAAAAATGTGTGAAGGTGTCAGTCATCTGAAAGTCACATCTGCAGAAATTCTTGGTTTGTATGTTGGCTTAGGTCTTCCTGTTCCTGTGGTGTGGACTCGCCTGGCTCATACTGCAAAGGCAGGAGAACAGACCTTGATTTTGCAGCAAGCAGTGACCTGGAAGGCAGGAGACAGCATTGTAATTGCAAGCACAGGTCACAGGTATGGGTCCCCCCCCCCCCCTCCCCGCCCTCGGGCTTAATGCTTTTGAATTCGGTCAGAGATTTTATAAAGCTGTAGAAAAAAAGGGCTAATTCAGAAATTTGAAATCCTAGCAAAGTAACATCAACAATCAAATACTGTGTGTTGAATGTTACCATTGGTTGATCACCAGTGTGTTGAGGTGTCAGTGCTGGAAGTCATACAAGAAGCTGTGCGAATGTGAATCTGGAAAACATGTCTGAAATATTTTATTTGGTTTACATGGTTGTGTTTCCTATTGAAGATTTCATATCAAAAGCATTGTGCTACTAAAGGTTATTTGAAAACTTTTGGCTTAGAGATTTGGGAAAGTGTATCCATGGATGCAGAAATCTTTGTCTGATGTCCCAAAGAATATGGGTGAAAGCAAGAAGAAACTTTAGAGTCTTTTCAGTGGCTTTCATGGAACAAAATTGTTCATAGACCCATCATAGAGAATGGCAATTAACACAACCTTCTAGATTCTTGACATTTTAAGAATATGAAGCTGCCTAAGATCTTTTTTTTTTTTTCATGGAGTTTGAACTCTGGGCCTGGGCGCTGTCCCTCAGCTCTTCAGCTCAAGGCTAGTGCTCTACTACTTGAGCCACAGTGCCAGTTCCTGCTGCCTATGATCTTTAAGTTCTGTTTACATATGTAAATAAATCAGAACTAAAAGGAAAAAAATCAACATAGTTACTCTAGTATTTGAGAGAATGAAGGAGCTTTATTTTTATTCCTCAAATTATTTAAATTGAGATTGGATGGGATTATGCTTATCAGGGAATAAATAGTAATTTTATGACAAAAAACAGATATGTTAAGGCCATGACTCAAATTAAAATTCAAGATGCCTTGGGAGTTTGTCATTGTTTATGTTAAAAATAGATTTTCAGACATTAGGAAGAGTTAACTATGTACTTAATTTTGTAAGTGCCTATTTTTTTCTGCCCTTGGAAGAATATTTAATTACCTAATGACAAAATAAAAAGCAGGAAAATCATAGGGTTCATTAATAGAATGTAAAAATCCTCACTGACAATCTGGATATAAAATAAAATAGCAAATTTACAATTTAGAATAGGGTTATTTTAGTCTTAAAAATAATTAGGGGTTTTGTCACCAAATATGAACATTGTTGACTGTTTCATTGATAATTTCTGAGAGTTTGCAAAGCGAAGAATTAAGAAAATGACTTCTGAAACCACTCCCTAATACCTTGCAGTGCTGTTAGTACTTACCACATTCAACTATTGTAACGATTGAGGGAACGCATGTGTACAAAACACAATGGAGCTTGGCTCAAAGTAAGCACTTTATAAGCACCCATTCTTCCTACAAAAGAGGGATAAATGTGTTAAAGTTTACAGAACATATAACAGTGCCTTTTAGAACTCTTGTTTCTAAAGAAATCACAACATCATCTGTATCTAAAAGATTTTAAGAAAGACCAGCTAATGAGATCTTGTTCTATTAAATCCCCCTTACCTCTAAATATAATAAATCTCACCTTTCCCTGCCCACGTTTCCTCAACTCCATCTCATTTTGTAGTTCTAGGTTTGCATAACACATAGAAAACAACTTTATTCTCTATCTTCTAATTTCTTTGTTATTCTTTATTCAAAAAAATTAAACACTTAAATGTTAAGCCCAATTCATCTATTTTTCTCCTCATTATTTCTCCTCATTAGTTCCTTTAAAACTTTATGATCTAATTTTGTTCTTCACTAAACTTCTCCCAATTACCTTTCAATGACCATCATTCTTTACTTCTTGGACATCATCAAGTTCTTTTGGTTCTGCCTTGGAAATGTGTCTTCCATCAGCTTTTCCCGTGCAGCTTAGACTCTGGGACCCTCTCACCTGGGATTATGTCATCTTCCTATTTGAGTTACGTGCTCAGTCTATAAAATCATCCAATAGATCTCTTACGTAGAAGAGCAGTCAGGACAGAGGAAGTGGTAGGAATGTAAAAAGATCACAGGACTGCCCTGTGGTTTCTCTAAACATGAATAGGGCCTTATCCAGAAAGGTTGAGGAAGTTGAGAAGTTAACTGTTAATCTATTTTACATGTGGCATTATTACCATTTATACTTAAGGATGAAATTATTTCCATGGTAGAAGACAAGAGGTAAGTTAGGAAGACACAAGTCACTCACTTATGCTTCCCTACTATCAGCACTGATTATGCTTAGTAGACGTACTTTCTATCAGATATCACACTTCTCTTTCAACCAGATATCACACTGTATGCCTGGTGCATTTCAATATAACTAGAAATAAGGATAAATACTCAATAAATTATTTATTGAATGCCCACATATGTTGCTGAGTACATTATAGAATTTGAAAGTTCCTTTACTGTGGCTGGAATTTCAGATATATTAGAAGAATAACCTTTAATTAAATGATGTCTCTACTCTGGGACCTCCAATCATTTTCCTAATAGTTTCTCAACTTTGACATGATTGACCTTTGAGGCCAGATACATTTTGTTGTAGGCAGTCCACAATAATAATATAGAAGTCTCCCTGAACTATGAGATACCATGTATACCCTTGTAGTTATAACAATCAATAATGCCTTTGGCATTGTTGGGACTACAAAATAATCTTTAGTTGAGAAACTCTGAGTAGGGTACTTAAAATATCAAACTTTTCAATCCTTTTCAAAAGCTAGTACAGTTATGTGGACAAACCTAGTACTTGAAAAATATTAATTTAAGTAAATCTGTAAAATGTATTGTTACTCCTATAAGGAGTAAAAATGTTGTATTGAAATTCTCAGAATATTGCATGCCAAGACAATCCTTATTGAGCAAATGAAGTGTTCAAAGTGACATCAAATATGTTACGTTGACTTATATTAGCCTTGAAATTTTCTGTTAAAATCTTTACAGACATAGTCAACGAGAGAATGAAAAAAGGACCATTGCCTCTGTTTCTGCTAATGGAGTGAACATCACACTATCCAAGCCACTGAATCACACACACTTAGGAATCACCATCACTCTCCCTGATGGAACGCCATTTGAAGCAAGGGCAGAAGTTGGAATTCTTACAAGGAACATCATAATAAGAGGATCTAATAATGTAGAGTGGAATAACAAAATCCCAGCATGTCCTGAGGGATTTGATACAGGTAGTTTCAACAATTATCTTGTTTGTCTAGTTGCAAATCTAGTGTGCAAGTGTTCAAATTTTAATGGCTTCTATTCATTGCATTATCTTCAATTTCTAACAATAAGTGATGATAGTATGTTCAAGTAACATTATGAGTTATTTGCAATGTATCAATGGATAATGCTGGGGTGATGACACTGGCATAGAAGTAGTAAGTGTACTTAGAATCTGATGATAAAATATCTCTGAGAAAATCTCTTCATTATATGTTAAGCTTCAGTCTTAGTAATTACAGGTTTACATCTCACCCAGAGGAAAATGTATAAAATGATATGTGAGATGATCTGAAGATCATGAATTCATCAATGTGTCTCCTCATTTTCAAGATCTACAGTTCAGTAGAGTGGTGTATGAGCATGGAGATATTGCAGATGGATTGTTTAACTGATTCTAGATGGAAACTAAATAGAGAGACAAGTGTATTCAGGAAAGATAAAGAGAGAGGTATATGGATCTGAACCTGTTAGGACAGGCAATGTGAGAGTTTCTGAACCCCAGTACTTTTGACATTTTGACCCAGATCATAATTTGGATGATGATTAATAGCATACTTGGCCTTTGCCAGTTAAATCTAGTAACATTACACAATGGTGTCAACCAAACATATATACAGATATTGCAAAAAATGTTCCATGGAAAAACATAACCAGTTAAGAGCCATTGTAGATAATTTCTTTTAGTAAATAATTCCAGAAACGATTTTCAGTAACCAACAGTTCTAATTAAAGCTATCGGTGTCCAGTCCCAAATGAGTGTTCATCATAATCCTTCTGCAATCCAGACTGATGAAGGCTCCAGCTCATTTGAGAATTGATTTAAAATCTTCTCTAGTGCTAGACAAGTATATGATTGCATTGATTATATTAATCCCCGAACAGGGCAATGGGCTTTGGCAGCAGCAAAAAAAATACCTTTATCAATATTCATGCAATCATTAAAATATTTATTTAATACACTCTCTAAAGAAAAACTTCAGTAAGTACTTTAATACTTATTGACCTTTGGGTAAATAAGACCTGATACTTACTTTTCCTAACTATGTACAAGAGAAGATGGTATGAAAGCAACTACTCATGTTGCAGTAAAGATATAACTAGATAGTAAGAAAACAGTTCTTAATGTAAGACTATCACAACATGGTCTTCTTCCTAAAAATGCTTTAAAAATATTTTTAAAGGTGAATTTGCTACTCAGACATGTCTCCAGGGTAAGTTTGGAGAAGAAATAGGAAGTGACCAGTTTGGAGGCTGCATTATGTTTCATGCTCCTTTGCCTAATTCTGACATGGTAACTGGAAGGATAGAATATGTAGAGGTAAGATGTATTATTGTTATTAAATCACAATCATTTGACTAAAGTTTTCCATGAAATTAATGTATATGGAGCTACAGCTGTTAGCTGTACTCTGCTTATGGTCTAATAGAAGAGACAGACAAGTAAGTGAACAATTTTAACACACCAATTATTTACCCGCTCCATGATGCAAAAATGTTCTGTTTTTCTCATACCTCATCTCGGCTTTATCAGCAATTTCTATCTCCTTACCCACTAAACACTATATCTAAATTTTACTCTATCTACCACCTTCACCTGAATCCAAACCCAAATCACCTTTACCTCTTATCTAGACTGCCTGCTTTCATGCTATTCCAATAACATTTCTATGTGGAAGCCAAGTAAGAATTTAAAATCCAGTCTTCTCATATCCAAAATTTGAACCCTTCAATGGCTTCATATCACATCTAGAACCAAGTTTAAGTCCTTCCCACAGGACCCATAGGACCCGTCTCACTTTGTCATCTGTCCACGGACCTCCTCATGTGACGTGTGACTCTGGAAAGTACAGTCTTGCCTTTGCTGCTTGGTCCTTACTCTTCTTTCTGTGTCGAATGTTCTGCCACCAAACATTTGCTCAGCTCACAGCCTCATTTCAGTCAGGTTTCTTCTCAAATGCTATGTCAGGAGAATAACCCTTCCTCACCACTTTTATTTGAATTGCTGCCCAAATCCAACATTTAAGGTGATACCTATTTTTTATTTTCAATCTCTCCCTGGAGCATGTAAGTTCAATTACTTCAGAGATTTTGGCTTTCTGATTATCTCACGATTCTCCAGTGGTTAGAATAATTCATGATGTACAGTAGAATCTTACATGATTATTAGTTGAACAAGCAGATAAATATGCCCATTACCTCTGATTTTAGAAGCTGCTCTGTATCTTCTTCAAGTTCAGTATATATAATCAGGGTTTAGTATAGTTCTATCAAATATTCAATTGAAGGAGATTCAAAGGGAGAAAAAAGAAAGGAAGGAGAGTGGGCGGGCAGGAAGGAAGGAAGGAAGGAAGGAAGGAAGGAAGGAAGGAAGGAAGGAAGGAAGGAAGGAAGGAAGGAAGGAAGGAAGGAAGGAAGGAAGGAAAAAGGCAGTAAAGACATGATAGACAAATCCATAAACCCATCCTGGATACACCTAGACAGCATTGATGGTGACAGTTAACACCTCCATTTTGTGACATTCTCCTTCTCCTAAGATATATTATACACATGTAACATTTAAAATATGAAGCGAACAAGGTTGTCAGGATCTCAGGCTGTATATTAATGATTAATGATTACATTTTTCACTTTAGAGGATGAAAATACATGATCTAATGTGTTATTTTCTTAACCCTTGGGATAATAAGTATTCACACATTTTGGATTCCTCTCTATTAGATTATTAAATCATAGGTTGAAAAAATGTACAGCAGAGTGGCTAGTAAGAGCACCTACTCTCAAACCATACCAATCTGGATTGAAATGAAGCTTCGTGACCATGAGCAAGATACTCAGACTTTCTACACATAAATTTTGTCATTTGTATGATAAAGATGGTAGTCAGCGACGACTCTGTAAAGATTAGATAAAACACTTAGCAATATCTGGCTCAAGGCAAATGGTCAAAATGTTTTTCTCCCTTCCTCCCCTTCCCCCTTTCTCTCTCCTTCTTTCTCTCACGATGGCTCTGAGTCTTGAACTCAGGACCTCAGGGCTTGCACTCTGTCACTTGAACCATTCCTCCACTTCCAGCTTTTTTGGTGATTGAAGGTAATTGTGTCACAGAGTTTCTTGCCCAGCCTGCCTTTGAGCCAAGATCCTCAAACTCAGCCTCCTGTGTAACCAGGATTATAGGTGTGAGCCACCAGTGCCCAGCTGTTTCTCATTATTTAAGAATCAAAGTAAAGAAGAAAAGGAAGTCTGTTCAGACATTTTAACTCTAACACACAAAAGTTTATTAGTAAAGGTAAAAAGAAAAATCAAATACCTTTTGCTCACTTACCGTTTTGTATTTTGTATACATTAAATAAAACAAGGTGTTTTAAGCTGGACACCAGTGGCTCATTCCTGTAATCCTAGCTACTCAGGAGGCTGAGATCTGAGGATTGTGGTTCAAAGCCAGCCTTAGCAGAAAAGTCTGTAAGACTCTTATCTCCAATAAACCACCCAGAAAACTGGAAGTGGCACTGTGACTCAAGTGATAGAGTGCTCGCCTTGAGACAAAGAGCTTAGGGACAAGCACGCAGGCCCAGAGTTCAAGCCCCATAGCCGACCAAAAAAAAAAAAAAAAGAGTTTTAGGGTCAAATAACATTTTCAAATGATAAACATGAAAAATATGGAAGTTACTATGCATTAACAATTAGGGTAAAATTGGAAATTATTTTGGAATAAAGAAATAGGACCTAGGCAACACTGGAGTTTATGTGGGTTACTAAGTAATTTCTTTTTGGGGGGCTTTTCAGGTATTCCATGCTGGCCAGGCTTTCCGGTTGGGGAGATATCCTATCCATTGGCATCTGCTCGGAGATTTACAGTTTAAATCCTATGTCCGAGGCTGTGCGATTCACCAGACCTATAACAGAGCTGTTACTATCCATAACACACACCACCTTCTGGTTGAGAGGAATATTATCTATGATATCAAGGGAGGCGCATTTTTTATAGAAGATGGTATTGAACACGGAAATATTCTGCAATATAATTTGGCAGTCTTTGTGCAGCAAAGCACCAGTCTTCTGAATGATGATGTGACTCCAGCTGCATTCTGGGTAACCAACCCAAATAACACCATACGCCACAATGCAGCTGCTGGTGGCACTCACTTTGGCTTTTGGTACCGAATGAACAACCATCCTGATGGACCATCCTATGACCGAAACATCTGCCAAAAAAGAGTTCCTCTTGGAGAGTTCTTTAACAATACTGTTCATTCCCAAGGTTGGTTTGGACTATGGATCTTTGAAGAATATTTCCCCATGCAGACAGGATCCTGTACTTCCACAGTGCCGGTGCCTGCAATCTTTCATTCACTTACGACTTGGAATTGTCAAAAAGGAGCCGAATGGGTCAATGGTGGTGCCCTTCAGTTCCATAACTTTGTGATGGTTAATAACCACGAGGCTGGAATTGAGACGAAGAGGATTTTAGCTCCTTATGTGGGAGGATGGGGTGAAACCAATGGAGCGATGATTAAAAATGCCAAAATTGTTGGTTATCTTGAGGAACTGGGCCTAGGCTCTGACTTTTGCACCTCAAGAGGCCTTGTTCTCCCCTTTAGTGAAGGGTTGACGGTATCTTCTGTGCACTTTATGAACTTTGACCGTCCTACATGTGTAGCTTTGGGAGTGACGTCTATCACTGGAGTTTGCAATGACAGATGTGGAGGTTGGAGTACAAAATTTGTTAACATCCAGTATTTTCACGCGCCAAATAAGGCCGGCTTTAGATGGGAGCACGAAGCACTACTGATTGATATAGATGGCTCACTCACAGGTAACATTTGTTCTCAGTTTGTGATAAACATAGATTGGGGGGAAAATGTATTCACTCAGATGTGATTGGCTAAAACAGATTAACCAATATCACAGGTCTTACCCAGCCTCAAATTTTATTAAAGAAGTTATTTTAAAATAATTCTTTAAAAAATCAGCAAGTGTAAAAATATTACCCATGATGTTTCTGAACGAGACTCAAACTGGCAGAGGTAGCCTTCAAATATGCCCTTTTCCTCCTATGGCCACACTTGGATTTTGAGTCAATAGCAAATGTTGAACAATATTTACAGAAATACTCATCTACAAAGGAAGTAATTTTATTTCAAAACAATTTTATTCTATGCTCAATATACAGTTAAGACACTACTTTCTTGCCTTGCCAAACCCACAGCCAAACATGTCCCACAGATATATAAAAGCCATCATTATTTACAAAAGATAAGAAGTCTGGATATTCTCTTGCTAGAAAACTTTTCAAGAGAAGAAGTAAATATCAAGCTTACCATGATTATATATATATATATAAAATTTTTTTTTTTGGTCAGTCATGAGGCCTGAACTCTAGGCCTGGGCACTGTCCCAGAGCTCTTCATCTCAAGGCTAGCGCTCTACCACTTGAGTCACAGCGCCACTTCTGGCTTTTTCTGCTTATGTGGTGCTAAAGAATCGAATCCAAGATCTTATGCATACAAGGCAGGCACTCTACCACTGAACCACCTTCCCAGCCCACCATGATTCTTTTCTTTTTCATTTATACTCTACATTTGGACTCATTGGAAGAATGTGTTATCTAGAAAAACTTCAGTATACATTCTAGATTTCGGTTTATTTTTTAAGCACTTCATATGTCAGATTTTCTGTAAATATTCATGGTTTCTAGAGTTTAATGTCTTTGTGCATTGTTAACAAAAAAGTCGCCTAAATAAGACTTAAAGAATATATGTACCTTGTTGAATCATACTTTTAAAAAAGAGAGCCAATTGACAAGTAAATTGAAAGATGTAAACAATTGATTTGAAAGAATCTTTGAAAGATAAAAGAAAACTATTCTAGATATTCAGGATGTGATTCTCAAAGTGATAACTTCTATATCCTACTCTAATTAATTATGAATTTTGACAAGGAGAATTTTTTGATGCTTCTGATTTACAAAGATTTTGTGTAACCTATATTGGTCTACTAAATTCAGCTTCTTTTAATGTTAACCGTTCATTGGATAACTGTCTAGGATCTGTGGCCATGGATTTCAGTCCTTTGTGTCCTGCTTCTCATCTCTTATATTGACTCTTACTAATGCTTCAAAACCCATGTACCTGATGCAAAATCTCTATGGGAGTTCTTCTTCATACAAACAAAAGAAAACAATATGCTAAGATTTCTAGATTTTATTGGTAATACTATGGGCCACAGAAGCTGTGCAGTGTGGACCAGCTTTTTAAGTTTTGTAATGGAAGTAGTAATCATGCTACTTATGTTTCTTTTCCAGGGCACAAAGGGTACACTGTCATTCCACACAGCTCCTTGCTGGACCCTTCACATTGCACACAAGAGGCCCAGTGGAGTGTTGGCTTCCCTGGGTCTGTGTGTGATACCTCAGTCAGTTTCCATCGCTTAGCATTCAACAAGCCTTCTCCAGTATCTCTACTTGAAAAGGATGTGGTTCTCTCAGACTCTTTTGGTAAGGTTATTTTAAATAGCTTAAATGATCATTTAAAGATGTTTCCTTAAGCTTTTGCATTTATTCTTAAGCAGTTGCTTGGTACTTTACAGAAAGCATAATGTTTATACCAATCCTAGCCCAGGCAGAAAACAACACACCCAGAGTGAGTGTGTGAAGAATTCATTGATCACTCTAATATTCTGTTGACAAAGAAACCTCCTGTTAATATTATGGTGAAGAGCAGTTGGCATAACCTTTGTATCAAGACAGTAAAAACATACCAGCATTCCTAATACTGAAGCATGTTTGTTATGCTCCTGATTGACAGATGGTGAATCAATAGCTGCATACTATGGGCCAATGATGGTTGCTTTCCTACCAGTACAGACCAGTACCAGTACAGACTGTACCACTACAGACACTAATGCTCCAATATCTTAGAACAGCAGATATGCTTGACATGGTTACTGACTGGGTTGTCTTAGTTTGCTGGCATAATTCATGATTTACAGGACATTTGAAGTAGTAAAAAGAAAGCTGAATAGGGGTGTGGTGGATATCTTGTTTCTTATGTTTTCAAATATTAGGCTGATGTACTAAATAATACCTTTATTTTGCCCCTGAAGGATTAGAAATTACTTTTAGCTTATTGCTCTCTTATTGTTCTCTCAGTCAGAATTCCATTATTCCAACTAACCCCTAAGATAATCAAGTTATAAAGAGAAAGTTTATGTTGGCCCACAGTTTTGGAAGTTTCCGTCCTTGGCCTCATTGTTTTATGATTGTGGATAAGCAGCACATCATGGTACATTGTGTGCAATGGAGGAAAAACTACAAAAAATAACAAGGAAAACACAGCGGTAGCACAATCCTCTAGAGAACACCCTCAATGGCCCAACTACAACCTCTTAAGGAGAATAGAGGAAGAAAATATACAGGAGAATTAATCAAAGGTCTCTATTTCTAAGAAACCTTTTCAAGTACTTAAATGCTCAGTCACTCTCTCATGCCCCAAATACTACAAGGTAGGTCAGCTTCCAAGTTCTCATTAAAAAGTTTAGATACCATGACCACTGTGAAGTGACTGGACAGTTCAGGCCTCATTCCTTAACACTTCAGTCAAAACAGCATCCTTTAAATGGATTATATACAATTCAGCATTTGTTATACAGCTCAATAGACAAAAAAGGCAAATTATGTTTATAGACACTGGAAATCAAAAATTCTGAAAATTTAGGTTCTTTAAAGAATAGAAATAAAAGTATGTTTAGGTGAATGATATTGAAAGAATTCTGTTAGCAGATTTAAACATTTTGTGTCCTCATAGTTTTCTGTCTTCATAGTTCAATAGCCATCACATTTCAGTGCTCTCTTTTTCTAAGGAATAAAGTCTCCATTTGAATTTGGAATCCCAAGTGAAGGCATTTTATGTTCCAATCAAATGCAATATTAAATATTGTTCAACTTTCAGTTGAACAAAGACATTTTGAAAGCCATGAAGAGACTATCACAGACTAAATAACTTGCACTTGTTAATAAAGAGGAAAATTTTAAAAGGTAAAGGTTGATATAACTTGCTTGTATCATTTTCTGCAGGCACTAGTGTGGTTCCCTTTCAGAAGAAACGACTGACTCATATGTCTGGATGGATGGCTCTGATTCCAAATGCAAATCACATTAACTGGTATTTCAAAGGGGTGGATCATATAACCAATATATCATACACATCCACATTCTATGGATTTAAGGTATATGAAGAGCTGTAAAGTTCATTGTCTTACTCTAGACATTTTTGTTTTGCTCATATCTATTGTTGGACTCAGAAAGCTCTCATTGCTGGTGGCTTACACCGTAATCCTAGCTACTCAGGAGGCTGAGATCTGAAGATCAGCCTGGGCAGTCCATGAGACTCTTATCTCCAATTAACCATCAAAAACCAGAAGTGGCACTGTGGCTCACGTGATAGAGTGCTTGCCTTGAGCTGAAGGGCTCAAGGACAGCGCCCAGGCATAGAGTTCAAGCCCCCACGACTGACGCCCCCCCAAAAAAGCCCTCATTTCAAAAATCAATCTATTAAAGTCCTGCATATCTTTCACAATCCACTCTAAATTTAGGAAGCAGCCCAAAGAGTTCATTTGAGCAAGAATAGCAAGAAGTCCTTCCATGATATGCTCATAATATTATACCAGATTAGTGCACTTGTCCTAAATTACTAGGATAAGAATTTCTGTTTATTGAATATTTAGAACATCTCAGGTGCCAATTAAGGGCTTATTATTCATTTTATAAGCGAAGTCAAACATTAAGCAAATTAGTTTTCAAAATAATATTTATGCCTCCCACAGTTATAACAATTTATAAATATTTATTTTCTATTTTTGAAAACATAATTTTGCAGATGAAATGGAAGCCTGATTAAATCCCCTTTCTCTACCTCTAACCAGTGTCCTGAATTAGCTATTTTCCTCCCATACATGTTTTCTACTTATACTATGTATTTGTACAGCCCCCCAAATCTTATCCTGTACTCTTTCAAATATTTCAAACATCATAGAAATTAAATATTCTTCAAATGTAGACATACACATATACTAATTGTGTTAGTGATAGATCTATTGAAATTGTTATAGTCATATAAAGTATTAATAAAATAAACATAAATAAAAACTAAAACTAACATTTTTATTAGAACAATAGAAGGACAAGTAATGTCATTGAAATTAATGTATATCATGCAAGATACTAGCCTAAAAATAAACTGGTACTTTTCTGTCAATTTTTATAGGAAGAAGACTATGTAATTATATCACACAACTTCACTCAAAATCCTGATATGTTTAATGTTATTGATATGAGAAATGGTTCTTCGAATCCATTGAATTGGAATACTAGCAAGAATGGAGACTGGCATCTTGAAACAAACACTAGCACACTGTATTACTTGGGTATGTGTTCATTAGGAAGAAGCCATCATTTTACTGCCTTTCCTAAAGGATGAGAAAATTTGCCTCATAGACAAATGGGATAGACAGTGCCCAGTATGGAAGAGTTAAGAAATACTTGTTGAGGGGCTGGGAAGTTGGCTCAGTGGTAGAGTGCTTGCCTTGCATGCCTAAGGCCCTGGGTTCGATTCCTCAGCACCACATAAGCAAAAAGAATAAAAGCTGGAAGTGGCGCTGTGGCTCAAGTGGTAGAGCACTAGCCTTGAGCTGAAGAGCTGAGGGACAGCACTCAGGCCCAGAGTTCAGGCCCCACGACCGGACCCAAAAAAAAAAAAGAAAAGAAATACTTGTTGAATGAAAATAATAGCCACTTGGGGCTGGGAAGGTGGCTCAGTGGTAGAGCACTTGCCTTGCATGCCAGAGGCCCTGGGTTCGATTCTTCAGCACCACATAAGCAAAAAGAAAAAAAAGCCAGAAGTGGCGCTGTGGCTCAAGTGGTAGAGCGCTAGTCTTGAGCTGAAGAGCTGAGGGACAGTGCCCAGACCCAGAGTTCAGGCCCCAGGACCAGACCCAAAAAAAAAAAAAAAAAAAGAAAATAATAGCCACTACATTTATGCTAGTAAAAGACTTGAGTTTAGGAACTTCATATTTATTTTTGTAGCTACCACTAACAAACTTGTACATGATTCTGGTCATTTATTTCACAAAGTTCTTAGGCAAGGACTATGATGGCCTATCTCCTGTTTCCCTTTTTTTTTTCTTATTTTAGAAAAACTGTACAAGAATAAATTTAAATCAAACCTTTCTTTTTTTCTGTCATTATATAGTTTGAACTCAAGGCCCCACATTCATTAGGCAGACACTGCATCACTCAGGCCATACTCCAGATCGTTGTTGCTTTATTGTTTGATAGGCTCTTGCATTTTTGCTTAGGCCAGCCAGTATTGCCACCCTCCTCCCACTGCTACCCATGAACCTGAGACTACAGATATACATAGAGACACACAACCAGGTTTTCATCTTGGTTGAGATGGGGTCTTGCTATCTTTTTGCCTTAGCTGTCTGTCAAACAGCAATTCTGTCCAGCTCTACAGGAGTAAATAAGACTGAAGAAACATGCCATCATACTGAGCCTTAAAATTTAAGGCACTCATTTTTAGCAAGATGTTTTCACTTTATACTTTATATTTTTAGTAACACATTTATTTTGTTGAAATTTCTCAATACCTGTCTGTACATTTAGATAATGCAACATTTCCATTGAGATGCTGTTATTCAAAATGCTATGGTTCTGATTACATTTAAGCACTTTCATGTTAACTCTTTACCATTGTTAACTAATATTTGTTGTACTTTCAGTGTCAGGAAGAAGTGACCTTCAACAGAGTCAGCTCACTTCTGGGACTCTGGACCCTAATGTGAAAGATGTCATTATCAATTTCCAAGCTTATTGCTGTGTTCTTCAAGATTGTTTTTCTGTACATCCCTCCTCAAGAAAACCAGTTCCCAGGAAACGACCAACCACTTACAAGTATGGAGGGCTTTTGTGGTTAATGCCCTTCTATAACTCTTGACATAACCTTTTTCACTTGCCATGACTAAGTGAGATGATGATGATGCCTTTCTCTAGCACAAGGCCTTGTAGTTGATAAAGTATGTTGCTTTGCTTGGTTTTACAACCACCCTAAAGAAAACACGGGAGAATGTCACAGAAATGAAGTGTGAACATTATTGGTAATTTCACCATTGCCCATATGAAATTTAGACTATTAGACATGGACTATTGAACAGATGCTACATATTCCAAATTACTCCTCTTGCTACTCTCTGAATGTATTCTAAATGACAGTAGAGGAAGCAGGGAGGGGTAAAAAATGCTCTAGAGACCTTGTTAAAAGATATAGTTCCATCAAAGTTATTGCACAGAATATCTTTATGCTAACTGAGGTAGATATTATTACTACATAATTAGGAAATGTGACTAGTGTAACAGATTTAGATTGCCTAAATTAGGGCATAAAACAGGTATGTGATGACACGATCATGTCATATTATAGTCCCTCTTCTCCATTATGTGAATTTGCCTCACTGGAAATAGATGTAATTGGGTTAATCAATTTGTATTGTTCAGTTAGCCATCAGAAAAAAAACAGATTTTTGATTAAGAACCAGAATCTCAGGAGTAGAATATAAACCTTTAGCTATACAACATAAATGCCTGGTTTATGAGGGATTATGTTGATGGGAAATAAGAATACAAAACATATGCAGTGATGGTGATACTGTTGGCGGGATAAGAAGAAAGAGTTGCTAATCTAGATGAAAATTAGTTTAAAAATTATTGAACATATTACCATTCAGATTATATATATTAATGGAACTAAACAACAACAACAAACAGCTGTGTGAAGGTGGCTCATTCGGAGGCTGAGGACTGCAGTTCAAAGCTAGTCCCAGCAGGAAAGTCTGTGAGACTCTTATCTCCAATTAACCACCAGAAAACTGGAAGTGGCGCTATGGCTCAAGTGGTAGAGCACTCATGTTGAGCGAAGAGCTGAGGGACAGTGCCCAGGCCCAGAGTTCAAGCCCCAGAACCGACAATATAAATGAATATATATATATATATATATATATATATATATATATACATATATTGAATCTGCACAAGTTCTGTGAACATTTTCCACTAAGGAAATGTCATCAACTTTACAACAATTTGAATTAGCAGATAGTTTCTGGAAGGCATAGTTATGAAAAGAGGCTGAATACATTTTCCATGTTTATTTCAACTTAAGACATGGAGCCTTCATTCTGATTGCCCGCCAACTTCTTCCACCCTGCCACTATATTCAGGGCCAACATTTACTATCTTTGGCAATTCAAGTACCAGTTATTCTTTCCCCCTCTATACACACCCCAGAATCTATCCAAGTACATCCTCAATCTCATTTCACACGAAATAAGATCATGTTATGGCCCCTCAAACATGAAGGACACATTTAATTTACTTTTCACTTTTTCGACCATGTGAAATCTCATAAGGAAATGGAGCAACTGACTATAGAGACAAAATTAGGTTATATCACAATAACAATTTAGTGGAAAAAGTAATTCATGTTGTGAGAAGAAAGTTTTGTTCAGTAGAAAAAAGGTATCTATATACATATATACATATACACAGCATATAGAGAGAGAATAAATACTATATATACATATATATAGTATGTGTGCTAAGTATTTTCCTTGTTGCATAAATTAGCTGTCTAATTAGTGAAATTATAAACTATCGAATTCACATTCTATCATCTTAAATGGGTGGTATAACGCTACTAAACATATAGACATAATTGATGGAAATATTTTTCTTCTGCTTTCAGTTTGTGGTCCAATGATTCCTTTTGGCAATCATCTCCAGAAAATAATTATACTATACCCCATCCAGGAGCAAGTGTGATTATTCCTGAAGGTAAATACACAAATAAAGATAGGACAGATGGTTGTGCTTATGTAACTTAATACTACCACAGATAGATACCTCAGTTAATAAGGTTTCTACCTTTATGCATTCCACCTTGGGAAAAGAGTACATCTGAAGAGGGGCAGTATAATTTGTGGCCCTGATATGAATCAAATTCTTCTGGGTTCTGTATAAGTTTAATCTTGACTGTTAACAGTAATATAAACTGGGCAGCATGGAGATGCCTATTATGCCAGCTGCTCAAATGTGTGAGAAACAGGAAGATTGCTTGAACCCAAAAGGTCAAGGCTAACCTCCATAGAAAATAAAGTAAGTAAGTAAATTCAGTAACATTGTCTATGAGTGACAGGATTGTATAAAAAGATAGGTTATAAACTTCACACCCAAGATACACTGATAAGCTTGTTCATGTTTTACCATAGGCCACAGCTAGTGGATTACAATATTTATATGTACTGTTTTACAGGAACCTGGATTGTAGCTGACACAGATTTGCCATCAATGGAAAGGCTCATAGTTTGGGGTGTTCTAGAACTGGAAGATAAATCCAAAGTGGGCACAGCAGGGCCTTCTTACAGAAGAGTTGTTTTGAATGCTACCTACATATCAGTGCAGGTCAGCATGATATATTTCAATTTGTATCTTTATCAAGCAAATTCTGATCTCTAGATTTATTGAGATAATAACAATAGAACATACTCAATTTTGAATAAAAATTGAAGCTGTTTTAGCCCAGGAAATGTGAGCCTTTGGTACATCCAGAATTATTCTACCTCTCTTTAAATTGTGAACTCAACATACCTTAAGGATTAATGATCAAGATATGTTGAATATAAAGTTGGCCTGGTTTCAATTCTTCTTAAAACATTTTCATTGCTATTAGGTATGTTGAACAATGAGCTTGAGCCAACAATTAGTCCCTAGGAGCTCCAGTAAAAAGCAAAAGTAATTCAAGAATTTTTAAAAAGAAAGAATATTTTAAAAATCTATTGTTGGAGCAATCAAAGCCTTATCTCATAAACCTCAAATTGTTTATAAAGGATAAAGAATGGCTAAGCCACAAAGCTATTAAGCACAATTTTGTATAAAGCAAGGAGGGAGAGCACGAGAAAACAAGGGATAACAGATTTCGACAAGAAATAAGCTCATTGTCTATTTATGTAATTATAACCCCTCTGTACATCCCCTTTACACTAAAATAAAATTTATAAAAAGAAAGTCCTTAGGTTTGCTTTGAGAAAGAAATAAAACCAAGCAACATAGTCTTGGATGCTGTAAAGGGTATAACATATGGTCTTTGTAGTAAATCGAAGATACTACTGAATTTTCATTATTTGTTTGTTGGGTAACCTTGAGTAAGTTATTTGTCCTTTTTCAGCATCAGAGATTAGAATAAGTCTTAAACTGTGTAATTAACATATACAAAGCCTTTTCTGTTCTATGTGGCATAGAATCAACAAGCATGTAGTGGTGGCTGTTGGGATTAACAATGATGCATGATAAATGTCATGGTTCAGATATGGGTCACATATATATATATATATATATATATATATATATATATTCTGCATATGGCATATTGCATCCAGATACAATATGGTCTGTTCAAACACATGTGTTTAGGTGTTAAAGTATTGCAATTTTAGCTCCAGTTCTGATAGTAAGTAAATACTGATTTTGACCTTGGAAAAGCATTTATATTACCCTAAAGTAAATGGGTTGACCTAACTTCCATTTTCAATATTGCTATAACAAAATGCAGTTATTTGCCAGACACTGGTGTCTCATGCCTGTAATCTTAACTACTTGGTAGGCTGTGATCTGGGGTTTGCAATCCAGATTCTTCTCTCCAATAAACTTCAAAAAAGTTGGAGGTAGAGCTGTGGCTCAAGTGGTAGAATGCTAGCCTCGAGTAAAAAAGGGCTCAGAACAGCAGCTAGTCCCTAAATTATAGCCATATGATGGGTGTGGGTACACACACACACACACACACACACACACGACATTTGACTTCCGTTTACTTTCTAGTTCTAGTTCTTTTTTAGTGGATGAAATACTTTCAGCTCAATTTTTTTAACTTTAACAATTTTCTGCTTCACCACAGGGAGGTAGATTAATCGGTGGCTGGGAAGATAACCCTTTTAAAGGAGAATTACAGATTGTTCTTAGAGGAAATCATACTACTCCAGAATGGGCTCTCCCAGAAGGACCAAATCAAGGGGCAAAGGTCTTAGGTATGTGTCTACATATAGCAAATGTGCCTTGGCAGTTTTCAGAGGCTACTTTTAAATATGTAGCACTAGAGTACATAAGTCATGTCATAGTTCTTTATAGTAAAGGGTCATATAAGTAGTAGAAAAATTTTTAAAAACTAAAACAGAAATAGATGCATATATTTAAATTAAAATGTAATATATTATAAAACCAAATTTAAATAAAACCAAATTTAACAAGGTTAAATTAACAAATATGTGTGGATATTATTTGGCTAGTCTAGTTGTCTTTATTATCTTTCCTGATATAGCCATAATACTCTTGATTTTAGTGATTTTCTCTTAAAAGTCCATTTCTTTTATTTATTTATTTTTTTTCTGGTTGGTCAAGATGCTTGAACTCAGGGCCTGCGAACTGTCCCTGAGCTTTTGTGCTCAAGGCAAGAGCTCTACCACAACTCTAGCCACAACTCTAAAGTCAATTTTCTTAATAATATGTGGATCCATTGATTCTGCTGTTAATTACCCAATAGCAGCTGTGGTTGAGGTTAATTTCCCAGGGGTAATAATGTACTGTGCATATTTCTTCTTGAGCCTAGAAAGCAAAGGACCTGAAAGTGTTTAATGTGATCACAGTGAAAGCCCACTTTTATTGCATATTTATTTAGAAGACACAAATAAGCAAATACTATTGCTTCACCATACAATTTTTAAAACTTACCCATGAAGGGGATTTTAAAATGGCTCGAGACTGAATTAGCTCTCTGCTAGCATTCCTCAGGAAGCAGACAAATTCCATCTTAAATATATTTATATATACTTATATATCTGTTTTCATGTGTTTGTTTTTATTTCAACAGTAATTTCAAATAATATAGAACCTTTTCAGCAAAAATATTCAGAGAAAATATGTATCTTTCCAATTGTACTCTCTTCAGGAAGCTAGTATTGTTAATAATTTTCATGTATCTGCTCATTTAAAAAATTTATACCCATATTTATATTTTAAATAGTTATTAGATGGAGTTGTATTGTTCCTCTTAACAAAATTAAATACATTACAATGCAATGTCTTCAAATAATATTATAGAAATATTTCTAGATAAATACTTTATTTTATAGAACATTACCCCTTAGTATTAATGTTAAAATTCATTTAATCATTCTCCCATTGATGTACATAGTGGGGTAATTCTTTTTAGAATTTCTAAATATTATTACACATCTACCTATTGTATACTTTATTTCATTGTTTTCTTTTTATTATCTATGATTTGTCATTTTGAAAATAGACTGATTGTATATCAGTTAAAGGATGTAAATAATTTTCAAAGGACCTTTTAAAGAAAACATATAAAGGAATTCATACAATTCATACATATCAGAGAAACATAATTTTTTTTGGGGGGGGGTCCAGTTGTGGGGCCTGAACTCTGGGCCTGGGTGCTGTCCCTCAGCTCTTCAGCTCAAGGCTAGCGCTCTACCACTCAAGCCACAGCGCCACTTCCGGCTTTTTTCTTTTTGCTTTTGTGGTGCTGAGGAATCGAACCGAGGGCCTTATGCATGCAAGGCAAGTGCTCTACCACTGAGCCACCTTCCCAGCCCAGAAACATAAAATTTTTTTATTTGCATTGAAAAATTTCTGTCATATGGACTACATTCCTAGAAATATCACATCTTTTAGCCCAGAGCCTTCATTTATTCATTAATTCTTGAATATTCAATTACTTATTAAAATGTATTCATGAATGGTCTCACTTTATCCTAGCATCTAACTCAGCACTGTGTGGTGAAAAAGTAGCAATGATTTTTCTCCTTTAGGGGTGTTTGGTGAGCTGGATCTTCATGGACTTCCTCGTTCAATCTATAAAACTAAACTGTCGGAAACTGCAGAGGCAGGTTCCAAGGTCCTATCCCTGGTGGATGCTGTGGATTGGCAGGTAGAGAAAATATTGTGCAGTATAAAATGCATACAGAAGGGTCTACTTAAAATGTTTCTTCTCTCTTTATGAACATTTTTTGCTTGTGTGATCGATTGTCTAGATGAGAAATGTGGATTTTACAATCATCTCACATAGGGATGACTTGAGATTACACAATTTTTAAATGTGTACCAAAATTGTGGTCTGAAAGCTTCTTTAGAATACATAAATAATAGTGTACATATGTTAATGTGAAAGAAAAACTTGAAGGTTGCTAGTGAAAGTATTAGTTCATAACACATTCTTTCAAAAGAGATAATGTAATTATTTTAAATGTATTTATTGTTATATTGGTTACCTCTTCTAGTTTATTATTTTATCTGTTAAGCATTTGGAAAGAAACAAAGCCCAAAAATTTTCAAATAATGCTTGTGTTGAGTGGATATTTTGACAGTAGAAATTTTGATTTTATAAATGGTAAATTCACAAGTTAGAATTCTTATTACCAAACAAGCATGTGTACTTATAGAGACCTCACTGTACACTTTATTCTGATACTGTGATTGCCAATCAGATATACATTTAAAATTATTTAATAGTTGTTACTAAGAAATATAAACTTGTTTTCAAAAATGTTCTTGAATTTGGCACTTGAAATTTTTCTCAGGAGGGAGAAGAGATTGTGATAACCACCACAAGCTATGATCTCCACCAGACAGAAACTAGAAGTATTGTTAAAATCCTGCATGGCCACAAAATTCTCATTCTCAATGGTAGCCTTTCCTTCACTCACCTCGGTAAGTGTCCGCTCTTTAACAAAATGGATAGCTTGTTTAAAAGTCTGAAGGTGTTCATGGGTTAGTGTTCTTCCCCGTGATTATAGTTCTTTGCTAAAGCATATATTTTCATAGTGCAATTTACCCAGATTGGCTCTCATACCAAATTGGTACTACTAGTTATGCATTGGCTATCATACAGGTTGCTATATGCATTCATTGCTTCACTCTTTCATTTAAGCAAAGCTCTACTGTGTCACACTCAATGGAATTAAGACCCTAACACCTTCTGTTCTGAACAAGCCACTAGCTAATTCTTATGCACCATGGAACTTTAAAACCCTGATCCAAAAGCAAAGGTTGTCCTCACTTGTCTCATGGACATCTTCAGCTATCACTTCCTATTCACAAAGTACCATGCAAGCGGAAACTGTAATTCTTGGGGAAATATGCACATTGGTATTCTCTGATGAAGTTTTTTATCATTTAAATTAAAGTAGGACCTTCCTAAAACCCCAGTCTTTCTGTATTTTACTTGCACTTTTCAGTCACATCTCAGAAAATGTGAACAGACAGACAAGGAAGCTACAAAACCCTTCAAAGACTCTAATGTCCATGAGAAGTCCAGCAGTGAGGGCAATAGGATGGACCTGGGAGCCCTGGATGTGCATACAAATGAAACTTAAAAGAACTTTTCTCATCACACAGCACGTGTCTGTGCCTATCATTCTATATCACATTTTTTTCTTGAAATCAAAAGAAAAAGATTTGTTGAAGAACCTTTGATTGATTATAAAACACTCGATATAATTCATTAGAAAGCAGCTGGGGAAGTGGCACTGTGGCTCAAGTGGTAGAGCACTCGCCTTGAGCTGAAGAGCGCAGGGACAGCACCCATCCCAGAGTTCAAGCCCCAAGACCAACCAAGAAGAAAGAAAGAAAGAAAGAAAGCAGCTGGGTCTTTAGAGACTGACATTTATGGATTATTTCACTAAAAGTTCTAAATATTCTCTTTGTTTGAAGTGTACCTGTTTGCCATAAGGTTTTAGATAAGGTTTCTAGAAACAGTAAAACTTGTGTTTTACAAATCACTAAGAAGTATATGTGCAGATAGTATATACTAATAAAGAATTATGAATAATTAATAATTACAAAGAATTGTTATTAATATACAATGTGCCATAGGAAAAGTGGGGTTAATCCAGATTTAGAGGTCAGAACAAAAGATATCTGTGTATTGTTCATTCTTATGACTTTGGGCAACACCTTTTTTTCTCATTTTAACTCTTTATCTATTAAAATTAAACTACTTGCATTGCTGAAAACAATATTTTCTCGTATAATTTGGAGTGACTGAAACTGCCTTAAATACTTGTTAAGCAATGTCTGTAATTGTTGATTACTATAATTTTCTTGGTGCAATGAGAGGAAATATTTTTTCCATTGCATTTATAAACAAAAGTTTTTTATAAATAAAAGGCTATCTTAATTTCAGCCTGCTATATATATGTTCATCATGCAAATCTAAGCACTTTATGTATTTTTCATATTAGACAATTATTTAGTCTATCAACTACACAGAAATTAATAAAAACATATTTCTTAGCATTGACATTGATTTAGCCCACTTTATGTTGCAGCTGAAAGATACCATGTCCCTGAAACAGATCAGAGCTACACATTAGCAGCTGATGTTGGGATACTGAGTAGGAACATCAAAATAATTGGTGAAGATTACCCAGGCTGGTCCAAGGACTCTTTTGGTGCACGTATTTTGGTTGGCTCATTCATGGGGAATATGATGACGTTTCAAGGTTGGTATGAATTTAGTTTTTTTTTCCTAAGTAAAATATAGCCTTTTGTTTTAGTTCTTCAATACTTCTCACTTTTTATAGGAATAGGAAAAATAAAACCTGAAGAGTGATTATATAACTCAAGTATTACACTTTAACTAAATTCTCTCAGATTATTGTCTGTATTTTTATAGATAATCAAAAGTAGCAAACTAATAATGACCTTAAGTAAAAGCTAAAGAAGCCTCTCATCAAAACAGAAATCATTTTATAGTAAGTCCAACAGATCATCTATTATTTTTAAGGAAAATTTCAAACATATGCCAAAAATAGAACAGCATAACAAATTCATGCAATCAGCACTTTCAAATTTTTCAATTTTGCCGGTTTTGTTTTATCTAAATCATTGTCTTAAAACTTTTGGATTTTACTTTTTAAGTTATGTTCATTTATTAACACCAAATGATAGTTCTAATTTCTCCAATTTTCCTCTGTACATCATGTCTCCCCTTTTCTATGCATTATTTGCTCAAAGCAGAAACTAAATAACATGCACATTGATACCAGTTACAAGTCTTTGCTTCATTTCTCTTTTATGATGATGTATTTCTTTTTTAAGACAAGTGATTTTTTTCCTATAGTGTTCCCCACAGTTTAGAATCCAATTATTGCCTTCCCTGAATTGAACTTGTTCCTGCCCATCTTGTAATTCTTGAACATAAGCTTCAGAGCTGGAGTCTTGGACAATTTTGGGGGCAAGAATTCTCTAGAGTTGCTGATACTGTGTGTGTGTGTGTGTGTGTGTGTGTGTGTGTGTGTGTGTGTGTGTGTGTGTGTGTGAAAATACCATTCAGAGGGGTTACAATTATATGGGCAAGGCAATGAGTGCATTTCTTATTAAGCATTGTTTCCTCCTCCTTTGTTTCCCCTTCCCATCCCTTCCCATCTCCCCTCCACCCCCATGCCAAAGTTGTAAAGTACTTTTTTTGACATAACATCTTGTACATCTCATTGTTGTAATTTTTCTATCAGTAAGCATCTATGGTTGTTTCTCCTTTTGTGGTGTTAGCAGACTTTAATAATTATTGTCTAGGTCAGAGAGCTTTAAATCCTTACCACTAGTAATCTAATTATCATTTAATCACAAAGCTTTAAAAGGGTGGTAGTAATCATTTTAGCCTGATTTCTATTATTATTCCTGTGTTGTCTACCATATATTTAATCTCTGCAACATGGATTTTAAGACAGGCTTTTCCATCCTAGTCAGAATGACTCTTGTCCAGTGCATCTTATTAGATATCAGATTTGGGAAGAAGAAATATCCTTTACTGATATTTTCCAATCAGGAAATTCCATACCTCAGTTTCCTTTCCTACAAGACAGGAAGAGGGAGAGTTCAAACTAATAGAATGCTAATAAAAATTATTGTTTTACAAAAAAAAGATACTTGGGTTTGAAATCAGAACCTAATGCCTGTTAGATAGACATACTACTCTCCAGCCCAAATTAGTTGGATTAAACCACACATTGCTTACGTCTGATTCTCTTTGCAACCTGTAACTTCATTGACTCAGTCCTATCCACATATCTGAATTGTAGACCTTTGCCTAATTGTAAAAATTGTAGACCTTTGTATTATTTTTCTGTAATAACATACCTATGGCTGGGCACTGGTGGCTCATGCCTGTAATCTTAGCTACTCAGGCCGCTGAGATCTGAGGACTGCGGTTCAAAGCCAGCCTGAGCAGGAAAGTCCATAAGACTCTTATCTCCAATAAACCACTCAGAAAACTGGAATTGGCACTGTTGCTCAAGTGGTAGAGTGCTAGCATTGAGCTGAAGAGCTGAGGGACAGCGCCCAGACCCAGAATTCAAGCCCCATGACCAACAAAAGCAATAAAATAAATAAAATAAAATATCTCTGATCATCATATAGTAAACTAGTTTAAACATGCTTAGTACATTAGCACTTCAGAGGTCATAATTAAAATATCAATATAGTTGAGAATTTTTCATCTGCCTTTAAAGTAAACATATGGCTTTTGCTTTATTTCATCACAAATTCAAGACAAATATAGATTTTTTTTAAATCAGGCACTTGGCATCGAGTAATATCTCATAGGTTTTCATTGCTATTATTACTAATATAAAAGTATAAATCTATAAATTATAACTCTAGATTAGTGGTCATATATAAATTACTGTCACTTCTATGGTACTATGACAAACCAGTGAGGAGTTGGCAATACATATACTGAGAGGGATTCTGGAAGCTAATACCATTAGTATAAGTGCTAAGCTCATTTTTTTCTTTCTTGACAGGAAGATCTTTTATTTTTATTTTTAGTATAAATATGTTCTTTATTAAAGGTCTATAATAGCTGGAAATGTGGCATGCTTCTCCACAAAATATTTCCTTTTTAATTTTATTTTATTGTAGAGGTGATATACAGAGGGTACAATCATGTAAGTACGGTTATGAGTACATTTCTTGTCAAACACTTACTCCCTCTCCCTCATTATCTCCCATTTTCCCTTCTCCCCACTTCCTTCACTCCCCCAAGCTGTAAAATTCATTTTCAACAAAGTGTCTTGTGGGTCTCACTATTGCATTTGACACTTTGTAGTTTATTTCACCATTTTGTTATTCCTCTTCCCTCCCCTAAATCAGATAAATGTATATACAAGACACAGGGTAGCAAAATCAAAAACAATGACAACAGGGGATAAATAAAGGGAGAAATATAACTTCACATAGTACATAATAAAACACAAAAAACCTTATTGCTTATATTTTGGAGATCATTTTGATTAGCATCATTCTATATGGTCATATGTGCATAGCTATTGAGCTATTGTGATCTCTGCTAGGACTATCCTAGACTTATCTAATTATTACAAATAAGGGAGTATAAGCTCTTTGTAGCAATAATAATGAAATGACAAGTAAATTATATTTGAAGACATTATTTTAATAGGCAAATTTACCCTCAAGGGGAAGAAAATTAGGCCTTGAGAGAAAACAATTAGCTATTGAAATCATTTGTGGTCTTTCAAAAGATACTATGTTTTAACAGACTTATATATGTATAATCAACATTTTATAATTAAATGAGGAAAGATTCCATTGGGGGGAAATCATCTAAGAAGAAAGGCAATGGAAGAAATAATGTTGAAAAATTTTACATTTCTTGGATTGAAAAAAACAATACTAATGAGGTTTTCAACAGAAATTTTGAATAGTGTGTGTAGCTTTTCAAAAATGTTTCACTCTGTTTTAGGAAATTTTTTTCTTGTCTCCTACCCTAGGAAATGCAAGAATAAGTAATGTGGAATTTTATCATAGTGGTCAGGAAGGCTTCCGAGACAGCACAGATCCAAGATATGCTATAACATTTCTTAACCTAGGACAGGTTTGTATTTAATTTTTGTGCATGTTCAACATAAAATGTTTATATCTTCATTTACTTAACTACATAGCTACATCTTCAAGTAGTTGCAATTATAGTTCTAATACAATCAAACTTTCTTGGATATATTTCCCATCAACATTTTTAGATTCATAGTAGTATTTGATTCACTCATTTCATCCATTGATTTTCAGTTCTATAAGAACCATTGAAAATGTAACAGAATTAAGGTCTGAATAGTGATTCAAATCCCTGCTTTCTGTTGCAATCACAAGGAATAACAATGTCTATTACATGATGTCTATTAAATGAAGTACAAACATGTCTATGTATCTGTATCTCCACCAAAGTTTGAGACTTTGGAAGATGAGAGGAACATATTTCTTAGAAGAAATAAAACAAAATAGTGGAGCTTTATAGTTGAAATCTCTGACTTCCTTTTCTTTTTTTTGGGGGGGGGGTTAGTCATGGGCCTTGGACTCTGGGCCTGAGCGCTGTCCCTCAGCTCTTCAGCTCAAGGCTAGCACTCTACCACTTGAGCCACAGTGCCACTTCCAGTTTTCTGAGTGGTTTATTGGAGATAAGAGTCTTATGGACTTTCCTGCCCAGGCTGGCTTTGAACCACAATCCTCATATCTCAGCCTCCTGAGTAGCTAGAGTTACAGGTGTGAGCCACCAGTACCTGGTGAAATCTCTGACTTTCTTACCAACTCATTCCTATCCGTGCTTAAATTGGGAACCCTTGCTTAGAGCACTTTTATATGTAATATACTGGTCAAAAAATAATTTTTACCCTTTGGTATTTTGCAGATGAAAATATAAATACACTTGAGAATTTTCTGATCTGCACTTTAAAAAGCAAATGTAATTTTGGTTTATTTAATCATAAATTTAAGATATATGTAAATTTCCCAGAATCAAATGGGGGAAATCATCTCTTTTTATGGAAAAGTAAATTGAGTATGATCAGGTTTGCTTACCAAAAAATTACTTCAAGGTTTTTCTTTAAGTATACTGGTACTACTACTACTACTACTACTACTACTACTACTACTACTACAGTAGTAGTAGAAGTAGTGTTTTGGTGGGTCTGGGGTTTGTACTGAGGGCCTAGGACTTGCGAGGCAGATGTGCTTCTGCTGAGCTTTGCCTCCAGTCCTTTTTCACACTATGTTTGATACATAATTTCACTTTTTTCCCAGAAACATACCTGGGCCTCAATCTTCCTGTTTTGTGTTTCTCATCATAGCTATGATGACAAATAGACATCACCAAACGCAACTATTGGTTGAGAAAGGATAGAGATTGTATACCGGTGCTGGTGTCACTCCATAATCCTCAACAATTAGATTATAGGCATGACCAACAGTACTTGACAATTCTACATTTTAAATATTCTTAGAGTCTCAATATTTTATAGGTCCAAGAACATGGCTTGTCTTATGTTCGAGGATGCTCTTTTCACCATGGCTTCTCCCCAGCAATTGGCGTGTTTGGGACAGATGGATTGGATATAGATGACAACATCATTCACTTTACAGTAGGGGAAGGTAATGTACCTTCAGAGGTAATCTTATCTGTAAACTCTAGAGCCAAGCTGTTCAAGTGATCTCTCTCTGGCAGTGGAAATAGTCTATGTCTGTGCAAACACAGAAATCACTAAGCCACCTGTGACTAATGAATGTCTGAATTGTGGCTGGTATGACAGAGGAATTTGATTTCTATTTTATATTGAATAGTCCCATATATTGAGCCTAAAACATGGAAGAATGATTGCCAATGACTGAATGTGAATCTAATCACTCATCATTTAAAATACCATGTTTAGATGTGCTTCACATGTCAATCATAAAGATTATTCACAAAGTTATTTTAGTTTAAAATTATATATATATATTTAAAATATTTTCCTTTCTTTTTTATCAGCTTATTTTATATTTATATCATATATATTTATATTTATATATATAAAATATATTTTATATTCTATATCAGCCTTTTTATATTTATAAAAAGTTATGTGTGTATTTGGTAAAATCTATAGTGAAACCTGGAACTCAAATATTCTATTAAAAGAATGGAATTATTTAATGAAGAGTTAGAGGACTCACTAAAATCTAATAGGATCATCTCTCAGGTTCAACCTAGAGAAATAAATTTATGCAAAAAATGAAAGATATTATCTATAGTATCAATACAAATTAGCATATATATCTTGGGGGACTTTTCTCTTTTTTTCATTCCAGGCATTAGAATATGGGGGAATGCCAACAGAGTTCGAAGAAATTTAGTTACACTTTCAGTTTGGCCAGGAACCTATCAGAACAGAAAAGATTTAAGTTCCAGTCTCTGGCATGCAGCTATTGAGGTAATGAGAATAAATTTATATTTACACAAAATTATATGTATAATATATAATCATAATTTCTGGAAAAGTTGTAAATCTTATATTACTGACAGCTATATTTTCTAGTTTGATAACTAATAAAATGTGTTAACTGGAGTGAATAAGTTGTTAGGGTCCCTAATAACTATTTTTTAAATTTCTTTCTGTTGGTGTCTATTGGTTTAAGTAGTTCACCTAGTTCCTTTTTTCTTCAATATTATTCCTCACTTTCAACTTCTGGAGCAGAACCACTCCACTGCTGGTGAGCTGAGTTCCTGGTGTGAATATTACCAAACTCTGAATGTTGAAATGTAGAATGATAAATCAAAGAATCTCTAAGCTGGGTGCGGGTGGTTCACACCTGTAATTCTAGCTACTCAGGAGGCTGAGATATAAGGATTGAGGTCCAAACCCATCCAGAGCAGGAAAAGTCCATGAGACTCTTATCACCAATAAACCACTCAGAAAACTGGAAGTGGCACTGTGGCTCAAGTGGTAGAGCACTAGCCTTGACCTGAATAGCTGAGGGACAGCACCCAGGCCCAGAGTTCAAGCCCCAGGACCGACAAAAAAAAAAAAGAAAAGAAAAGAAACTCTATACTTCTCTCACATTACCAATTGGGTCCTTCTTGTTTTCCATGCAGTTTCTTCAATTACTGCAGATGGTATTATTTGGTGGGGTTTGGACATTAGATTACAAGCAAGAAAATGGAGAGAAAATATTTGGGCAAGTCATTTTTCTCCAATTTGTAGCTTGTAGTTTTTATTTGCCTATACTGTAGGAATAGAAAGGAATTAAAAATAATTACTTTTGAAGTATTTGTTTTTGTCCTCATGTTAATTATTACCCTAGGGTAAAATCAGAAAGCTAAAATTAAGTATACATACAAAAGGTAAAAACTCTCTCAATCTATAGATGTTAGAGTATAATCAAATATCATCAGTTGTATATCTTTAAAGTTATGTACAGATTTTGAAAGTAAATGGTACATATTTTCCATATATGAATCCAGTTCATTCTTCTTTATTACAGCCTTTAAAAATAAGGATGTTAAGTTCATTTTTCGACTTGTAAAGTTCGTGTTTTGACATAGTGTCTTGAACTTTACAATTTGCAGGGGAGAGGGGAAGGCAGGAGGGGGGGAGGAGGAGAGGGAAGGGAAAGGGATGGTAGGGAAAAAAAGGAGGAGACAACAATGCTAGATAAGAAATGTACTCATTACCTTGCTCATGTAACTGTAACCCCTTTGTGCAGTATTTTCACAATAAAAAACTTAATTAAAAAAAAAATCAGGATGTTGCTGAGTGCTGCTGTCTCACCTGTAATCCTAGCAATTGAGGAAGCTAAGATCTGAGGATCACTGTTCCAGGCCAACCATGGCAGAAAAATCTGTGAGACTCATCTCCAGTTAATCACAAAAAGCCAGAACTGAAACTGTCGCTCAAATTGCAGAAACACAAAAGCTCTGAGACAGAGCACAGGCCCAGAGTTCAAGTCCCAGGACCAATAAATAAATATCTAAATAAATAAACAAATACCAGGATAATATACCTTAAACCGCTAAGATTTTTAACTTTTCCTGACACTGTAAACAAGGATAAATCTTCAATGATCTACACATGTATTGGTTATACTATAAAATTGTTTGGCAATTAGTTTCATATGTTGCTAACTTTGTTTTTGATCATAGCAGATTTATTAAATTAATCTATATCACTAGTGAATTATATAGTCTATTCTAACTACTTTAGTTGTCTCTTTCTTAATCAAAGTGGTAACAAAATATAACTAAAACAAATGATAAAATTCTTATAGCATTCTCAAAATACTGGAATTAAGTTTATAGCTTTACATTTTAGCCACATTTTGTTATTTTGTGATATGTTTATATGCAGAATTCCAATGTTGTAACTCCTTTCAACAACTATCTTACAATTTACCAAAATGAATACCAGGAAACTGGAACTTGTGGTGTTGGGGACATCAAAGGGAGTGGGATAGAAGGATGGAAGGAGGAAAGGTTGGTAAATGCAGCCATGATATTCAAGCTATGGACTGGGAAGGTGGCTCAGTGGTAGAGCACTTTCCTTGAGCTGAAGAGCTGAGGGACAGTGCCCAGGCCCAGAGTTCAGGCCCCACGACTGGACCCCCCCAAAAAATATTCAAGCTATATGCATGAAAATGGAACTAAAAAATGGAGGTGCTGAATGGGGTTTGTAGCTGAGGAGCATTATGAAAGGGATGACACTCACCAGAAGCACTGTACTCATAAACTGACATGTTGACTGGAAATCCTAATGCATAATGACTTGACGATAATTTTAAAAATGAAACAATTGAAAATAACCTTTTTTCAGTTTTCTGAGTAGGTGAGCTACCACTTGAATCATGGTCTCAGCCCTACTTATCTTACTATTTTTCATGTAAGGCCTTGTGGGGCTTTTGCCTAGGCTGGCTTAAACACCAATTCTCCTATTTATCCCTCCTGCATAGCTGCTATGATGAGTGAATGACACTAAACCCAGATTTTGTTGTAAGATGGGGGTCTTACTTTTTTGCTCAGGCTGTACTTGTGCCATATTTCTGATCTCTACCTTCTGAGTAGCTGAAAATAGATATGAGTTACTGTATTTATCATTAAATGCAGTTTTTCTAAACAAGATATAATACCTCGTGATGGTTTTACACCAAACTTAATTCAAGGTTAGAGAACGAAACTTTGCCGTGTAAGGCCCTGGGTTCAATCATCAGCAACACACACACACACACACACACACACACACAAACACTACTTAATATAATTTCATTTATGATGTTTCAGTGGGGGTAAATAGATGAATTTTTTCCTGAAAATAAAATGAAGTCTCCACAGGTAAGGTGTCATATACTTGTTCTAATTTTATAGTTGTACAACAGCCTAGTCCAAAACATTTTCTTTTTCTTTGTACTAGATAAATAGAGGGACGAATACAGTGCTACAAAATAATGTAGTTGCTGGATTTGGAAGAGCAGGATACCGCATTGATGGTGAACCATGTTCAAGTAAGTCTTCTAACACATAATCACTACAACCAGAAAGCATTTGTCCAAACTGGTTAGAAATGAATTATCATTTGTAAATTCATTATGTTCTTTATATTACTTCTGGAACCTAAAGATTTCAACAAAGTCAATTATTTCAAGAAGTATTGTTTCTAAAGAGAAATGGATAAGCTTTTAAGAAAAAGTTTACCAAAAATCGCTAGCAGCAACTTCAGCCCTTGGCTTGGTTGGCATGGCAACAGTAAGTACCTTGCCCAGCCCTATGACTGCTTTCACACACAAAAAGCAGCACTTCCAAGTAACAGAGGCATGTGCCTACTGGAATGTGACACTCCTTCATGCTTTTGATAGACTCAATACCTCTTATTTGTAAGTTAAAAGCTGCATTCATGAAAAAAATTAATAGCTGTCAGGTACATCTCTCTATTGAACTTCCCTAAGAATTTACCAAACATAAGCTTTTAGCAAGGCTGGATGGAAACAGGAAAACAAACGTGCACTGCTCATTGGAGAAAAGACTGGAATAATTTTACATAGCTGAGGGATTCTGAGAATAGCTACCAAAATCATGGGTGCATTTACCTTTAACCCAAAACTTCCACTTCTAGTAACTGTTGCCTTTCCACACTTAAAACATGGTTAATGAACGACTTTATTCCATCACGTTATCTGTACTACCAGATAGCTGAAAGCCACTATGTGCCCCTTAATAGCAGACGAGTTGTACAAAGCTGAATACTGGAACATGTCTCTTTGAAACAAAGCAAAAGAGACATGGAGAAGTCACAAGTATATCCGTAAAGGAGAAGTGGAAGCTGTAGAGTAATATGAATAAATTCTTATAGAAAAGGAAAGTGAATCAAAGAGAAAAGAAAATCAGATACTCTGAGCAATTCTTTTGTGCTGAGGGATGGAGTTATTTAGGTTACTGGTCCAATTTGAACATACATAACCCATCTGCTTTAATTATAAGATATGTTAATCAATATACTTGTTTCTATGGTATTGAGGATATTTGAATGGAATATGGGTTATTTCATTTTATTTTGAAACAATCATGGATCGGGATTCAAACATTTTAATGGACAAGCAAAGTAAGATTTCAAAAATTAAATAACTTTCCCAAGATCACATACACATCAATGCAAAACAATTATCAAAGACACACTTATCTCTACATTGCATGCCAGGATCCAGGAATACGATGATGAATAAGCAAGCATGGTATCTTCTTCTTATGAAGCTTAGACCCAAGTAGGGAAGGGAAAAGGGAAATTCACAAATAATTAACCAAGTGTCAAGTAACAGATTTTAATTGCATGTCAAATATTTTTTGGGGGGGGTCCGGTCATGGGGCCTGAACTCTGGGCCTGGGCACTGTCCCTCAGCTCCTCAGCTCAAAGCTAGTGCTCTACCACTTGAGCCACAGCGCCACTTCCGGCTTTTTTCTTTTTTGCTTATGGAGTACTGAGGAATTGAACCCAGGGCCTCATGCATGCAAGGCAAGCGCTCTACCACTGAGCCACCTTCCCAGCCCCTCAAATAACTATTTTAAAAGCACTCAGAGAAAGCTTTTTAAAGAAATAATTCTTAAAATAGTATGATCCAAAAGACTCAAGGACAAAACAGTGTGGGGAGGGGCAAGAAATAGCTTTTTACCACTGCAATTGGTATTTCATTTCAAGTTTAGGTATGCTAGAATCTAGATCTCATGCTCTTCCATTTGAGTCATGCCTCCAGCAAAACCTCATGCTCTTTCTAGTAAAATTCATATTTGATTAATCAGGACTACTAACACTATTTTTTTGCAAATAAGCAACAAATTTGTAAGACTTTTAGCAAGGAGGGTAAATTATAACTGCAGAGCCATAAAAATGTTAAAAGTGTACATTAAAGTGTACACTGGAATTAATATATATATAGATAGATAGACAAGCATGTAAACCTTTAATACTGTCTATTAAAATAATACAGCTTGACTTGCAATGTGACTTTTTGATTCTATGTTTTCTTCCAAGGTCAATCTAATCCAATGGAAGACTGGTTTGACAACGAAGCACATGGGGGGTTATATGGTATCTACATGAACCAAGATGGCCTTCCTGGATGTTCTCTTATACAGGGATTTACCATTTGGGCATGCTGGGATTATGGAATTTATTTTCAGGTATATATGATGAAAGATGGTGATTGCTTACTTTCTTTTACGGTTGTTATTAGTAGTTTGTAAAGTTCACATTGTATTACAGACCACAGAGAGTGTGCATATCTATAATGTAACCCTGGTGAACAACGGAATGGCCATTTTTTCTATGATCTACATGCCAGCTGCTGTATCTCACAAAATTTCTAGTAAAATAATTAAGATTAAGGTAAGAAATAAACAGAGCCATTTTGAGAAGGGTAAATTTAACTCAAGAACTATTAAGAATAACCTCCTTGACTGATATTTGTAACTCATACTTTCCTGCTTGTGTGTATGTGTGTGTGTTAATGTGTGTGTGTGTGTGTGCATGCGTGTGCATGCATGTTTGCCAGTAGTAGGGCTTGAGCCTCAAGCTTCTGGCTCTCCCTTGGCTTTTTTTGTTGGTACTCTACCACTTAAGCCGTGTCTCCACTTCTGGTGTTTTGCTGCTTAACTAGAGAATACAGTCCCATAGAATTATCTCCCTGGGCTGGTTTTGAACTCCGATCCTCAGATTTCAGCTTCCTGAGTAGTTAGGATGACAAACATGAGTTACCAACATCTGGCTCCACTTCTTGCTTCTTTTGAAATAAGACAATTCTGTTCTTATCTCTTTCATATTCCTTCACCTCCTCTTGATGATCACCTGATCTTGTAGCTGTTCACTAAATTTTTGAACCTTCTAGAAAGGCTTTCTGGAGCAACAGAAGTAGTAATGATAATCCCTTCCCTTTTTATTAACACTATTATTAGGACACATTTCTATCATGGAAATATAGCATGCCCTTTTATTAACTATTTATCTTTCTCTCTCTCCCTCTCCCTCTCTCTCTCTTCTTCTCTTCTCCCCCTCCCTCCTTTCTCTCTCTCTCTCTCTTTCTCTCTCTCTCCTTCCCCACTCTCTCGTAGTGTCATTCCAGTCAGGGTTATAACCACACTTTTTTATCTTCATTTAATGAAGCAAATAATAATTCTAAAATTACTATTTTTGCTTTGTTATTGAAAATTTCAGTTTTAGCTTTACTATGTCTTCTTTTAGAAAGAGCTATTCTTAACACTGTACTGTTTGGACTTTTCAAACCTAGAACTCATTAATTGTTGGGAGTAGTCCTGAATTTAATTGCTCGGATGTCCTAACTAATGATGATCCCAATATTGAACTCACAGCTGCACATCGGAGTTCTAGACATCCATCAGGTGAAATTTTGAATTTTAACGATGGCATTCCAATGACTGTATCAGCCATTTCTGCTAACCTATTCCTTTTTGCAAAAGGTGGGAGAAGTGGAATCTGTTGGCCTACCTTTGCTTCAGCTCATAACCTGGCACCGCGGAAGCCTCACGCAGGGATCATGAGTTACAATGCTATCAGTGGTCTTTTGGATGTCTCAGGCAAGTTCAACTTTGGCCTTTCACAAAGCCTCTCCCAAATATTGGCTGAACTGAGATTAAAATAAAAAAAATCCCTACATACAAACCAACGGACCAGACAATCTCTGTAGAAATGTCAAATCATTATATATAAACTAATGTGGAAAACATGTCAATTATTTTTATTTTTCCTATTAAATACACTGAACCACTATTTATGTTTAGTATATCTCGTCATAATAATTTTACCCAGTGTGTCTTTGATGAAACCAATACAATAAATTAGATATCGAAGTTTTGACTTATTATTCATGATTTTAGGCCCAGAAATGTAAAAGGAATGATCATTTTTCACTATTGTTACAATGATAAAACCCTGGTTGAACATTATATAACATGGTACTGAAGTTTTAGGTAAACATTTATTGTTTTAAATAAAATATGATTTCGAATATTGAAAATACCATATATCAACAAAAATAGACCTGTAAAAGGAAGCCACATAAGGAAAATTTCTAAAAGGTACACAAATAACTATTCATTTATATGATATTGTCTTGAAAGGGAATGTATGAAAAGTGGTTGACTTGGGTTGGGGGAGGGGGACCCCAGAAGCATTGTATTAGATGAGATTTTTCTAAAAGTAGTTTCTTGGAGGAGTGCTTGAGAAAGGTGCTGAAGGAGCACAAGGGGAGGGAAGGTGAAACAGAGCTGGGATGTGACCCGGAGCATGGCTTCACTTAATCCCACCAGACACTCCTGGAATACAAATTGCCAATGGATTTGTCTCGAATTTTGGGAGCAGGGAATGTACATTTGTACTTCCATGTCAGCAATTTTTGGGTTACAGCTTTTTGTGATGAGGGTCTTACTTTCCTGGATAATATGATTGCTGTTTGCCTAAAGCTAATTCACTGCAAAAGGGGAGCGGGGGAGAGGAGGTGATCCTGAACTGTTAGCAGACAGTACTTACAAAGGCACCAAATGGGTGAGCCAGTCTGCATTCACTTCAATCCACTCCCAGAACCAGCTTGCTTTGTTTAGTTATATTAAGTTTATTCTATTTGAATTATTCTTCTAGGATTCTGTATGATCACAACCTCTTGGAAAAATTATGAAAGAGGATTCGTAGTCACATTGATTACAGTTGGTTCCTTGACCATATATAATAGCTCCTTCTTCAGTTTTTCTAAATTTCCCTCCTTCCCGGCTAACATGTTTTCTGCTCAACATTGCTTATCTGGTACAATGTTACATGATCCCAGTCCCCCCCTATTCAGCACCCTTATATACTTACACCCTTCTATGCTTACTCATTTATAAGTAGCACCGGGCATATACCACAGTGTACCTTATCAATGCTAGATGGCCTCATCTAGTAGAAAAGCCTGGATCCATGTCCAATTACTAGTGTTTGCTAAAACCTGGTGCAGTCTATTAGTTTGAATGATGAGAATAGGCCACATGGATGCCAGACTTTCTTATCTATGAAAACCATAGAATTTCCAAAAGCTTCTCAAGAAAGCAGGCCCTAATATGCAAACACGCTCTAGATTTCTGCTTATGCTATAATGGCTAATGTCCCATTGACCAAACTTAGGGGTATGCCAAATTTTTAACAAGTCTGAGGTGGTTCACACCTGTCATCCCAGCTACTCAGGAGGATAAGCTATAAGGATTGTAGTTAAAAGAAAGCCCAGACAAGAAAATCTGTGAGACTTTTATCTCCAATGAACCAACAGAAAACCAGAAGTGGTGCTGTGGTTCAAACAGGTAGAATGCTAACCTCGAGCAAAAGAGCTTAGGGGCAGTGCCACATTTTCTCGATCCATACACAATATTTATCTTGGGGTTCATTCCCCTAACATCAACTTATCTGACCTTTTCTGCTTGACTCAGACATATACTAGTTATTGCAAATAAGGGAAACCATGGGACCTATATTTCTTTGGGCCTGGCTTATTTCAGTTAATATAATTTTTTCCAAGTCTTTCCATTTCCTAACAAATGGGGCAATGTCATTCTTTCTGATGGAGGCATAGAATTCCATTGTGTATATATACCACATCTTCTTGATCCATTCATCTACTGAGGGGCATCTGGGTTGGTTCCATATCTTAGCTATGGTAAATAATGCTGCAATAAACATAGCTGTGCTGGTAGCCTTAGTATGACCTTGTTTGTGACAAACTTTTTTACTTTATCAGGATATGTTAAAGAAAATGTTTGAAATAAATCTGATCTTATTTCAGTCAGAAAAATTAATCACTTTTCTATCATGTCTCAGGCTCAACTTTTGTTGGATTTAAGAATGTTTGTTCAGGGGAAAGGAATGTGATATTCATTACTAATCCTTTAAATGAGGATTTACAGCATCCAGTCCATGTGAAGAAGATACAACTGGTTGATTCCACTGAACAGTCCAAAATATTTATACACAGGCCTGACATTAGGTAAATTGCATTTGATGTTTATTTGATATATTTTCCTTTCAATACTCCTTCTCAAAGACTTGAGTTTCTATACCAAAATAACTGCTAATATCTATGAAACTCCATCTACATTATGAAATTATGACTTTATTGATATAAATCTAAGGTTTCTCAGTTACATTTTAAAAACTGAACTTTGAGAAGCATTTCTCCTCCTGTTCTTCCTTTCCTACATCATTAATAATGTGAGGTCTGAAGAGTATTTGACATTAATATCTCTCCATTAAAGATAACATACCACAATCATTTTGTATTTTTCATTTGTTATGAATTTTCTTCTACCTCTTCCTTTCAAAATATCCTATTACAGTTATTCCAAAATGCACTTGGAGAGTAAGCATCAAGTATTCTAACAAATGTGATTATAAATGTGTAAGTATTTAGAACAGCACTTTCTCTGACCATAAAGGTCAATTGGTGTCAGATTATTTCCAGAAGCTGATCACTTAGATTGTAGGTAGAAGAAAATAGTCAATAACAGTTATTTTATAGGAAGTTCAAGTCAAGAATTTAGATAAAAGACATGTCTATCAGAGATTCTTGACTAGTTTCAGTTTAGGGAAATAAAAAAAAAGAATATCTGTAATTAAAGAGACACCTTTCATAAGAAACAAAAATATTTCATAAATAGCTTAACTTCATCTGATTTTATTTGGATGATAGCCCATTATTTTGTGTCTTTACTTTACATCTCCTTTATTATAGTTATCTATAGAGTGCCTTTAAATATGTAGCCAAAGAATCATAATATAAAAGTTGACCATGTTGGTGTTTTTCTGTAATCCCAGAACTTCAGAAATAGAGTCAGAAGGACTTGCTATGATTTTTAGGCAATTCTGGATATATAGCAAGACCACGTCCTATCAAAACAAAATAAAACAAAAGACAATTACATGTTTTTGGAACTTTTATTATATTTTTTAGAATATTAAGTGATTACATAAATTTCAGTTTTGTGAGATAGTGATACAAATACATTTTAACCTTCATGAGACAAATTGTCATTATCATGGTCTATTTTGTTTGCGAATTCTATGAGCTTTGACAATACAATTATTTCTTCCACATTGGGTGATAGGTCCATTTCTTTCCTTTTGCTTAGTGTTAGCTGTTATTTTATAAAAAGCAATACTTTATCAAATTTTATGGACAAAACAGAAAAATAACAAAGACTTCCTAGCCAATCTAGGGATAGATCTGTTTGGGCAATGTTACTATATTATGAACAGTCCATAAATGTTAAATCTATTATTCAACAAAATATGGAATAGAAAAATGGAATTCTGATTTTTATATTCCACAGATGCATCTTGTCATTTCAAAAATGTTAGTTTATCATCATTATGGGCCAAATAAACAATGGAAAAAGCAAATCTTCTTGCAATTCTAACTGTATATGCTACTTTGTCCCACTTTAAACCCTTCATGAAATAAGATTGTCAGTATTTTGATTCCTTGGACCTTCTAGTCCAGTACTCAAGCTTATTCACATTTGCTGTCTTGAGCAGTGAACTAAATCATTTTGTCTTTTCCCCCAGTAAAGTGAATCCATCTGATTGTGTTGACATGGTTTGTGATGCCAAAAGGAAATCTTTCCTTAGAGACATGGATGGCTCCTTTCTGGGGAATTCTGGTTCAGTTATACCTCAAGCAGAGTATGAATGGAATGGAAACAAACAATTAGGAATTGGTGACTACAGAATTCCAAAGGTGATGCTCACATTCTTGAATGGAAGCAGAATTCCAGTCACTGAGAAAGCCCCATATAAAGGTTTGTTACATCTTATTCCATGGTCAGACCTCCTTTCAAGTTCATGGAATAAAATGTTTTAATCTTAATAATTTATATTTTCAATCTATATCTTAAATGTTCCTCACATTGTTTGTAAAAAGATTCATTTTCATTGCTAAAATATATATTCCTGTGTTTCTAGGAATTATTAGAGATTCAACCTGTAAATACATTCCAGAGTGGCAGAGCTACCAGTGCTTTGGGCTGGAATATGCCATGATGGTTATTGAAAGCCTGGACTCTGACACAGAAACACGAAGACTTTCACCAGTGGCAATAGTGAGCAATGGCTATGTTGATCTTATTAATGGTAGGTGATTAGTATTAGAGAACCAATGTTACTACTTCATTTTATTAAATACATGAAGCTATCTTATACATTTTTGCCACATGCAACTAGCAAACATTGAGATTTCTTTGCCTTTCATTCGTAAGAAAAGGTGAGACTTGACTCTTCAGCAGCCCTCCATTCAGGAAAGCCAGGGCTATTACTTCAAACTGACCTTAGAAGGAGGAGGGAGGAGAGGGGAAAGGATTAAGTGGAAAGGAAGGGAAGAGGAAATTTATTCCTGGAATGATTGTCATGCCTTTATTGACAAGGTGTATGTGTAAATATATATGTAATACATACATATAAAGAAAAATTGGCTTAACTCTTAAAAATGTGATTTGCCTTATATAAAATAAGAAATTGGCATGCTGTTTGGAATATTCAAAGAGAAGGTGGTCTTAGTCTACTGATTTTTTATTCTCATAAATCTTTGGAAGACTTATAAACTTGTTTTTCATAACTGATTCTAGAGTCTAGATTTCTCTTGTTCTTGTGTATCTTTGGCTTGAATATTGGTGGTTTATACTAGATGTGAAAATATCATCCATAAAAGTTATTGATTATCAAACTTTCATTTCAAACATTAATGCCCAGCTTCATTCATAATATGACTTTTGTCGTTGCAGTTTTTTATTTTATATACTGACCCTAAAAGAAAGTACACTAAAAGTAGGAATTATATTTTATATGCTAAGAGAAATGTTATGCTCTACTTGAGTCTTAGAAGTATATGCTGATTTAAAATCTGATTGAACTTCAATTATAAATATTTATAATATTTCTAGGTGAGCCAGAAAATTCAGTGAACCTAATGAATACATCAAAAAATTCATCTTTCTATATTTCACCAAGTTTCACTGAAGCAAAATAGAGGCATTTGCTATGAAAATCATGCCCAACCTTTTCTAAAAATGCCTGGACTCACGTAGAAAAATATCCCTTTTTAAAATTTAGTTTTTCAGATGTTAGGAAGGTGTGTTATTTCCCAGATGGCTTCAGATCATTAATATGTTGACCTTGTAAAAGAGGACTTGTAGTCACCATCTTTAAAAATATATTAAGTTAAAATGAAAATAGAAGAAGATTAAAGACTGGATCAAATGTGTTTGTTGACTTTACAAATTAACTAATAAAACAATTAAGTGAAAAAATAAATGAAACTTGTCCCAACTTAACAAATGTTCATGATTTCCAGGTTCAAGTCCCACTCTTAGCAAACTAATTCCTTTATAGCACATTTCCTATCTCAAAGCCTAAGAAGACAGGTTCCCAGACTCACACTTAACAGGGAAGAGAAAGAATCAAGCATTTCCTTCCTCACTATATGTCTTTAATATGATTATTAAAATGACATACAAGGCTACTACTATTTCTTTCAGTGACTTTCTAGGATAAATTGTCACACAGCAATTTATCTTTGTAACCCTGGATTGTATAAAAGCCAAGGTTTTGGTCAAGTGCTGGTGGCTCACACCTGTAATCCTAGCTACTCAGGAGACTGAGATCTGAAGATCACGGTTCAAAGCCAGCCCAGACAGGAAAGTCCATGAAATTCTTATCTCCAATAAACCACCAGAAAACCAGAAGTGGTGCTGTAGCTCAAGTGGTAGAGTGCTAGCCTTGAGCTGAAGAGCTGAGGGACGGTGCTCAGGCCCAAAATTCAAGCCCTACAACTGACAAAAAAAAAAAAAGTCAAGGTTTGGAAATAACATAAATTGCTGGATAGTGAATGATTCTAAATATTTAATGTGAATTTAAATTAGATCACAGAAATGTATTATTGATATTATAAGTTGAGTAGTGTTGGAGTTAAATTTAGAGGATTGAACTTGAACATGACTCTTGCCATTTATATTATTTAGGTTATTTTGCAGAGAGGGTTTTAGTGCTTTTTGTCTGAGAGCTGGCCTTGGACCAGAATCCTCCTAACTGCCTCCCTAGATTATAGGTGTGTGACAATCATACCTGATTTGTTTGTGAGGTTTGTTTCGAACAGGTCATACTTGACTTGGTTGTTGAAGTATTTGTTACTGAGTCTGACTGGCCTCAAATTGCTATTCTCTCAATCTCAATCACACCTAAAGTAATAAGATTTCTGGACTGAGGTACTGATCTAGGTGTAAATGCAATTATTCTTCATATTTTATGCCATATCACTGTACAACTGCTAATATAGGAGCATGGACTTTTATTTTGTGTGGATTCAGGACCACAGGATCATGGCTGGTGTGCTGGATACACCTGCCAGAGAAGACTGTCCCTGTTTCATAGCATTGTGGCTCTAAACCAGTCTTACGAAATTTACTTCACCGGTACCAGTCCTCAGAATCTTCGGTTGATGTTACTTAATGTTGACCAAAATAAGGTAAGCCAAGATAGAAATGATGCCTTGTAGATGATTATTTGCATATATTTCTATCTGCTAAGGCTTATATCTCCTTTCCTATAACATTTTCAACTCTCTAACTCATTTTAAGCACCCATTTGGGCTCTTCTAAAATTATTACTTATCCACATAGTAATGTGTTTATACATGCCTAATACCCTCTCCCAATATGCATTTGATTCTGGTGTTACTCATGTGGACCATGTTTTAACTATGATTTGCATGATGAACAAATTTTTTTACAGTAAAAAAGTGTACACCCAAAACTAGTAAGAGAATTATATATTCTTCCATGATGCTACCGAGAGTGTGTTAGGGTCATAAGGTAGCTCTCTTCTTAGTTTTCTGATGAATCTCCATACTGATTTCCATAGTGGTTGCACTAATATATATTTCCTACCAAGTATACTAGGGCTCCTTTATCTCTCATACCATTTGTTGCTGTGTACTTGATGATTACCATTCTGGGCTTACAGGGAATCTTGTTATGGCTTTGATTCTCAGTACCTTTATGGCTAAGGATATTGTACACTTTTTGTGCATTTATTAGCCATTTGTACTTTTTCTTCTAAGAACTCTGTTCAATTAATTTGCTTATATCCTAATAAAATTATTTGTTTTTTGTGTATAATCTGAGTTTTCTGTATAATTTGTGTATGATCTGAGTTTTGTGTATTTAATCTGGATATTAATCTTTTATCTGATGAGTAGTTGGAAATTACTCTTTAATTTAGAAGTATTCTTCCAGTAATTTAGTTGCTTTTTTTGTTAACTGAGTACTGTCAATTAAGGGTTAAGTTACAACATCTGCATGAATAGTTGAATGCAAAGTTATTTTAAATTTGCAGTTCATTGACATTTTTAGTAGTTTTTCAAATTGTTTATTGTATTTCTAATCATATTTTTTAAAATCCCCTAGACCTCAGAAAAGTTTAATATTTGTCTTAAGTCTGGTAAACAGTATTTTACAGAAGGTACATAATTAAAGGATATTTTAACATTCTAAATTTTTAAATATTTTATTGTACTGCTATCTTAAAACACAAAAACGTTTATTTTTAACAGGCTGTTCTAGTGGGAATTTTCTTTTCAACACTTCAGAGACTGGATGTGTATGTGAACAATTCATTGGTTTGTCCCAAACATACAGTATGGGATACCCAAAAGAAACACTGTAAACTTAATAGACATCTGCGCACAGGTACTCATTTCTTGAAAAGTACAGTTCAAATGCTATATGCACTCATTAATATAAAGTTCTTTGTATCTGTAAATAGGTGTACAAAGGAGCTGCCATTCAACAAAGCAGTTTATGAATATAGCACTTCTTGACTAATGTCACCCCTTTCATCCTTCTCACCTACCCCTCCAACCCCACCCCTTTCCTCACTTTTCTTAATTTTTAGGTTATGTGTTGAACTTTTTGCCACTTAAAAAGGAGATTATGTATATAAAATGCATCTTGATCTGTGTTAGCTCTTCAGCACTGTCTTCCCCCTTCATCTCAACCCTTACCTTATTATTTTCAGTTCTATGGTATATACAATGCATTTTTACATGCATTCTACTCTCTTCCCATATTCATTCTTTTATCCCTTTCCCTTTGTCCTGCCTCTTGAATGTACCCATATCCTGGTACTTATTTTGTTGGGCTTTGACTTCGTCTTTCTAAAGAATTATCCTATATGCATTCTACATATAGTCTGTCCTTAAGTTAATTAATTTGTAACTGCTTTCACACCACCCACTTTGTTTACTTATAGATTTATAGGCACATTAATGTTGAAGGCCTAAAGCTATCCCCCCTAAAATCAGGAATGAGGTAAAGATGTCTATTCTCTCTATTCCTCTTCAATATAATATTGGAATTCCTAGCAAGAGCAATAAGGCAAGAAAAAAAAACATAAAAGAGATCCAAATAGGTAGGAAGAAGTAAAACTATCCCTTTTTGAAGATGAGATGATCCTGTACTTAAAGGACTCCCAAACTTTCTCACCTAGGCTACTAATGCTTATCCAAAACTTTGGCAAAAAGCAGGGTATAAAATCAGCCCACAAAAATCAGTAGTTTATCCAGGCCAACAACAAGAATATTTAGTTGAAACCAAGAAAGGGACCTCATTTGCCTCAAATAAAAATAAAAATGCTAGGAATTAACTAGGATATGAAGGACCTCTATAGTGAAAACTTAAAAAAATCTGAAAAAAGAAATTGAAGATTTTAGGAAATGGAAACACCATGCTCATAGATTGGGAAAGCAATGCAAAAATTCATATGGAGTAAGACCCTGAAAAGCAACAGAAATCAAGCAGGCAGAACGATGTTGGAGGAATAACAATACTAAACTTTCAAATTCTATTTTAGAGGCACAATAATGAAAACAACTTGGTACTGCACAAAAATGGGTCTGAGGACCAACAGCATGGAGTAGAAGACCCAGAAATGAACCCCCAGACCTATAGCCATCTAATATTTGATAAGGGAGCCAAAAATATAGGGAGGAAGAAATGTTGCTGGTTAAACTGAATATCCACGTACAGAAAACTGAAACTAAATCCCCATATATCATCTTGTACCAGTATTGATTCAAAATGGATCAAAGAGCTCAATGTATGGCCAGAAACCATAAAATTTTTACAGGAAAGCATAAAGAAAATGCCAGGACTCCTAGGCACAAATTGAGACTTTCTAAGTAAAAATCCAGAAACAGAACAAATCAAAGAAATAAGTGATAAATGACATTACAACAAACTTAAAAGTTTCTGCACTGCAGAAGACATAGTTAACAAGGTAAATAGAAAGATTATTGAATTGGAGCTATACATCAGAAAAGGCCCTAATGTCCAAAAAATACTTAGAGCTCAAAATGAAACTCAAAAATAAGCCCTCAAGGAAAAAGCAACCCAATTAACACACAGGCTAGTAACTTAAAGAGAGACTTCTCAGAAGAAAAAGTAAATATGTTCAATAGACACATGAAGAATCAACACCTCTGGCCATCAAGGAAATGCAAATCAAAACAACACTGTGATTCCACCTCACTGTAGTTCGAATGGCCTTTATCAAGTAAATTAACCATATAAAATGCTGGTGTGGAGGTGGCTGAAATTAAACCCTATCATATTGTTGGTGGAAACATAAACTTGTTCAACCACTCTGGAAAGCAATATAGAGGTTCCTCAAAAAAAAAAAAAAACTAAACACAGAACTACCATATATCCTGCAATTCCACTCCTGCACATTTATCCAATAGGGCACAAACAAGGATACACTAAAGCCACCAGTACAACCATGTTTATTGCAGCATTGTTTACCACAGCCAAGATATGAAATCAGCCCAGATATCCCTTAATGAACAAATGAATAAAAACATGCAGACAGATACACACAGTAGAATTCTACTTATCCATCAGAAAAAAAAATGATAGTGCTATTGTACCATTCATAAGGAAATGGAAAGACCTGGAAAAATTATATTAAGTGAAGTAATCCAGACTCAGAGAATCACAGGTTTTATGCTTTCCCTCATTTATGGGAGCTATAGTGTGCCTATTAAAAAAAAAAGTACTCAGTATGTTCACAATAAAAAAAAAAAAAGAGGGCTGGGAAGGTGGCTCAGTGGTAGAGCACTTGCCTTGCATGCTCGAGGCCGTGGGTTCGATTCCTCAGCACCACATAAGAAAAGCCAGAAGTGGTGCTGTGGCTCAAGTGGTAGAGCGCTAGCCTTGAGCTGAAGAGCTGAGGGACGGCGCCCAGGCCCAGAGTTCAGGCCCCACGACCGGATCAAAAAAAAAAAAAAAAAAGTAAAAAAAAAAAAAAGAATCAGACATGCAAAAAAAAAGTATTGACACACATGACAAAAAGAACTGTACTCATTTACCTGACCTATGTAACTGCAACCCCTCTGCACATCACCTTTACAAAATTTAAAAAGTCACTCTTGATGGATTTATGTATTCGTACATGCAAGTTTTTTTGTTTTAGTTTTCGCGGGTTTTTTTGTTGTTGTTGTCAGTCATGGGGCTTGAACTCTGGGCCTGGGTGCTGTCCCTCAACAATTCAGCTCAAGGCCAGCACTCTACCACTTGAACCACAGCTCCACATCCAGTTTTCTGGATGTGGAGCTGGTTTAGTGGAAATGAGTCTCATGGACTTTCCTGCCTGGGCTGGCTTTAAACCATGGTCCTCAGATCTCAGCCTCCTGAGTAGCTAGGATTATAGGCATAAGCCATCAGCACCTGGCTACATGTTCTTGAGAAGATCATAATTCAACATTGAGTTTAGTCATTTCTCTGTTTAAAAGAGATTTTGCTCAGAATTGCTGCTTTATCTCTGATACTTCATAGAGGTCAGAGCCTAACTTAACTGGTGTGCTCTATAAGGATTGACAAGAAATGTCAATCTGAATGTCAACTGAATACTATTAAGTAATATGAGAAATGGCTTAAATAAAATAGGTTATACATACTCATTTGGCAATATATTTATAATGCCAGTATTTATTCCTGTTCATTTACCTTTTTGTGTTTATTAGGATTCTGATGACATTGACAAACATTCCATTCCATGTGATCTGCTTATCATCATTTTTAGACAGTTTCACAATTTTTTCCCAACATTACATTAATACGTGCTAAAGGGCATAATATAAGCTAAACTTGGGAGTATTTATGGATGATCCAACTCATTCTCATTCAAAAAAAGGCCTAATAAATATTAGCTATTCATACTACCTGTCAGACACTGTTCTTAGAGTGTTTTGTTTAAATCATTGTTACTATATCATAATAATGCAAGGAGGTGACTATATTCAACTAAACTGAAGTATAGGAGAAGTAATTGCCCAAATCTTTTTTAAAATATTACAAAATAGATTAAGAAACAGAAATTATTTTCTCACAGTTCTGGAGATTGAGAGTCTGATATTAAGAGTGCCTACACATGGTCGAGACACATGAGGTGTAGGTGTTTTCTTCTTGATTGGAACAAGCCACATTCTTGCTGTGTTCTCACGTGGCAGACAGAGGAAGATGTTTCTGCTTCCTTCCTTCCTATGATAGCGAGAAACTTACCTAATATAAATAGTATATGTGCCCCAATAGTAATTTGAGAACAAGTTTAATTTATAATGCAAAATATATTTATCATTGTCACATAATAAAAGATGGTAAGGAACAAACAATTTTATTCAACTATCACATAATTCAACCTTTAGGCTTAATTATGCATTAGTGAATTTATTACCTCTTAAACTTTGTTAGTAGTTTGCATGAAACAATATATCATTCATTATGTGTGTATAATTAATTAAATCATTATACAAAATTCAATCATTTTATAAAACAATTCTCTTTTTTGAATGTGGTTTATGTTAGCCACTGTAAATATGTTTTGTTGCTTTAAGATTCTTCTAAGATGCTTTAATATATTTTTATTTTCATTTCATACTTTCTGTCCTTGGTAAAAAGAGAAACATTGAATTGTAAATAGTCTCTTAAAATTGTTATATTTTAAATTAGATGGCTAGTAAAGTTAAATTTATATTTTAAAATTACCAGTGCCTTCAGTCAAAGCTTTAAAATTCTGAATATGGAAATAATGTTACAAGTACACAGTATAAGCTCCTGGGTTTAAGATTAGATTTGTTTCTCACTTATACTATATAGCTAATTGGTTTTGAAGAAAAATTTAAAATATAATCACTATTGACAGTATTTAAAGATTTGACTTCAGCTTTGCATGTTAATTATATTTTGTGTTCCTAATATGCATGATTTCTAATGAAAATTATAAAATAAAACTTTATGAAAACAAGTGTTAAATATTACATCATAATTGTGATCATGTAAATCTATGTGATTGATGTTTTGTTTTTTTTCTTTTGTAGGGCAATTTCTTCCTAACCTGGATTCCACTGTTGGTGAAAACTACTTTGATAAGACCTACCAGATGCTTTACCTTTTGGTTAAAGGAACTATACCCATTGAGATTCATACTGCTACAGTCATATTTGTTTCTTTCCAATTACCTGGTGTAACAGAAGATGACTTTTACATCTCACAGAATCTAGTTCGAAATCTTGCTTTGTTCCTAAAAATACCAAGTGACAAAATCCGTGTCACCAGAATAATAGGAGGAGAGAGTCTAAGAAGGAAGAGATCCGTGAGACATACAATAGAAGTAGAGATTGGAGAAGCTCCCACTCAGCTCCTACCCAATGACACCACAGGTATGAGACAAAAGAGTAGAATTACCAAGTCTACAGCCATCAATAAACCAACCAAGTTTTGGTGAGCTAGGCTTCAGGAAATCATACCAACTAACCCTGAATCATGTAATGACCTAGAGGCAGACCCTTTTGTTTTCTTCTCTACTCCTATAGCACCAACTTTGGAACGTTAAAGGAATTTTAGTTTTAACTTGTTTTATGGTGATTAGGAAACAAAAATATTTGATCAAATATAAAAAAATCTGAGACAATCTACCTAAAGAAGTAACTTAAGAGCTGATAGATGAGGAAGGAAAACAACCTTTCAGTGAGATGAGGAAATCTGTCAAGAAAACTCTTTTGTTGCCTTGAGTTGCAATCAGATATCCCATAGTATTCTCTGTCTAAAATCATAATTGATTTTACTTCAGCCTGTGCTTCCTTGGACTTGGGTAATCACTTTGGACTCAACATGACTCAGCTCGATAATTTATTTAATGTGAGCATTGTAATAGATCCATTCTACATATGCAGTTTGTTCACACACTTGTAGAAATAACTAATAAACCTTGTATGTTAGCAAGGTCCAAATTTTATTATACTAGCTACTAGATATCCAGAGAAATTGTAATTTATTTCCTATATATGACCTAGCTTTCCTTACACACCACTTGTCCAGTTCTACTTTGAGTTCAAAGTACGTCTAGCTTATTATCCATATGTTTTCAATAGCTATAAGACAATCTGAGAGCATGGAACTAAGGACAGGAAAATAATGAAAGACAGATTATTGGTATGTCTTCTAGACATAGACAGAGATTGAGTTACAAGAATATCCCTGTGACCTGGCCTGGACTGACTCACAGCAAAAAACTGGAAAGTGGAAAGAAAAACTGCATGGAGTTGAACTCTGTGCTCCCCATTGTCCTGAAAATAGATATTCTCACACAGTATTAAGATATCTGGAAGTTCCTAGATAATCTACAGGACAGTTACTTAAGTAGTAAGGAGATCACCAGGGTGAGGAATAAGAAGGCTTCAGTCAATGCCTTTGGTTTCTAAATGGCAATCAGCAGAAACTAATCCATTTATATGTCATACTGTCAGAAGGAACCTATTAGGCTAGGAAGGTGGCTTAATGGTAAATTGCTTGCCTAGCATGCATGAAGCCCTGGGTTCAATTCCTCAGTACCACATAAACAGAAAAAGCCAGAAGTGGTGCTGTGAATAAGAACAGTGAAGAGCAGGTACAGAAAACCAGTGAAGGCAAAGTAATAGTAGTACATAGACCTGAAGCAACTTGGTACTGCTACCCTAGACAATACAAGGCCTTATATTTGTGAAGCCTTCTTGAGAAATATCCCAGAAGGATTCATAGAGAATAAAGAATATGAAAATTTCAGCGTTTATCCTACTGGATAGTCTTAGTCGTGGGAAAGAGACCTCTGAAACAAACCAATAGGGCATAAAATTCCCTGGCTGTGCTTTTCCAAGCGTTACTCCTTTTGCCTGAGGGTAGCATCATGGTTTAGCCTTAAAAGAAGCAGCTCACTGATTTCAATTCTTTTTTTTTTTTTTCACTGCTTGGGATAATTTATTGCTCAGTTAATGACAAGTTAAGAACTTTTTTTAATTGTGAAAATACCGGACAAAAGCTAATCAAGATATGTAGGATATCAACACTTTATTCTGGCTACAGTTGTTTGTAAATAGTAACTGACTACTCTGTATGGAATGGAGTAGAAAGGACAAGAATGGATATGAACTGATTTAAAAGCTGTTTTAGTAACCTCTAACTTCAACTCAGATTTTGATAGTGTGGCTGTAGTGAGAAATTGAAAACTGATTAGGTCTGGTATAGCAGAGAAGTACAGTTAAACATCAGCACCAAAGAAATTGATGCAGGGAGGTGTCACTACCTAAGATAAGGAGCACTGATAGGGCCAAAAGTTTAAGAGAAAATCCCAGTCCTTCCATCTAGAAAAAAAGAGAAACAGAAACTACACATAGTATTAAAATTAACCATCAAAACTGCCAACCAAGGCAAGAAACAACTTTGTAGTAACTTAGTAATAGCATTAGCAACTTATTAATGTACAGACTGGTAATTTAATGAATTATTCTTCCTTTTCAAAATTAACATCCTGGGCTGGGAAGATGGCTCAGTGGTAGAGAGCTTGCCTTGCATGCCTGAGGCCCTGGGTTCGATTCTTCAGCATCACATAAGCAAAAAGAAAAAAGCCGGAAGTGGCGCTGTGGTTCAAGTGGTAGAGCGCTAGCCTTGAGCTGAAGAGCTAAGGGACAGAACCCAGGCCCAGAGTTCAAGCCCCACAACTGGACCCCCCCCCCAAAAAAAAATCAAAATTAACATCCTGTTTTGATTTTATTCTTCTCAAAATTTATCAGCATGAACTAATTGCAAAAAAGAAGTTTCAACTATTGAAATAACAATACAATTATACCTAATTGTTTTTAAGAGCAACTCAAAATATAAAATTCAGGTGTGTTAATGGACAACATTGTTTCACACGTACATCAAATAGGCATAAGTAAATAAATTAACAACCTCATAAGCAGAAAAAGGAAAAAAGAAAGAAACCTTTTTATCTTGGGCATTTGTAATCATGTTATACAAAGCAACTATTTTACAGTACAATTAAATGCACAAAAATGTTGCTGGGATATTTGCAATTAAATCATTTTTGTGTTGTTGAAATAAAAGGGGCTTTATTATAATACTTAACAACATATACATTTACTTTAAAATTACCAATTATATTACTTTTAACATTCTGCTGTTGAAAAAATGGTTATAATACAAACAGTTGATAGTGCTGCACAAACAAAAAACATGGAGAAGTATTAAATTCAGAGATCCATTTTCCCAATCTCCCATTCATTTTCCTTATATCTTTTTTCTACTTTTGGGCTTTTTCACTTATTCTACCAAATTTTTTACACACACAGATATACACACACACAGACATATGTTTTGGGTACAGTTTACAAGTCTTAGAATTCTATAATGGACAGAGAACTACAAATAAAACTGTATTTTAACTGTATTTTCCATGTTCTCTCAAAATTTTATATTCTTAAATCTAAATGTCATGATACTGTTTGTCCATAGGTCAGATGCAATTATCTGAACTCCAGGAAACTGCTGCTTCTCTTGGACAAGCTGTAATTTTAGGAAAAATCAGTAGTATTCTTGGATTTAATGTTTCTTCCATGTCTATTACCACTCCTATCCCTCGCCCAAGTGATTCTGGCTGGACTAAGGTAAGAACATTCACCTAGGGAAAAAATTCACTTTAGCTATTTAAAAGATTGTTACTTTTTCCTATTTTAAGGCAGAAATTTAGAAGGCATGTCTTTCTAATTTACTGTAGACTATATTTTGTGAGATTACCAAAATGATAATAATGTTGTTTGAGTAAACAGTAAGATCACTTGAAATGTGTACTGATTGCACATGTGCTTTGCTTTGGATATTTATACTAATGTGCTGTGGATACTGAACCTTTTTTAAATTTTTATTTTAATTTCATTATTAAGTAGTTGTATGAAGAGTTAACAATTCTGTAAGTCAGACTGGGTACAATTCATCCTAATCAACGTCACCTCTTCTTTTGTTCTCCCTCACTTTTCCCCTTCCTCATCCTATCCTCGTCAGATAGTTTGATTTTTATGTAATGTACATTGAATATAATAATTGCATTTGCTTACCCTTCCCACAGAGCCTTTAATTCACATTCAGCTTCCAGAAAATAATCAAAACTATCACTGTTAAGAAAATGTTCTTAAGAGTGACTGACTCCAGCAGCTAGGGTTAAATTGATCTCTCCTTGAATTCTTGAACAATTTTGGGGTGTCATCTGCCCTCTGACTTATTTTTAATAAACAATAGGATACTGCACTTGGCCTGCCTGAGATGAGTTTGCTGTAGAATGTAGTATGCCCTGGGAAACACATTTTCTTCTGTCCATGCCAGGTGACTGCCCAGCCAGTCGAGAGGTCTGCATTTCCTGTCCACCATGTGGCCTTTGTGTCCTCCCTCTTCGTGATCACCCAGCCAGTGGCAGCACACCCAGGACAGCCATTTTCTCAGCAGCCTTCAGTAAAAGCAACAGATTCCAATGTAAGTTTTGACACAACATCTTCCTTTTCGTGAAGGATTGAGGTGTAAATTGTGAATGGAAAGCCATCTGGAATACTGGCAGCCTCGGATTGCATTTTAGAAATCAGACTGTACCTATGCATATTCTCTTCTACTGTTGTGAAAACATTTATATGAAATGAGAGCACTCCTTGACAATATTTATGAACTTTTTGTGTGGAATGAGGGGCTTCTGTAGATTTTAAATTTGTAAGGAGACTTTTTAAAAAAATAAATTTAGCATATCTTTTGAGAAGAGCAAAAGACAATCCAATTGCTATAATTCTCTATTCTTTTTTGGAGGGTAATTGTATATCCGTTGGGATTACTTCACTTACTTTGAAGGCTATACTAAAAGATGCCAATAATAACCAAGTCAGCGGCCTTAATGGAAATACAACAATTCCATTTAGCAGCTGTTGGGCCAACTATACAGATCTTACTCCTCTTAGAATAGGTGAGTAAAGTATTTTATTTCCTCACATATAGACCCCATAAGCAAGGAAAATTATAATTTTCTTTTAATGAACAAAATATTCTTACAGAACTTTGGCATATGAATTGTAGAAGTCAGTATGTTAGACCCTGTCTTGTTTCAGAAAATATTGAATCTAACTTATAAAAATATACTTACTTGGCAAAAGAAAGAAAATAAATGATTAAATTAAGACAGATAATTTGAGGATATACATAAAATTGTGTCAACTTGTAGATTCTTTTTTATCCATTTTTATCTACCAAATAGATACTATATTTATAGTAAGAAAAACTAATATGTGGGCTTTCAAATTCAAAAAAAAGAAAGGGTAAGATAGGTTCATATGACTTTACAGCCAAATACATAAGTTAAGAGTTGAGCTAGGTTGTAATCTTTCTTAAAGCCAATGGAAAGGAGAAAACATAACCATTTTCATGAGCCACAGTGCCCATATGATCCTTGGCCAGTTGTTGTGGAGAATTATAACACTCTTTGAGAATACAGGTCCCCTATGAGTTATCATGACATATACCCAACCAACCTGTATGCAGTATGCCTTCAATGTCAATACACTAACTTCAGTTAATTTATCTTTCACTGTGTGGTTTCTTATATTGACATCCATATGGATGGTAAAATTCTTATATTTACCATCTATATGGATGGTAAAATTCCTACTGGAAAAGACTATTCTACTAGAGTTTAAATGATATCCACAAACATGGATTTCTACTTGCGATGGATTACAAAGTATTTAAAAGAATAAAATTGATAACCTCCTTATACTTTGAAGCAGACCTGTTATTAAAAGGGTATGAAGTAACACTTTCTCACTCCTTATCACTGCTGTCTCTGTCACACTCACACACACACACACACACACACACACACACACACACACACACACACCTGATGGAAGTAACGATAGAGGGTAAAATAAGGAAAATAAACTTTAGAAATAATCTAAGTTTTAAATAACTAGATGTCAAAAGCCAAAATAATTTCCAAGGTTTTCCCTTAGGTTTTTTATTGTCTCATGACTTGAAAAGTTATATGTTTACTGAGAGGCAAGATCTTAATCTAATACTGATAGAAATCAAATGACAAGGGCTCAACAGTGTGTTTCTAAGCAAGTACCTAAAATGTCCTAATGGTTTTTGATTAAGCTGCATTCTGTTAACAGTCATCTTAAGTGGTGATAAGACTAGAACATGTTTATAGGAAATGAGACACATCACAGAATGTTTCCCTAAGATAAGGTTGCTCACCTCCTCATTAAAGTCGATCCAGTAATATCCTGAACAAAAATCTGAGCTTGTGCCCAAGCTGTTCACCATTTCCGAAAGCAATGGTTCAAAGTAAAGACTGCTGAAGTCCTGAAGCAATAAGAGAGATGGTAGAATTTTATTGTGGTACCAAAATAATTTTTTAAAAAAGCACTTTATACAATAGTTTTTCATTCAAAATTCAACTCTTTCACTTATCAATCCTATAGAGAAGTGTTTCTCATATGCTCCCCTTTTCCTCTTCCTTCCTTCCCCCTTCCTACCTTACTCTCCTTTTTGTCCTTGTCTTCCTCCTTCCATATCCTTTGCTTTCTCCCTTTTCTTTTTCTTCTTCCTCCTTCTTTTCCTTCTCACTTTCTTTCCCTCTACCCTTCATCTCATCAAGAATAGGAGAATGTGAGAAATCTCATTTCTTTGCTTATATATAAAAAGGACAGCCAAGTATAGACATATTCATTATTTCTAGATCAGTTGGTCCATTATCAGATTAACCACAGTAAAATTTATTAAAGTATATTGAGAAAATTAACTTTTTTGCAAGTGAATTGGAGATAGGAGTTGTAGACTTTCCTTCCCAGGCTGGCTTCAAACCTCACTCCACACATCTCAGCCTCCTGAGTCACTAGGAATACAAGTGTGGGCCACCTGTCTCTTTCTAGTACCCACTCTCATGGATTATTGCTCTGCAGGGATTCCCTTGAGATCTGCCCAACAGCAGCTACATCATGCTGCTTCTACACATAACTACTTCATTACGAGCAAACAAGACCATCTGAATAGAAAAAATGTAGATCATGGACTTATTATAAAACAGTACAAACCTGTTCTATGTGAAAACTACTGCTAATGGTAGCAGTAGTACCAGAAGAAATAATGTAGCAGAAAAAGACATTGGTTATCTCATATTCAAAAGTATGGGAAGATTTAATGTGTAGATTTAAAAATATGTTAACGAGTCCTTTCTCCTTTATACTCTAAACATAAACATTGGTGTCTCCCTAAGGTGTCTAGCTGGGGTAGGAAGGAAAAAAGAGTCTCAGTTGTGCTGTGAAACTGCCATCTGACTTAAAACCAATGTAGAGGATGGTTAAAGTCATTTAGTCTGAGTGGAGACTATATTTTTAAAACTCTGTTGTTTGAAATATTCAATATTCATCTCTACCTCCACGAAGTAAGGGTGAAGCTTCTCCAGGACTATGTCTGTTAAGCACAAATGAAATAGACATTCAACTCTTACATCTACTTCCCTATTTTCCTGCATTTTGAGGAACTGTCTAAAAAAGATCCTAAGAAGCAGAAAGAGAATCTATCGAGAATTCCCTGTCCATGGTTAGTAAGAAGACATTCTTTTCGCTCGGAGACCTTCAAACTAATTTATTTGACTTGATTGCAAAAACTACTTCATTTGGTACTAGATCCTAATTTGAAGTCAATGGAAACCAAATTGGAACTGGAAAATAAGTGAGGAAGTTAACTATTATGTTTTTTTTCTACTAGGAAAAAATTATAAAATTGAATTTCTCCTGGATAACAATATTCGAGTAGAATCCAGAGCTTTCAGTCTAACAGCACAGTCCATCTCTGGTGGTGGTGGTGGCGGCAGCAGCAGCAGCAGCAGCAGCAGCAGTGGCAGCAGCAGCAGCCACAACGAAGCATCAACTGTGCGTCCATCTGCCCACATACTGACCATAGTTATGAGTTGTCTGATGGGAAGAGTTTTGCTCTTGGAAATATTTATGGCCACGGTTTTTATTCTGAACATGATTGCAGGTAAAGATGGCTCATTTTGTGCATAATGTGTTTTCTGAGTAAAGACTGTGCACAGCATGTATGCCTGTCACCACTGATAACACAAAGAGAAAATGTCATCCTCAATGGCAGAGACTTGACAACCTTACAGGAAATGTTCTTCCCATTCTATGTTGGTATGTAAGAATGTAGGGAATGATAAATACAGCTCATCTCAGGACCTTTATCTGGTTGTGAGAAGTTTGACTGCAGCAAGATCCCAAACTCAAGTGATGTTACACAGAACCTTGTTTCCTTTTATGTCTTGGCTCTAATCTCCTTAGTAGTAATTTTACTCCCAGGTCATCCCTTCTTCCAATCCTCATAGCAAAGGTACCAAGATCTTCCTGTTTACATTCTATCAGTCTGATAGTCAATGCAGAATGTACTCCCTTTTTCTCACAGGTCCAGCAAAAACAAAATGAAAATAAAAGCCCACCAAATCCAGGCTATTGACTTGGTTTCAGACATATCTCCATGTTGTGGCCAAAGCTTGGCTGGGTTGCATGTATTAAGGTTCTACACATGATGTATGTTTGGGTGTTAGTTACCAAATATAACAAACAGAGGTAGCGAGCATTAAGGAAATTAATGGGAAGAGGATTCTTTGTGGGCTACAATGTAGCCTGCTGGATGATTGTAAATATTACTTTATCAGCAACACATGAAAGTTGCTAGTTACATGATATGTCAATTTTGAGAGGGAGGGAAAAAGCGTGCAAGAAAAGGATATGGTAGGAGCAAAGAAAAATGTGGGAATGAAAAAAGGTAGCTGCAGCCACAAATGCTCAGCACTGATTTCTTCTTTTTCTTCTAAGCATACATCTGCTAATATCTCAGTTAATGATAATACCATGTTTTCTGAGCAACCTGGTTGCTACATCATTGACTTCTTCCTTTCCTTCAAGCTCCACATCCTCTCCCTCTCTGTGGCATCCACATCCAACCATGTTCTTTGTCCCTCAATTAACTTCTCACTGCTCTATTCTCAATGCTTTTAATCCTCACTTAGTCTGTCTTAACAACTTCCTAAATTCCTTGTTTTTAAATTCCCTCTCTTCCAGTCTGTTAGAGTTTGCTTTGGAAAGTACAAGGATCTGAAAACCTCAAGTATTCCTCGGCATTGCAAAATACCATCAATACCAAAAGACTCTAAACCGAGGTTTTATTTTTATGTGGATATTATTCCTGGGATCTGAACTCAAAGCAACTACTGGGGTTTGAACTGCCCTTTAGCTTTTTCACTCAAGGCTGGCATTATACCATTTGAACCACATCTCCATCTCTCACTTTTTGCTAGTTAATTGGAGATAAGAGTTGTAAACTTTCCTTCCAGGCTGACTTCAAACCACAGTCCACAGGTCTCAGCTTCCTGAGTAGCTAGGATTACAAGTGTGGGCCACACTTGCCTGGCTAAATCCAGACTTGTCTCCTTTCTAGATAATTCCACATAATCTCTCTGTTTATCTAAAGTTCCTCTACTCTTCAATTCTCAAAACATTCTTCTGGGTCCAACTCAAATTCTACTTCTTAGAGCACATTTTCCTTCTTGATTTCTATTCTACAAGATATTTATTTCCCTTATTCTTTGGTCTCTTAATTTATATTTTTATTACAGGGCTTTATGTAGTATATTTCTATTAAACTTATATTCAAAATAGTCTTCCTCATTAATTGGTAAATAGAAGATCTGTGCTTTATGCTTTAAGTATTATAGTTACTAAAAATGATGTTTAATTGATTTTAGCTCTTAAAAGAAGCACAAGTTCTCATATCTGACTTAAGGGAAAATGTTGAGTAGGAGTAGTTTGGACAAATTGTAAAGAGCTTTGATTGGCAGAGTTTGCAATTGACTTAAGCTTTTGGTATATTAATGAAATGAAAGCATCACATAATATTTTAAAGTTTTAGAAAATTTGAGGTTTAAGAGTAATTCAGGACAAACAAAAGTACCTGAAGTAATAAAAAGCCATGACTGGATTTTAAATTTAAATATAAAGGAGGTCAGGATATAGAGACACAATAAAGCTAGTTCTGGAAGTAACCAAAATCAAAGAAAAAAAAAAAAGGAACCTGAAACCAACAACTGAGGCTTCAGGAATAGCCATAAATTGCAAAGAATAAGCCCTGTTTCCCTCATACTGACAATAGGTAGGATCCAGATGTCAAGGGAGAAGCATGGTTTATAGATATCTTGTCTGTCTTTTCATAGCTAAATACATGGGAAAGTTTAAGTTGAGAGATCATAGGTGATGACTAAGACTCAAGTTATTTTTATGTAAGTTTAATTGGGTTCAGAATTTTAATAAAAATTGAGACTAGTTTTTAAAATTTTATAACATAAAAAATTGTTCAAAATCATTTTTCTCTTCTGAAGCATTAAAATATAATTGTCCCTTGCCATATCACAGTTCACTATTGCATCTTCCCTGTATCATACATTAAAAAAAATAAAATAAGGTAATTAGTTAAATAGATAAATGTTGCTAACTGCATACTTATATACTTCGTTTCTTCATTTTCCAAAATTTCCCACTGACTTTAATCCCAGTGACTCCTCACTTTAATGTTTTCCAAACTAAGAAAATTCTACTTTCAAATCACTAGTGAATTATATAGCTTATTGTTTTATTCCCCAGGGCCTTTTCCAAATAAAAAGCACGCTGTTCACTTTAGAAGCTTTAAAAATTTTAAAAGCTTTTTCTTTACTACTAAGTAAACTACCAGTGATTTAAATGCCAATTAAATAAGCTAGCCAATGCTAGCTTGTTTCGTACCTTTGCTTTTGACCTGAAAATATTATACTTTGGAAACAATCATGAAATTTCACCAAACAAAATGGCAATATTTACAGAAAACTTCCCACAACATGATATAAGCAACACAATTCTACATTTTCCTTAGAGAATTATTACTGATTTTAACATAAAACTGGTAAACTTTTAAATTGCTTTTAGGTATTATTTTTCCTGTTTTAACCATAATATGAAATATTTTAAAAGTTAAAATTAATGAAATATATTTTAATCATACCATCTTTTATGATGGCTTTTTAAAAGCTTTTGTATTTTTTCATTTTTTTAGGAGACAACTAAAGTGTTCTTCCAAAGAACCAGCGGAAGGAAGATTGCTTATTTGTGAACTACTTTGTTGTGCAGCAAGAAACCTTCTATAGCATCTTCAAGAAAATTTGCTAAAATACTTTTATAACATTTAAAATGTATTAATTACAAAATAAGATTTCATCAAAATACAAGCTTATTTTGATTCCTTATATTTGTACTTTCTTATTTCACTAAAACAAAACTTCTGAAAATCTCTGATTTGGAAGCAGATATGCCACCTCCAAATTATACCAAGAAATCAGAGAATCCTTTCAGAGCCAAGTGAACTTGTCTAGTTCTCACTTAAATTCTTAATGTCATGTTGTAGGCATTTCAAAAAAATGTATTAGAACATATATTCAAGGGTTGATATCTCTCTACTAATGAAGCTCTGATTTCTAACCATGTAAATCATCCTAATTCCTGAGGATTCTGGAGATGAGTGTGTTTTATACCTCTATCAAACTGTTTTTCATTCAGGTCCTGAATACTTCCAGAAATTTCATACAGTCCTAGGTCTGGACCTGCAAATCCTCACTAGTATTATAAGCTTTTTGATATTGGTAAACAAAATGGGCATTGGGAACAACTCCAAATTTGTTCTTTGCTTGGCCTTTCTTTGCACTGATTACCACCACTAAGTGTGATCTACAACTCTAGCTAAAGAATAGAAACATTTCAAGAAGATAAACTAGAAAATGCAGACAGATTAGTTAATAAATTAATATAAAAATTTACTATAAAACATAGCCTTTAATTAAAAAGTTCTAAAGGTAATGACTCTGTTTGGCAGAACACCCTTGAAAGGCATGGCAATCATGTCTACTCAGGTAAAAACGGCAATCACAAATTATTTTGTCACAAGTGACACCTATCAAGCATTTGGGGCAGAAGGTATGGTGGCAAGAGTGAAGACTTGTGCACCACTAGATGGTAAGGTTTTCACATTAGGGGTTCTGCCTTTCTTAGCACTTGTCCCTGTATGCTCACAAAATGCTTAGTCCTTAATCTAATAGTCACTGCCTATTAGATTAGTGAATAATGGAGGTTTGTGAATAAAGCAAGCAGCTGGATGCTATGAAATGATAGTTTCAAGAGAGGAGGATATAGGGAGGGTGTCAACCTCTGTCGAAGAATTCAAGAGACTTGAGATTCTTCTGTGGGTAACATGAACCAAGATTTAACCAGATATTAAGACGGAAGCTAAATTACAAAGGCAAGTACCAAACAAGGTATCACATTTTTCAAAGTAGGTAGGCTAAAAAATGATGGTTGAAGGAGGATTTTTGAAGAGCAGTTTTTCAGAGATGGTTATGCTGAAGCTATTTTCAAAAGGGAGGGATGACAGAGGCAAGAGCCAAGGACTTCCATTTACCTCATGGGAAACTTAATAGTTGATCCTGAGGTTTGAGGTAAACAATGGGCTGGTGTTTGAGTCATAAGAATAAAATCAAGGAGCAGAAGGCTGGAGTAGCCTGTAGAAGACAAATGTAGGCTTGCACAGTACATCATTCCAGAATGCTATCTGGCCAAAGGATGCAGAAGAATGAGCCCATAAACCTGCTGAACCTGATGGGGGCTCCGTGTGTGTGTGTGTGTGTGTGTGTGTGTGTGTGTGTGTGTGTGTGTGTGTGTGTGTGTGTGTGTGTGTGTGTGTGTGAGAGAGAGAGAGAGAGAGAGAGAGAGAGAGAGAGAGAGAGAAGAGAGAGATCTGGCACTGGGGTACCTTAAGTCTTATGCAAGGGACTGCTTAGAAGGAAGGTAGGTAGACTGCAGGGAAATAAATCGGAAGAGGGATAGTGATGCCTAGGAGATACTAAAAAAAGTTCAAGCTATTTGTATGAATGTAACCATTTTAAGCAAACTCCAGGTTAAGATGTACCTGATAATCTTAAATAACACATGAAAACCTCTTCGCGAGGAAGATTTGCCATGTCAAAGGAGCACTGATGTTCAATCCGATACTACCACTACTTTCAGAGTTCCCTCAGTTCCTGCCTCAGTTCCCTCAGTTCCTGGTATAAAAGGGTGAGACCTCTGGGAAAAAGGTCCAATATGCCTCTATTCCAGACTGAGATTTTAAATCTGGGCAAATCCATGTACTTTCCATTCCATGATACTTCCTGTTAGAAAATTAAATTCCAGGAATTACAATTTTTGCATCTAAGAAACAAATTCCATACTTGGATTCTGGAAGATATACTTATCTTCCATTTTACGTATCAGAATACTGTTAAAACCACAAATTTGATACCATCTGCACTCTTTTCTTTCCTAAATTTTTAATTTAGTCTACTGGAGACTTTGGGTCAAAATTTCTCTCTAGATGCTTAATAAAGATATTTTCTAATACAAGGCATATAACAGTAGATGCAATTTCTAAACAATGTTCTTAGCCACAGACATGTTTAAAAGTTACTGATTTAATTGCTTTTAGTCTCTGGCTGTCTGCCTTTTAAAGAACCTTCTAGCATTATCATAGTATATACCCATAATAATTTTTTATGCCAGATAAATTGCAATTTAACAACTACTTTTCTAAATTCCTAAATTCTGAAGAATCCATGCACAAGATGGCTTCAGTATTCATGTTATCCATTTATGTTCCTAAATTACTTGCCTTTCAATAGTTTAATATTGCTTTCTTAGAAATGTAAATATAAATTCTGAAAATACTGAGGGACTATTTTACTTCTCAACAGATTATTAAAATCCCATGTTGTATTAGTACACACACACACACACACACACACACACACACACACACACACACACACACACACACACACACACTTCCCTCCACAGTTCCTGACTCATACCTCTGAAGGATAAGCTATATACAACTTTTTCATTCCAAAGGCAGATTAAAGAACATTAATCTTCACCATCTTTCTCTGACCTACCTTCTCTAATAAATGATAGATCCTGACCTCTTATCTCAAATGGGGTTCTGTCCCATATTTGGGAGGAGGAAGGCTGCACAGATAGGCCATGAAGAGTCTAAAGAGATGGGCCTCACTGGATTCCCCTCTCCAACGCATTGGTATAAGCATTAGTCTCCCTAAAAACCCAAATGGTCAGAGTTCAGAAAACTTGAGTAAATGTGCTGAGGTTCCTGGGTAGTACAACCACGGAGAAAGTGTCCTTTCCTCCATACTTTGGTCCCACAAATGACTTTGCGATATCTTTTGTCTATTGTAACATCGGTGACTTTTGTAGTATCTTTCACAATAATCTAGCAAACATGTTTGGCTAAGTGTTTGGCAAGGTAACCATCATAGAGGCCTTGTTTTATAGCTAATTGGGGCAAAGCACAGGTTAAAAACAATCTGTATCATAAAGCTTGCAAATGGCTTCTAAAGTGGATGGAGCAGAGGACAACTAAGCTCTTAACCTGTGAGCTTTCTTAAAATGTTCCAGCACTTGATTATTGCAGTGAGTTCTAGATGATCCAGCTGCTTTTGCCTCTCTTTGATTCAAGATGGAGTCTTGCAAAATAGCCCATGCTGGCCTGTACCACCATTCCCAGCCTCTTCTTTTTATCCATAAAGTACTTATATATTCTCACTACTACTACTAACAATACCAATGTAAACTGACCACATGCTTATTAACTGCTCTAAGTGATGCTAAGTATTCTACATGACTCTTTATAATAACCCTGTAACCTTATCATTCTTTTTCTAGATGAGGAAATTTGAAACTTAAAAGAAAAAGAAAAGCCGGTGCTAGTGGCTCATGCCTGTAATCCTAGCTACTCAGGTTGAGATCTGAGGATCGTGATTCAAAGCCAGCCTCAGCAGGAAAGTCCATTAGACTCTAATCTCCAATAAACAACCAGAAAACCAGAAGTGGCACTGTGGTTTAAGTGGTAGAGTGTTCCCCTTGAGCTGAAGAGCCTCCTGAGCAGCTAGGATTACAGGCATGAACCACCAGCCCACCAGCTGAGGATATTACTCTTTAACTCTTATATCTCCTGGGTTACTGTGTTTTCTGAGATGGAAAATTTGAAAGGAACAAGAGAATCAAGAATTAATCTTTCCTTATAGAGGTGGAGAGGTAGACAGGACAGGAAAAGAGCTTAACATAAAACACATACTTTGAAATGATTACCCATACCAGCTTAGACAAACGTTTAAGCATGGATGTGAATCTATTGGTGTTTGGTTACGGAAACCTATCTGAAGCAGTAGGAGGGTAGCCTCCTTTCTTCATTTTCCCAGTGGGCATACTCTGTTCCCTCATGCTGGCTCCAATTGACATAGAGTGTCTGTTGGAGTGAAAGAAATTCCAGCACTGTGTCAGACCATAAAGGTAAAGTCTATTGGGGGGCTTACAGTAAGTTTTTACATCTTTGTAGCCATATGACTAGCTATAACCTTCTTGCTATCTATCACATGCCTTAATATTTTACTTATGGTTCAACAATTCTAAAATCTTCATGGAAAATTTGTACTTCCAGGAATGCTCTTTATCCATGAATTCTGACTTTATTAGTGATGTTCCTTAAGACTGACAGTAATATGTGCTACTGATTATTCTAAGGAATTTAGCACACAGTATGTTCATAAGAATGAAATAAACTAAATAAATAGGCCACAGGATTAAACTTTTATTCCACCAGATTTTTGAGATAAAGAAATCCTGACAAAATGTTATAGGCTGCACTTTATCCTTAGAGCCTTAATATTTTAAATAACACTGTATAAAATCCACACTGTTATAGGCCAACTAGTCATGGTTACTATGGTTATGGGCACAGTGCCTATGAACAAAAAAAAAAATCCTTTGGGCAAGATATTTATCAGTGTGGCTGGCTATGTGGCAAGAGTACTGTCATTGGTCTTTAAGTTATGTGCTTTGGCAGATGATCCTTTCCATATGTGAATTCTCCCTAGGAAGAGAAAAAACACATTGAAATTATTACACTGAATATTTCTTATATATGAATTTAATTTTAAATAAGAATTACAAGCCAGGCACTAGTGGCTCATGCCTGTAATCCTAGCTACTGAGGAGGCTGAGATCTGACGATTGCAGTTCAAAGCCAGGCCCAGCAGGAAATTCCATGAGACTCTTATCTCCAATTAACTAACAGAAAACAAGAAGTGGCGCTGTGGCTTACCTGGTAGAGCTCTCACCTTGAACAACAGCAGCACCCAGGCCCAGA